TATACAGTAAAAAGATCTAGTAATTGGCTTTGAGTTCATAATTTAGAATGGGAGACAAACAAAAGAATTATAATTTATAGCATAGTATACAGTATAGTATAGTACAGTATAGTATAGTATAATAAGCATAGTATATTGCCCTTTCTATTTTGAGAGTCAGTAGAATTCCAGATGGGTAAATTCTCAGATACCTATAACCTAATGTCTTTGGAGGCAAAGAAGATAGGCAGATAAGGAAGTAAGAAGTGGCCCCTGAGCATGAGGTGGGAATTAGCTAATTTCTTTCTTTTGGTTTAGCGAACTCCAGAGTCTTCTCTTTCATTATATTCCCCCCTTCATTTTCTGCTCTCTTTTATTTCTATTTCTGTTGAAAAGTTTAGAATTAATGTCCCATTATTATAAAGGTTATTGCACAATTTCATTATTTGTATTAATACATTTAAAAACATTACATTTTATTTCTATGTGAATATAGAATGAGGCGGCTTCTTCTGTGATATTTGGTTTTGTGATAACCTCATTTATGCTTCTGTGAGTTTCTTAGGAAAAGAAGGTAGCAGTTGTATTGGTTACAGTAATATATCACTTAGATGATTATTATTTTGTGTTTGTGTTTCAGAAGAGATACTAACAAACATGTCGGGTCTTTTGACATCTTTTTTATTGTGGTGATTGTTTTTACAAGTCTGGCCTGTTTGCCTTTGCATTGAGGTTGTCCACCTTGCAGTTACTGTAATTATTTTTCTTATCATGGGTCCTTCCTCTCCCCCCACCACAAGAGATTTAACAAGTATTTTTTATGATGACATTACTCCACAGCGCAACTTGTCTCATTTATTCATCATTAACAGAAGTCTGGAACGTAAACATCCAGCATATTTTATACACATTGAGTTTGAGGAGACAGTGGGATATCCAAATGAAAAAGTCCATTTAGCAGTTGGAAACTTAAATACCAAATTACTGAAATGAGAAAGATTGTACTTACCCTTTATAGCAGAAGTCTTAGAATGAAAATCAGATCTTGTCATTCCTCTGTTCTTAACCCTCCACTGATTGCTTAATTCAGTCAGAGTCAAGCTAAAATCTTTAAAATGGTTTTTATGGCCTTACACGATGTAGCCTCATCGTGTAATCTTTCTGAGCTCATCTGCTCCCTCACTCCCTGGTTCTAACTACACTGATCTCTTTCATCTTTTGCAAAAAGCATAGCAGCCTTAAGGCCTTACAGCCTTCCCTTTGCGCCTGCCAGGAGCACTCTTCCTCCAGATACCTTTCCCTTTCCTTCACATCCTTCAAGTCTTTGCTCTTATCTCACCTTCTCAATGAGGCCTTTTCTAACTATGCTACTTAAAACTGCTGTCCCTTCCCTTCTACACACTTACACCTCTGTTTTTGCCTGATTTTCCTCTATAACACATATCACCTTTTAATATACTCTATAATTTACTTTTTAATTTTATTTATTATCCCTCTGCCTTACAATAGAATGAACCTCTATGAGGACATGAGGACAGTGATTTTTGTAAATTTTATTCACGGTTGTATCCCCAGTACCTAGAACAGAGGCTGGCATATACTAGGAACTCAGTAAATATTTGTTGCTGGTGAAATTAGGGCTACCCACGTTGTGATCAATTTAAAGTTTTCTGACTAATGTTTTCCTTTTCTGGGAACGTGGAATATAACCAAGGATTTTATTTTTAAAGTCTTTCCTTAGTGTCGGAACTAAAATTAACATACGTAATCTACATGTGTGTGTCTCTGTCTGTTTCCTATGGATTATATATATGTGTGTCATATATAATATATAACATATATAATCTGTTAAGTACATGATTGAATAGACGTTTAGTCACTTATTCACCAAATTCTATAATTGATGCACGGTAGGTGAGAGCTGATGGAAACTTTGTATATTATGTCCAAGAGGTTGAATGTTGTTCTTTCAGCAGTGAGGATTTAGTGAAGGATTTTAAACAAGAGATGGAAATGATCAGACTTACATTTCTGATAGCCTGCTCTGGTGGCTCAGGGAGACCATCTGGAAGGCTATTTTAATAGTCCAGCAGGAGGGGTGCCTAGGTGGTTCAGTCGGTTAAGCGTCCAACTCTTGATTTCAGCTCAGGTCATGATCTCACAGTTCGTGGGATCGAGGCCTGTCTGGGATTCTCTCTTTCCTCTCTCTCTGTCCCTCCCCCTGTCATACTATCTCTCTTTCTCTAAATAAATAAACATTTGAAAAAAAGAAATGGTCCAGCAGGAGGTGATGAGAGGAGGCTATGAAGAAGGGATGGATTTGGGAAATATTTAGGAAATAAAAATTGGCAAATCTTGGTGTCTGCTTGCATATGGGGTATGAGAGAAGAGGTTAGAAGGACTCCAGCATACCAACTAAAAGAAGAAATATATGAGGTGAGGTTTAGTTCAGTTTGGAAAGTTGAATTTGAAGTGCCTGGGTAACATCTGGATGGAGATAGCTGGTGAGGAATTGGATTATGGCTCTGAGACTTAGGAGGTCTGAGCCAGAGGTGGAGATTTGGGGATAATCAGTATAGAGATGTGTTTTGAAATCAGGCTGAGTGAGTAGTATCACCCGAGGATAATGTATGTAGTCTGAGGGAAAAAGAGGCCTTGGACATTAGGACCTTGAGGAATTCTGACCCCCAAGAATTGGGCAAAAAGTACTTAGAATAAGATCAGAAGAAAACCACACTGTTCTAGTCAGGTTTGATTTATGCATCACTTCTTTGGAGAGGGCCCCAATTAAAATTAGGTCTCCTCTATTGCTTCTCTCTATGAGAAACATTCTATTCTATTCTTTTCCTATTCTTTTCCTTTTCCTTTTGTATTCTTTTCCGTTGTAACTTTTATCACAGTTTAAAATTATATGTTACTTTTGTGTCTTATTTGCTTATGTCTCCCGCTCCCTGAGGGCAGGAACCTCTATTTTGCTGACCATTTATTTGCTCAGCTTTTAGCACAGTGTCTGATGCATGATAGATGCTTGATTTATTTGTTAAGTAAATGAAGGAAGTACGGGATCACAGAAGCCAATGGGTGACAGTGTTTCAGAAGGTTATTTCAAAAGCTGCTCCAAGTAGGCCAATAAAATAATAATAATAATAATAATAGCATATATTGAGCACTAACAAATGAAGGCATGAAAAGTGTCCATTGTATTTATTGATAAGAAGGTTTGGGATGAGTTATCCACAAGTGAACCCTAGGCCCTCATGGAGCTCTCTGTCTAAAGAGGAAATAACAACAGTCAGCATTCTCCAGGAACTAGAGTATGCTCTTTACATGCACTGTTTCGTTCAGTCCTTACAACAGATCTGAAGGTGGGTGAAGGTAATTATTATCTGTATGTTATAGATGAGGAATTAGGTTTAAGGAGATTATACACTTTGCCCAAGAATAAGTAGGTACTGGTTAAGCCAGGACTTCAACTTAAGGCCTTTCTTACCCCACAGCCCATGCTTTCAACCACCATGCTCCAGTAGGGGGACCCAGTTGATTCCTCATCAGGGAACTGATATCTTGGAAATGACATTTGAGCAGGAATGGTTTAGGTGCTGTTTATAGGACAGATTAGAAGTGAGAGTGACTGGAATTGAGAAACCAGATACATGGATCTTGCATTAATCCAGAATGAAGCATTGGGTTCCAACTAGAATCATAACTATATCTGAGAATAAAAAGGAAGGGACAATCTGAGATCTCTTATTAAGGAAGAATTGACAGGACATGGATACTGATTAGAAATGAGAAGTGAAGGAGAAAAGTAAAAAGCAATTACAAGACTGCAATCCTAGGGGTTGGAGGTTTTTATGAACTGCACTTCTCATGTGGGAGAAATTCAGAATGTGCCCCTTTTGTTGCATGAAATAATAAATTCATGATTAGAATTTTAGTTATTATTTGTACACAGAAAAGGGGGAACTGACAGTCTTTGGTATTGACAAAGGACAGGCTAGAGACAGTAAGTTTCAGGACCAGAGAAAAAGGATTTGCTCACATGTATTAATTAAAACCATGTGAGAGATTCTTATGGGTCTCAGCATTCTTTATAATAAGCTTTATAAGCACAGTTGTCATTGCTGTGGAAAAGGAAAAGTTAAAGGTTTTTCCCATTTAGCAAGGATTTTCTTTCCTTTTTCAAGGGTAGATGGGGTGAAAACAAATGGGGGAGGTATGCTCTTTGACACTAATAACATACAAAAGGTCGTGATGAATATAAGGCCAGGGATAGGATTCTGAGTTTCGTTAGGGATTCTACAGAGAATAGTGGTTGATAGGGACAAGTCAGAGTGGATCTGTAAGTGTAGTCACTACCTGGCACAACATGTGAGAGAGAGACCTGACTGGCATGCTCAGGGAAATGACTTTGTGTTCTCTGGCATCTATACCAAGATCCTAACATAGACTAAACATTTGATCTTTGTCGCCTGACTACATAAACACAAGGTTAGGAGTATAGATTTCAGAGTTGGTAAGTACCAAATCTAATTCATTGCTTCAACTTTAATTGTAGATGTATTATTTATTTTCTTAGCAGTATAAAATCCCAAACCTTATGAGTAAAAGTTGTTTCAAGTTCTTTTCAAAGCGTAATCTAAAATAAATACATATAAGAAATAATTTCTCTGACTCCCAGTTATACATTGTTCTTAGAAACATCTGAAAGTGATTTTTTTTCTCTGAAAAAAAATTTCAGTGTCTATTTCATTATTCTAATAATACTTTCATCCTATTTGACCTTTGTGATTTCATAAGGGACTATTTATTTTGTTTTACAAATACAGAAAAGAAAGTGTAGAAACACTAAATAGGTGATGACTCTGTATAGATGGGGATACTTTTATGATGGCTGTAATTAGGTATTCACAGAGACCCTGTAGTGTTTAGATATCTTCTAACATAAGGGAGCTTCCTCCTCTCCTGTGGTTAGAAAGCTCACCAGAGTAGATTTCTCATTGTTGTCCTTCCTTTTTTAGGTGTGAAATTTTTCAACATGAGTGGCCTCGGGGACAGTTCATCCGACCCTGCTAACCCAGACTCACATAAGAGGAAAGGATCGCCATGTGACACACTGGCATCAAGGTAGGAACACTGTTTTCTTAGTCTAGATCTAGGAGAGCTTCTTTATCATTTTCATTGCCACTTAAGAGTTCTTGCTAAATCTACTCCAAGTTTTCTGTTCTTCTTGGAGTCCCTTATACTCCCCATGTTTTCTTGTTTCCCCGGGACTTTTGCACATGCTGCTCCCACAGTCTAGCTTGCTCCCTCTAGATTTCTTGTGGTCAGTACCTATACATTCAACAGATACCAGCTTAGACATTACCACCTTAAAAGGAGCCTTCTCTTACTTCCATAACTATTATGTTAAGTCTCCCCCATCCTGTATCTGTCTCACATGTATGTTTATAGCTCTGATCCATAATTTCAGGTTTTTACTAGTTCATGTGATTATTTCGTGAATTTCTGGCTTCTCCACTACACGCTTAGGCTGCTATTTGGTAAGGACCTTGTCTGTTCTTACTAGTATATGCCTAGTTTGTAGCATAGTGTGTGGCTTATATATAGTAAGGACATAGTAAATATTTGTCACGTGAATAAATAAGTCCATTGTATATCTTTAACCTGCTATCTTAGAACGTTATGTTAGCAGAACTAAGAAATATCATTATTTTTATAATGTTAATATTAGGATTTTAAAGAATGCCTATTTGTGAAATTAAATATTTGTGTATCATAAGGAATATGATCACCTTAAATAGGCTAAAAGAGAATTGTTGCTAAGGAGATTCTAACAAATGGCAGACAGAGAAAGAAACTCACTCGCATCAAAAGAACAGCTTCCCACCTGAGAGGAGAAGAGTGGGGATATAATTCCATTCATCTTCTAGGATCTAGAGAAAGCTTTCTCAGCCTTCACACTATTGACATTGTCAGCCAGATAATTCTTTGTTGTGGGCAGCTCTCCTGTATGTTGTAGGATGCGTAGCAATATCCCTGGCTTTCACACACTGGACGCCAGTAGCATCTTTCCATCAGTTATGATAACCAAAGTGTCACATCAGTTGTGACTACCAAAAAATGTCTTCAGACAGTTGTCAAATGTTTGTCAGGGATGGGGAAAGCAATATGGCCCCCATTGATCATCACTGATCTAGAGAGTGAAGTGGCAGAAGATTCTTCTGTCCCTGGATTACATGCTTCTTTCTCATGGGGGATAAAGAAAGGATTTTAACAGGGGAGTAAGTGCCAGGGCTCCAGTCTGGAGAGAGAAAAGTTGATCAATTAAAAGAACTGTCACACATCATAACTTAAGTATTCATAACCACAGGTAAGTGTCCAGATGCTCAGAGGAATGTTGATATTGAGATACAATCCAGATTTGTGTTGTCAAAGTTAATGTTCTTGTTTTATCTGTATGTAAAGTCAGTCCTTTTCAAAGGAAAATATAAGAGTAAATAAATAGGGGTGTCTGGATGGCTCAGTCAGTTGGGCATCTGACTTTGGCTCAGGTCACAATCTCATAGTTTGTGAGCTCGAGCCCCACGTCGGGCTCCCTGCTGTCAGTGCAGAGTCTGTTTTGGGTCCTCTGTCCCCCTCTCTCTTTCTCTGCCCCTCCCATGCTTGTGCTTTCTCTTTCTCTCTCTCTCTCTCTCAAAAAATAAATAAATATTTAAAAAAAGAATAAATAAATAAAACTTTTGTTTTTTAGATTTAATTTTTTATTTGGGGAAATTTTTAAAATCTATGTTAAGAATAGACTCTAAGAAACTATATATATCCATTACATATAATTGTTCATATTTTGTGGTATTGTTAGTATTTTTTAATATTTTATCATATTTGTATAGTCTTATTTGAATAAGGTAGTAAAATGATTAATTATTACATTGATTTGTCTGCAATTAATTTCTCCATTTTTAATAATTATATATGAACTGGTGAGTAATACAGAATGTTTATAAGTATACATATGATACAATACTGTATACTGTATATATTTTTCTAAAGTATACTTTTTCCAGCATGCATCTTGAGATATAAATATATATAGATTCAGTTCTGTCACCTTTTGATTAAATGTTGTAAGACAGGAATGTATCCCATTTGAAAAATCCATTTCCCTATAAACAACCTTTCTGTTAGAAATTTTTGCTCTTACAACTAGCACTAGAGCGAAGGAACATCCTCATATGCACCTCCCTACTTTATTTTTGTTTGTTTATTTTTTATTTAAATTCATGTTAGTTTACATACAGTGTAGTATCAGTTTCCACACCTCCTACTTGATATGTGAGAGTTTCTTTGGGATCTGTATTCATCTTTATGTTAACTAGGTCACCACCACATTGCTCTTCAAATAACAAGCATTGAGAGTTCTTTTTTTCTCACACCCTTACCCACACTGTCCTCTCCTCACTGTAAGTCTCCCAACTTGATGAGTGTGGGGTTACAGTTTGAAGTATATTTCACTGATAACCAGATAAATTGATTTTGATTTTTGTTTTCCTCTTCTGTGAATTTCCTGGGTGTATCTTTTGCCCATATTCCTGCTGGGTTGTTTTCCTTTTCCTTTTTATTTGTAAGATTTTTTTTAAATTTTCTGTGTACTACTCTTTTTTGCTGATATTTGATGTAAATATCTTTCTTCTCCTGGTCTGTTTAACTGTTTTTGAAATCCGTTGACATACCTTGGAACCTTCAGTTTTCATGTGTCAAGCTCTTGGGGGTCTCGTGGAAGAATTTTTTTCCCTCTACTTCAAGGCCTTAAACATATTTTTACATATTTACATATTACATACATATGTGTATTTAGAGTTTTAATTAATGTAGAATTTGATTTGCATATGATATAATGTGGGGAACTAATTTTATTTTTTCCCATGTAGAACATAAGTGGTTATGGCCCTGTCCTTTCTCTGCTTTTGTGCTGTTACCTTTATCATAGATCCAGTTCCTGTATAGATAGGGATCTGGTTCTGAACTTTCTTATGACAATCACCTTGATATCTGTTGAGGCAGGTCATTCTTTGTTATTTTTCAAAATCGTTTTCCCTATTCTTGTCCCTTCACCTGTCCATTCAGATTTTTAAATCAGGTTTTTAAGTTTCCCCTGAAGAAAAATACTCCTGGGATTTGGATTAGAATGTCATTTACTTTTATAGATTAAATTGGAAGAGAATTGACATTTTTATTTTCTAGACTCCAGATTCCCGAGTGTTCTTTTTTGTGAATATAAAGGCTGTTCACATATTCAGGTCTTCACTATTCTTTGGTAGTAGTTCATAATTTTCCCCTTTGAACAACTAGCCCATCTTTAGTTAGATATATTCCAGGGTCCCACAGAATTTTTATTGCTTTTGGAAATGGTATAATTTTGTCTATTGCATCTTCTGACAGCTTTTAATATATAGGATTTGGGATTATTGGTCTCCTATGCATCCATTGTTCTAAACTTTCTTATTTGTTTTATGGCTTATCTGTAGATCTTTGATTTTTTTATACATACATAATCATGTCATGACAAATATCAAAAAGTGAATATATTTTTTCTTCTTAGATGTTCTAAAGATAATAATCTTTGTATGTCTGCTTTCAAAATATTTGAAAACATTACCTCCTTCAGGTTTGTAAGTATGGGCTTCAGTTTCAATTGGCATTTTTGATATGGTAAAGTAAAACTTCATGATTTTGAAACTGATTGAGTTTGTGTATGAATACCACCTTGTAATGCTTCTTTTGGTTTTTTTATTATCTGCTGTCTCTTTGGACAGATTCTGAACTCATTAATCATAAAGAGAATATGTTAGACCTCAGGATATTGCCAGCCCTTTGTACAAGAGCCCTGATAGAGTTTCTTAGTAATTGATGCCTCATATCTCTTCCTATTACCTCTTCTCCATTCTTTAACTGTACTAGGAGAATGGGGATTAAAATGCCAGTCTCAAAATGCTGGGTAGCTATGCCTTGTGCTTGTTTAATATTTCTAATTCAGCTCAACAAGTGCTTTATTTAGTGCCCACTATTCAACCAGCATGGTGTGCATGACGTTATAAGGATATAAGCAAAGTGAGTCATGTTTTCTATCTTCAGGGAGCTTACAAATCTTGTCATGCCACTCATTCTTCTTCTTAAACCCTTCTGGGCTTCCCCTCGCCCTGAAAAAAATAATCATAACCAAAACAATGACAGTAGGTAACATTTACTGAACTAAAAGTATATGCCAGCAACTTTGCCAAACATTTTACATTTAGCATCTTTTTTAATCCTCACTAAATTCTAAGAGATAATTAATGTCATCACCCCTGTTTTGCAGATAAAGAAATTGAAGCTGAGAGAAGTTAAATTGCTGTTAAGCAACTTGTCCAGGGTTACATAGCTAATAAATGACTGAGGAAATTTGAACTTGTGCTTTTAAGCAATACATCATGCTCTTTATCATGGTGTATGGAAGAGCCCTCATGATGTGGCTTGGAACTCATCTCCTGCCCTTCTGTTTCTTATCTGTAGTTGAGCCATACTGAACTACTTATAGATCCTTTAACTTGACATTTTCATTCTCATATTACAACTTTGAAAAAGCTGGGTTTTGTTTGTCTGCCTCCCCTGCCCTGAAACCAATCCCTGTCTACCACCAGGTTGGGACATCTCATTGCCTCAGTGTAGGTGCGATCCGGATGAACTTCTATAGTATTAACAGTCTTGTCACATAGAGTTGTAATGACTCTTTTTCTTTATTCTCACACTAATTAGGGCTACACCTAATTTACCCCTGGGTCCCCAGGACATAGTGCGTAGCTGTCTGGCATGTACTAAGTTTAGGACCATTTGTTGAAAAAGCTAGTAAGTTGAAGGAAAAAGATATGTTAGTTAATTCATAGCATGATTAACTAGCATGTGTGCAATGTCCATGGAAGTCGAGTGGGCTGGTGAGAAGTGTAGGTGGCTAAAGTAATAAAGGAAGCCTTCTTTTCCATTAAGGTAGAATTTTTTGGTCATGTCCACCCCTCCTTCAGTTTTGACTTTGTTTAAATATATCTGCTCTCATTTTCTGTCCTTACTTATTAGTTACTTCGTTTCGTGGTGATTTTCCTAGTCTCCTTCTTAAGTCATTTTATAGACAACTCAGCATTTCAGTATTTTTAGCTTCTTGCTTCCTCTGTCAACTCTCTGTCTATCCTGCCATTCTAGCACTTTCTTTTATTCTACAGTGGTGTCAGGCACTTCAGTTTTACGTAAAACTTAATGTCAGAAGCCGATTTTGGAGTTCCACTACGTGAATCCAATTTACTCGTGTTAGAATCTAGACCCCTAGATTTAAACAGATCATACTTTAGACAGAATCTACAAAATAAGTCTAGTATGACTTAGTTTCTCTAAGGTAAAATCAGGTGTCCTCTAAAACACTATCAAGTTGCAGAGATGGAGTTCTAGGAAACCTTGAATATGTCATTTTCTTCATGCCTTGTTTTCAATGCCTTTGTGTGAAGTTTGTCAGAATATCTTGCTCCATGTACTTTCTGTGGAAATTGTAAGATAAAGTTTTACTAAATAAAGTGGGACTAATTCCTTAATAATGAAAGGCTTTACAGATAAAGATAAAGGATGATTGTTAAAGTTTCAAAATTTGGTTTTGTTCTGGGATGTGTACCATGTTGTCGTATTTTGTTTTTTGTGGTTAAATACATTTGATTGGCTGACTTGGTTCTTTTCAACTTACTATGTTGTTATGGAAATGCTATTGCTTTTATAGTTTTGTATTATGAAAAGTAAGTGGTATTTTAATTGTTGCCAATTATGAGCTTTTTATTTTTCTTAATTTTTTTTAAAAAATTTTCTTTAACATTTATTTATTTTTGAGACAGAGAGAGAGCATGAACAGGGGAGGGTCAGAGAAAGAGGGAGACACAGAATCTGAAACAGGCTCCAGGCTCTGAGCTGTCAGCACAGAGCCGGACGCGGGGCTCGAACCCACAGACCGCGAGATCATGACCTGTGTCGAAGTCGGACGCTCAACCGACTGAGCCACCCAGGCGCCCCAATTATGAGCTTTTTAAAAAGCAACTAATCTTGCCCTCTTTTCACCTCTTTTTTTTTTTTTTTACCACTTTTCTACCATCACACCAGATGATTTTGGTTGCTGCTTATAAAACAAAGAGTTATTTGTGACCAATCTTTCTTATTATGTTAATTTGATAATGGAAAAACTCATTTCAAAGTAATACTTCACTATCTTTGCATGTATTACATAAAATAAGTTGCCTAATGATCTGGCTAATTAAACCAGGGGTAAAGACTGGAAAACAAAACTGAACAGTATTCATTCAGTACCTTTGATTGAATGTAAAGTGCTAGCTGGTTGCACTGTTATCCTTTGTTCTCGTAATTTTGCTTCAAGATAAATCAAAATTGATTTTATTTATCACATTTATGAGAACTTATAAATAGATGTCTTATTTTTTGTAGAATGAGGTTGTATACAAAAGACATTGTTCTCTGTACCTTTGTCTCATAATTGATTATTATTCTTTTTCTTTTACTTTTTGGATGGATGCTCTTTTCTTTTTTTTTTAACCTTTATTTATTTTTGAGAGAGAGAGAGACAGAGCATGAACGGGGGAGGGTCAGAGAGAGAGGGAGACACAGAATCTGAAACAGGCTCCAGGCTCTGAGCCATCAGCACAGAGCCCGACGTGGGGCTTGAACTCACGAACCGCGAGATCATGACCTGAGCCGAAGTCGGACGCTTAACCGACTGAGCCACCCAGGCGCCCCTGCTCTTTTCTTTTTGATGAGGACCAACTAATGGTCTAGTTATGATAAGAATCAAGTGTTTATCAGATTTCTTTCAGTAACAAAAAAATTAAGAAAGTTTATCAGATTTCAAAGTATAACTTATTTGAACTCTAGTATAGTCTGCACTGCTTAATTTATAACAAAGTTATTTGAAAAATCAGATTTTCTAATTCAAGGAATTATTGTTTAGAATATAAAGTAAATTCCAAATGCAGTGAGTGTCAGTACTTTCTGCTTCCTTTTAATATCTAACATTTTGTTGGGAAATATTTGATGTATTTATATCATTGAGGAAATACATATATGATGGCAATCACTCTCTTTATGTATTTTTGGCCAGAATTGTTTTCTGCACTTTGGTATTGTGAATTTAAGTTGTTTTTAAAATCGGACTTTATATTCTGGATAAAATTATGGATCTCTATAAATATGTAAATATTAAGTACTTGATCAAAGAGGGAAGTATCGTGGTAGAAATGTACACTAACTGGTTTTTCTTTGTGTAACAAACAGCACTGAAAAGAGGCGCAGGGAACAAGAAAATAAATATTTAGAAGAACTAGCTGAGTTACTGTCTGCCAACATCAGTGACATTGACAGTTTGAGTGTAAAGCCAGACAAATGCAAGATTTTGAAGAAGACAGTCGATCAGATACAGCTAATGAAGAGAATGGAACAAGGTAAAAAAAAAAAAAAAAAAAAGCCAAAACCATGGTTGTGTGCTTTGTTATGAAGACCTTTATAATAGGTGATTTTATTATTTTTATTATTAAGAAATTGCATTGAATTTCATAATGTTATTAAAGAAACATTTTTGTATAGACGGTCTTTATTTTAGAAAGTGAATCTGAGAGGTTTCTTGTTACAAAAACATGGCTTATTAATTTAACTTGAACACTGGTTGCCTTGGTAGGTTATGAAGCCTGGTATCTAAGGGAATTGAGTCAAGAGATCTAAGTTGTGGGGTCAGACCTGAAGCTCTGGCATAGTGTTGAAAGACAGTGCCTCAGTGGTAGGAAAATCCCTCCATCTGAATAATAAGCTTGTCTCTGCCGGGGCTCTGGGCATGGGAAACAGTCTCTTCTGGGAAAACCCTGACTTTGTTTTACAACTCATATTTATACTGTCCATATTTACTGGGGACCTCATGCCAGAAAACCCCTAGCAAAGAATTAAAGCAGACACACAGGCAGAGCACTTTGGAGGAAAACTCTCACACCTGATAATGGAAAAACTCATTTCAAAGTAATACTTCACTATGTTTGCATGTATTACATAAAACAAGTTGCCTGATGATCTGGCTAATTAAACCAGGGGTAAAGACTGGAAAACAAAACTGAACAGTATTCATTCCCATGGCATTTCCAAAGAAAAAGTGCTTACGAGGGTGATTTTATGCTAAGAAATTATGTAACATATGAGGAAACAATCTACAGTAAGTAGGAACACAAATAACAAACAGAACAAATAGACCAGAAGGAACTTCAGATGAATAACAGCAATGTGAAAAGATTATAAACAAATATATTTCTAATGATTAAAGTGGTAGGATGTTAAGATTTTATAAGCTGGAAAGTGAATAGTCTAGTGACAGCTGATGGAGCAGACAGTAGAAACTAGTATTTTAAGTCTCCGACGGGGAGAGCCAGCCAGAAGCTATATGTCACCTCGCTGCTTGCTGCCCAAGGGGGGAAGGATCCCTCTGGGGACACTGACCTGCCCAACGGAAAAGACACACAGACACAGTTGGGAATGATCCCCACATGACAAAAGCCTTTCCCTGTCTTGCCCCCTCTATTCACACAGCTGCCAGTCAGCCTTTTAGTACCTTACTCTTTAATCTGAATAGAAATCTGAATATTTGAGGAAAACCTGTAAAGTAGAAGAGAACAAATCAAGCAAACAGGAAAAAAGGGAACTCAGAGAAAGTAGAGACAGTGCAGGGAGCAGAAGAAAACTTCAAACCATCAAACAGTCCCTCAGAGACAAAAAGGAAGGTAATTCAACTATGAAACGATAATAAGATGCTATAAAATAAAACATTCAAAACACCAAATAACTTTTGGAACTTAAAATCGGGATAACTGAAATAAACTTTGCCTCTTTACTTTGTTTTCTACTTTTTGCCTAGTCTCTGCCTAACCATTCTAGGCACACTCTGCCTCAGGTCTTGGCACTTTCTTCTCCCTTTGTCTGGAATGTTCTTTCTCAGATGTACACAAGGCCCATTCCCTCACCTCTTTTGTGCCTTTGTTCAAATATTTCTTCGCAATGAACTTGTCTGTAACTATCCTACCTAATACACTCTCTCTCTAATACACACACTCTCTACATCTTCCTTGATTTATTTTCCCCACAGTGTTTTTTACATCTAACATATTATATGTTTTATTTGTTTATTGTCGGCCTACTCCCACTAGAGCTCCATGAGGGTGAGGATTTTTGTTTGTTCATCATTGTGCCCTCATACCTAAAACAGTTCCTGGTTACATAGTAGACTTTCAGGGAATATTTGTTGAATAAATATTTTAAGGGTTGAAAGATAATGTGAAGAAATCTCTTAGAAAGTAAAAATAAAAAGACAAGTAGTGGAAGACAAGGGAAAGGTGGGAAGTGTATAGGAATAGTTCAGGAGGTGTAACATATTAATTTCAGAAAAAGAGAACAGACCAAGTAAAGGGAGGAAATTATAAGAGTACAAAGGAAATTATAAGAGTACAAAACCAAAACAAAACACTTCTCAGAATTAGAAAGATGTGGGTTTCCAGATTGAAAGCACTCATATAGTGCCCAGCGCAACGAATAAAAAGAAAGGGACAAAAACCTCACACAAATGCACAATTTTCAGACACCAGAGAGAAAAAAAACAAGGGAAAGAAAAAATAGACACATACCAGATTCAGAGTGTATCCTAAATAACAATACTGAATGAGAATTCTTTTCTTAAGAAATGTTTATTTATCTATTTTGAGAAAGAGAGGGAGAGTGCACACAAGCAGGAGAGGGGCAGAAAGAGGGAGGGAGAGAGAGAGAGGGAGGGAGGGAGGGAGGGAGGGAGGGAGAGAGAGGGAGGGAGGGAGAATATGAATCTCAAGCAGGCCCCGTGCCACCAGCATAGAGCCTGCTGTGGAGATCAAACCCACAAACTGTGAGAGCATGACCAGAGCCAAAACCAAGAGTCAGACACTTAACCAACTGAGCCACCCAGGTGCCCTGAGAATTCTAAACCTGGAATTCTGTGTGAATCCAAATGAAGTGTAAGTGCAAAATAAAGACATTTTCAGACATTTAAAGCCTCAGTTCAAAGTTATCTTCTGTGTACTTTTTCCAGAAATATCTATCAAAACCACCATAGAAAGAAAGGCATAGGATCTTAATCCAGGGAAACCATGGAATCTTAACAGAAGAAAGGTGTACCCTTGTGCATCAACCTAAAAACATAGCTAGTGGATAGAGGTCTCCAGGACGAATGTTTCCATGGGGAAAAAATGGAACAGAGAATCAGAGGACTGACTAATTAAGAGGAAAATTTCATTGGGGGGGGGGGTGTTTAGGGATGAGTTGAACTTAAAAAGAGTAAAACGCAAAATAGGAGAAATGTAAATGATAGCACACACCTTGTCTCGTTTGTGAACTTTATTTATGTGGCCACAGGAGCATAGATATTAAATACTGATTGCCCTAGAAATTGTAACTATATTGGGAGGATGGAAGGAGGGAGAAATGTGTGGGTAGAAGGTTGATGTAAGTTAAAGTCTTACTTTTCATGATAGCGTGCCAATAAATTATGTCTATCATGGACATAATCAAGATCTAGCAAATAAACATGGGACTGAGAAATACAGAATGTATAGTTAGGATACAGGCTAGGCTACTGTAACAAGAGACCCAAAGTGCAGCAGCTTTAACAAGATAATCTAGGGATGTGTCAGAGCTTGTGATTGATTTCATCTTTTTTTCTGTGCCATTCCTATTGCCATTTTCCACGTGGCTAAACATGGCTCACCGGTCCACATCCCAGCTGACAAAAAGGGGAAAGAAGAAAATGGGGGAGGCATGCTTCTTTCCTTTTAAGGACAAGACCCAGAAATTGCACGTCGCTTCTTTTCACATTCCTTGAGCCAGAAACTAGGTCACATAGCCACTCCCGCCTTAGGTTTTGCCTGAAATTTTAGATGTTTTGCTTTTCACACATAGTTATTTAATTTACTTGGACTTGATGGTTGGTGTTTTTTGACAAACCTGTTTAAAAACCAAAAACCTGTCTTAATGTTATAAACACATGAATTGATGAAGGAAGTACATCTTAGAACTAAATGAGAAACTTCTGTACCATAATAATCAAAAGGTAAATAACCCAGTTAATAGATGGACAAAGGCTCTGACTGAATACCTCTCAAAGACATATAAATGACTAATAAGCACAGGAAAAATATGTGCATATCGTTGCCATCAGAGAAATGCAAATCAAAACCACAGTGAAGTACCAGGGTGGCTGCACAATTTTATTTTACTTTCCTACCAGCAGTGTATGGAGGTTCCGATTTCTCCCATTGTCACCAACACTTATCTGTCTTTTTTGTGTGCAGCCACTTTGGAAAACAGTCCAGTAGTTCCACAAAATGTTAAGCATTGAGGTACAGTATCACCCAGCAATTCCATTTGTAGGTATATACCCAAGACAAAGGAAAACCTAGGTCCACACAAAAACTTGCACACAACTGTTCGTAGCAGCATTATTCATAAATAGCCGAAAGGTGGAAACAACCCGTGTATCTATCGGCTGACCAATGGATAAGTTAAACAAGGTATATTTATATAATGGCATATTATCTGGCAGAAAAAAAAGGAATGAAGTACTGACAGTGCCTTGAAAGCACACGAAGCAAAAGAAGCCAGTCACAAGGGACCATGTGTTGTATGACTCCATTTATACTAAATGTCCAGAATAGGCAAATCCACAGAGACAGAAAGTAGATTGGTGGTTGCTTAGGGCTTGGGAGCATTGGGAAAATGGGGGGTGACTGCTCAAGGGTACAAAGTTTCTTTTTGGGTTGATGAATATGTTCTAAAATGTATTATAATGTTGGTTGCATAACCCTGTGAATGTACTAAAAACCATTGAATTGAATGCTTTATTTTTTTTGATGTTTATTTTTGAGAGACGGAGAGTGAGTGGGTAAGGGGCATAAAGAGAAGGGGACAGTGAGCTCTGTGCTGACAGCAGACAGTCCAGTGTAGGGGCTTGAACTCACAAACCGCCACATCATGACCTGTGCTGAAGGACGCTTAACCGACTGAGCCACCCAGGCACCCCTGAATTGTATGCCTTAAATGCATGAATAGCATGCTATGTGAATTGTGAATCAGTAAAGCTGTTGTTATAAACACTATATGAAATGACACTTTACACCCAATAGATTCACACACACAAATTTTTTTTTAATGCTGATATCAATTGTCAGTGAGGATGCATAAAAACAAAAACCCTTGAATGTTACAAGTGGTACAATTTGTCAAACTTAGTATGTCGAAAATACATAGACCCTATGAACCGGCAACTTCACTTTTAGTGTTTACCCTCAAGAAACTGTCACACATGTACAAAAGAGGAAGTACTGAAAATAGTTTATTACAGCACTGTGTGTGGTAGTCAAAGGTCTGTCAGTAGTGGCTTAGGAAATCTACTAACTGTGGGTTAGTCACATGATATATACCATCTCAAATGAATGAATCAGATCTACATCAGTGTGCTTAAATCTCAAACATAATATTGAGTGGAAACACTAAGTTGGAGAAGTCCATATATACTTATGTAAACTTTAAAACACAAAACAGTAGGGGTGCCTGAGTGGCTCAGTCAGTTGAGAGTCTGACTTCGGCTCAGGTCATGATCTCACAGTTCTTGCTGCTGTCAGCAGGAAACCTGCTTTGGATCCTCTGTCCCCCTCTCTCTCTGCCACTCCCCCCCTGGTGCTCTCTATCTCAAAAATAAACATTAAAAAAAAAATAAAAGGTGATCTATTGTTCAAGAAATCATACATGTGTACTTAAGTAATAAAAAACAGGCCTAGAAATTATTATACTGACCTCAGAATACTAGTTATTTCTGAAAAGAGACAGAGAAGGAATGGTAGCAGAGTGTTCTATTTGCAGCATTTTATTTTTTAAAGAAGGAAGGACGTGGAGCAAATGTTAACATCCGTGAAAAATGAATGGTGGCTATGTGATGTATGCTGTGTCATTTCCTGTATTTTTTGGAATATATGAAATATTTCATATTTAATTGTTTTAAGATTTTTTTCATTTGTAAGTAGTCCCTACACCCAACATGGGGCTCAAACTTACAACCCCTAGATCAAGAGTCACATGCTCCTGAGCCAGCCAGGCGCCCCTGAAATATGTTACACATTAAAGTAAAAAAATGAGCCTTTATATTCAATGATACCAAATTTGGTTTTTGGCTAACTAACTCACTAGTTTGACAGATTGGAAACTTATTTAAGTATGGTGCTGTTTGAAGATGATGGATGGCTTTTCCAACATCACTGCACAAAAGAATTTCAGATCATTTAGTAGTTACACAGTTTTATCAATCAGATCATCATGACAGGAATGTGAAAGGTAAGCTAATTCATGCAGGCTCACAAAAGGAAAAAGCATTTCTTCACTCTCTTTTCAATGGCAGTTGATCAAATCAGAAGAGGAAAAAGAAAAATGGAGGAAATCATCATTCTTTTACAGTTTACTCATTTCTTAAAAACTTTTGGTGTAGACTTTTTCAAAAGGCTTTATATTTATACCATTTTCCCCGTTGTTGGAACATTGGACTTGATAGGTCAGAATCAAATTATCTTGCTGCCACTTATTAGTTATATGATTTGTGACACATTACTTAACCTTTGTGAACCTCAATTTTGTCAATTGAATATACATATAAAGTGAATATCATTAAGATTAAATAACGTTGTCAATAAATATCGCCTAGATAATAAGTAAATGTTATTTGAATCTTAAATTAGGTGAATCTGTGTCTTTGTAACTTGCCAATATGGAAATGAGCCCTTTTGGATGCATGACTTTTTGTTTCTTTATTATAGAGAAATCAACAACTGATGATGAAGTGCAGAAATCAGACATCTCATCGAGCAGTCAAGGAGTGATAGAAAAGGAATCCTTGGGACCTCTTCTGTTGGAGGTAGCTGTTCTCATTGATTTAGAAAGGGATCAAAATATTTGTTCCAAGATAATTTGGTTTTTTCTCTTTTATACCTTACGTCAGATTAATAAATTATAAAACAAAGTAAGTTTTAAAGAACCTTTAATAATTATTTTGTAACCTATTTTGACAGTTGTTGCTGTTTCAGAATGAAATGTGAATAATGAATATGAGAAATTTTCATAAAGGCATTCTATATAGTCAGATGGAAAACCGAAGCCTACCGTATGGCTTTGCCACTCATTTCTGGGGTGGTTTGGACTAGTCGGGAGTATAAAACATTAGAATTATTTAGCTCACTAGTGCTATCTATATGTCTATAGAATTTCACTTTTGAGTGAGGGGATGCGTCACTTTATTGCAGTAGGTGTTTTCCTGAAAAGTTTCCTGACTAAAATTTTCAAATGTTTACGTAAACACTGTATGAGAACTTACTATTTTAATGACCCTCTACCGAACTTTTTGAAGAACTTTTAAACTTGAATTGTTTTGTAATTACTGTGTAATTTTCACCTCAGCTTTTCCTATCTAACCTTCACTCCCTTTGTCTTCAGCGTCTTGTTTCCAAGCAGGCCCATCACCTTCAGTGATCCCTCTCACACATGAATGTTTAAGAACACATGTGCAGACACACTCATTCCCCACAGAGTAAATAGAAACTGGGTAGAAACAGCTACCATCTGAGCGTGTGCATACACGTATAACTGGGAGAGGGGAGGGTAATCACATGTGGTAGAGTCTGATGTTTTCTTTGTCCCCTCTTCACATCCTGTTACATTGACTGCATGACACATGACCATGTTTTGGAAACGGTACTGTAACAAGTATAGTGAAAATGTGATGGTGGAATCTGGTGGCGAACGTACAGATGTTAGCTACAGAATTCTTTCAACTTTGCTATAGTTTGAAATTTTAAAATATAAGCTATTAGAGGAAAAGACATTAAAGAAAGAAGAGCACTTTCAGCTCATTTCCAGCTTCCGCCCCGTCTCTTCCCCCTGCTTGGCACCTTTCACACCACTTGGTACACTTGGGCCCTTCCTGGAGCCCTGACCTGTCTTAGCATTTACTGCTCCTCTTCTCCACCCTGCAGGGGGTTGGTCTTTTCATAACTTGTAGCTTCTGTGTGTGGGTTCTGTCTGCCTTCTTAGTGCCCTAGCCTCAGGACTCCCTTCAATTCATTAAATATTTTATTAAATTTATTTTCTGCATATAATGTCTTCTGAGATACTGGTAAGTACAAGATATACAGATTCTTGAGATTCCTGGGGTTCCTGTAGGAAAATGGTGATCATTGAAATCCTAGCTTCACCTCACGTTCTTCAGAAACCTCAGAGATCAACAAGGAGAACAAGTGGATTGTTAACAAACTGAACATAGCACAGCTGGAGACAGAGAATATTACTACTGCTACTTTAATTTAGATAAACACTCACCATTGCCGTGTGAGAAAAGTCCACGATGCTTTAACATGAAGAGAAAATGACAGGAAAACATCCATTCGAAGCTAGTATAAAAAGAAAACAAAGTAGGAATATTTCTTTTAGCTGATGAAATTATTACCCTGAAAATCACTATGAATCAAAGGAAAACCGTACCATAGCATCACATGAATTAGATGTCATTAGGCAAACATTTTCAAATATGAAAAAGCGCATCAAGTTAGAAATTCTAAAACCTCAGAATAGAAATGTATTTAGGTTTTGACTTCAAGGAGCTAATAATATTTTTATTTATGGGCTATAGATAACATGAAACAGACTGCAAAATAGAATTGCTGACTTTCACAGACTTCAGGGTCACCTTTGTTGACAATCTTTTCTGGACCTTCTTTTGTATCCTCTGACCCCAGCCTCATCATCTCAAACTTTATAGAGTCTAATCCAGGGCAGCTAAAAGAAGTGGTGAAAAGTCACCATGAGACTGTCCATTGATTCATTCAGGCTGAGTCTGGAGCTGCACTATTCAGTAAGATAGCTGTTAGTCAGACATGGCTGTTCAAAGCTAAATAAAATTAAAAATTCAGTGCTTCAGGAGCACGTGGGTGCCTCAGTCTGTTGAGCGTCCAACTCTTGATTTTCGGTCAACTCATGATCTCAGGGTCATGGGATTGAGCCTTCTTTTGGGCTCCACGTTGAGCATGGAGCCTGCTTAAGATTCTCTCTCTCTTCCTCGTTCTCTTTCTCATTCTCTTTCTCTCTCTCTTCCTCTTTCTCCTGCCCTCCCCCCTCTCTCTCTCCCTCCCTTTGCCCCTCTTTCCTGCTCGCCTGCTTACCTATTCTCTCTGTCTCTAAAAAAATAAATATATATATATATGTATATATGCATGTATATATGTATTTTTTCCCCAATGCTTCAATCTCACCAGCCACATTTATTTTTTTTTATGTTTATTTATTTTTGAGAAAAACACAGAGTGCAAGCGGGGGAGGGGCAGAGAGAGAGGGAGACACAGAATCCAAAGCAGGCTCCAGGCTCTGAGCTGTCAGCACAGAGCCCGACGTGGGGCTCAAACTCAAGAACTGCAAGATTATGACCTGAGCCCAAGTCAGACACTTAACCAGTTCTCCCACCCAGGTGCCCCGTCACCAGCCACATTTAAAGTGCTCAGTGCCCATATGTCGTCAGTGACAATTGTATTGGACACACAGATATAGAACTTACCTGTCATTACAGAAAGTTCTCTTTGGCAACATTGGTCTGGAGGGACTTGCTTAGAGGAAGGTGTGCAGATCTAAAAAGTAACCAAATATCTACAATTCTGTTAGGAACTCTCACCATACTGTTATTCCCTCCCCTCCCCCTTTCAAACATAAAGGAGCATGAGTTAAGAATGAAGATACTGGAGGTAATTTCTTCACATTTAAAGGGATAGTGGTATTAGCCTTTATTTATTCAACAGATATTTATTGTTTGCCACACAGTAAGTACTCCTCCATTTTTTACTGTCCTCATTGTCCATTGCCCTTTGCTATCTAAGTTCCTCTGCCTCCTGTTCACAGCTCTGCATTATCTGACCGTAGCTTCTTATCTCCAGCTGCTTCCCAAGAAAAATTCAGTTTTTCATGGAGGTCTCCCTATACCTTACCCACACACTCAGGCCTCCTTTCCTCACTTTGTGCCATTCCCTCCATTGCTGTGTGCCTCCTGACACCGTTCACCACCCAGTGCCGTTTTCTTAAAACTCTTCCTGTTGCCTCTTTGCCAGAACTATCTCTGTTCTTCTCTGGCTACTCCTCAGCCTCTTCCTCAGATTTCTCTTTCGTAGCCTGACTCTTAAATGCTAGCATCCTTCAGCGTTCTGGCCTTGGCTCTTTTCCCTTTTTTTTTTTTTTTTTAATTCTGTGCACATTTCCAAGCAGTTTCATCTATGCCTATGTCCATGTGATGTATTCATGTATGTGTGCATACATGTAAGTATGTATAAATTATCAATTAGGATTCTCTGATTTCAAGCAATAGACCCCAATTCTGCCCAAATCAAGCAAATGTGAATTTATCAGAGTGCTATTTGGGTATCCCAGAACGATGCTTGGCAGTGAGATGAAACCAAATCATCTTAAGGAGGCTAAAAATCAGATACTGTACGAATGGTCTCTTAGAAAGACCCATCTGGGCAGTACCTTGCTGGTACAAGTGAATGCATTCCAGCTATATTCAATCTTTCTGTAATTCTCCTGGAGATTCCCATTTAGGTTGGAAGTCTCCCAGTGGTCTGATTAAGAATCTCACAAGACTTTGTTTAATTGGGAAGAAGTAACTCCCCAAAGGAAATCAGATATTCTGTGGAAGGGGAAGAGATGATTATAGTTAAGACAAAATAAACAAAAAGCCAGATGATACTGTATGTACCTGTAAATTGCTAATGTCTGCCTTAAGCTCAGATCTCTCTTCAGTTTCTCTTACATTCTATCTTGCTGCCTTTTGAACATCTCCATCTGAATGTTCCTTAGTCATTCCAAATATAACATTTCTGGGGCTGGCTCAGTCAGTTAAGCGTCTGACTCTTGATTTCAGCTCAGATCACGATCTCACGGTTTGTTGGATCGAGCCCTGTGTCAGGCTCTGTGCTGACAGCATGGAACCTGCTTGGGATTCTCTCTCTCTCCCTCTCTCCACCCCTCCCCAACTTGTGTGCATTCTCTCTCTCAAAATAAATAAACTTAAAAAAAAAGGAAAATATTTTTTTAAAGAAACAAATATAATATTTCTAAAACTAAATTTATGACTTGTCCCTTTATCTTCTGCCTAAAAATAAGGGGGGGAAAAGTCAGTAATAAAGACTAGATTTCTTTACTCCTTGAGTCCACTTCCTCAGGGAAAGGCACCTATCTACCAGAACCCTTATTACATCATTAATGGAGAATCGCCCAAAATACTCATTCCCACAGCTGTTAGAGGTCTCCAAATGCTGTTTGTTTTGCCTGTGTCAAATTCTCTTCCTTCACTTCCACTGCCATTGCCTTAATCCAGGCTCGGGTTTGAACTGAAGTATCACAAGAGCATTGCAACTGTTCTGGCTTCCAATCTGCATGCCACACCCACTTCCAGAAAGATCTTTGTAAAAGCAGACCACATCACTCGCATGCTTAAAACATTGCCTTCAAGAAAATGCCCATTGCCTTTAGAATAAATTCCTTTTTTTTTTGCTTTCCTTGAAGATTAAAAAAAAAAAGTTTTGCTGTTGTACATAACACAAAGATAACAAGTGCATACAGGGTGATTTTTTTTTGTTTTTAACCTCTAAGCCGGTTCCTGTGTTTGAATGTCCTTTCCACCTGAGTTACTACTGTGTGTCTTTCAAGACTTCGCTCAGGTGTAAGTGTGGCCTTCTCCCTGGAAACTTTACCAGTGACAGTCGTCCCTTTGCCCATTTTGGGTGCTTCAGTCTATGCTTAACCTTTATGAATTCCTCTACTGCGCTATTCATAACTATGCGTACTTGTCTTTTTCCTTCAGAGACTGTATAATTGTTGAGAGTTGTGTGTTTTATTTCCAGAATTTTGTCAATTAACTGGCACTTAGGTGATAGTCAGTGAAGCTTGTGGAGTCATTTAAAGCCAAGGCCCTGTGAGAAGCCTTGGCCACTGTGGACCCTGCCATGAGACACAAGGTGGCCAAGAGAAAAAATCCTCAGATTGATGATGTTGTACTGAATGGACAGGCACTTCTTATCTCCTGTGTGCTGCTCAGTGGAAGACCAGCTGTCAGGACTTGGAAAAGCAGGAAGGTTCCTTTCCAGAAGGACACTTGGAAGTTAATTATATGCACAACATACGAGAAAAACTTGTAGAATAACTATTAGCAGATTATATTAGTGTGACAGACTTGAAGAAAATAGAGATGTTTGTGTATTCATAGGAATAGTCTCAGAGAATATTCCCTGAAACATTACCAGTCTCCTGGGGGTGAGATTTTGGCAGATCTTCTACTGTTTCATTTTCATACTTAAACAATTTTTATAAGTATATATATCGTAATTAAAAAAAAAATAATAGGCATTTCCAACAAGAGACAGGCTATCTGTACCTCAGGAGTAGGGTCAGCAGGACGATTCTGTAAGCACGAGGGAGCCTTTGTAGACCTGTTTTCCAAGCCAGTCTTTTCTGGGGAAGCTCAAAAGAAATACGATGCCCCAGACTTCACAGAGGAAATGACGAGTCCATGTAACTGAGGCCAAGCAGGGACCTGGTGAAAGTTCTACACTCCCCAAAGGCTGATCAGCTGCATATTCCAGAGGCCAGTTACTAGAATAACTTCCCAGCCTGGCAGTGAAGTCAGGTACAGTCAGTGGGAGGAGAACTTGGAGAAGCCCCAGTAGGTCTGTGGAAAAGGATACCGCAGGGACTCCAGGCCTGCTACAATGAAGGAGAACTTTTAAGTCCTTTGGATTTTGCAAATACTTTAAAAATAATTGCACCAGATAGTCCAGGTGAACCCCTAAGCCTTACTGGTGCTGGATGCTGTGCCCATCATTGGCCAGTGTTCACACTGGACAGAGGTGATCCTGGGAGTGGGTCTTGGTCTCTCCCATTCCCTCTGCAGGTAACAGGCGACGTCCAGAGATATCCAGAGACAGACATGGAGAGTAAGAAAGCAAGGGAGAGAGTAGCTGTGGCTTTGAAGATAGAGAAGATAGACAGCGTTGTCAAGGAGGCAGAGAGGGAGGAGCCGTGAAGGATGCCCTGAAAACTAGGTGCAAAAAGGAGAAGGTCGTGCTGACGAAGCAGGGTACTATGGCCCTTGGAATCGCCATGGAACGACCAGATTTTACTTGCCTGTCTTTTTCTTGCTCTAAATTATGACACTTAGTTATACCCAAACTGTTCTTGATTAAACTCTTTTGACAGATCAAAAATAAGATAAATGAAGTGAAATTGTATTTACACTGAATCAATTAATAGCTAAGAACATTTTAAGTAATTTTTACATCTACTTTTTAAAAAAATGATGTATCTGTATTTCTGTTGTTCCTATCGTCATATCACCTGCTATGAAATTCATAGCTAATGTCAAAAAAGGTTAGAAATGACAGTGCTTTCCTGTGCTCTTGTAAACAGAAAATAGTTTAGCAAAGGGTTTATCTGGTGTTGAGGTGTTTAGATCATTAATCACATCCCAAGGTTTTTATTGACATTCTATCTTCCTTGACCTCAAACAGTGATCCTTCCAAAGTAATCAAAGGATATTGCATTATCACATTAAAAAAAAAATGAGTTTAAAGCACACTGAAACTGGAAGATGTTTGAGCAGGTAAAAAGTTTGTAAATGTTTAAACTGAGAAGAGAAGTTTTACAAGTATGGAACCGGGGTCATTTTGACAACAAAGTCACAACTATGGTACATTTCAAAACATTTCAAAGCATTTTCATATGCTGGCTCTATAGCATAGGTGTCTTTTTGAAAGGCAGTTTACTTATTCATTGTTTAAATATCATCTTTACCCTGGAGGGACAAAATTAAGTGTGTTTATTATTTGGAAAACATCTGCTAGGTAACATATTATCATTACCACTTGTCATCCTAGAAAAGGTCAGCAAATTTGGGACACTTGCCTTTTTAAAAAAGAAAAATGAATAGCCCATAACATTGTTAGCTCTTTTCAGAATTTTGCCACGGAAAACTAGACACTTCTGGATATAAAACAGATTTTCATTGTCATTTTACATCTTGTTACAACATCCTATAAATGTTCTCCTTTTTAAAGGTCTTGTTTTGACTGCTTGTATATATCCTATAGCAAGTAAACTGCAATATATTACAATAAATGGAAAGATTATAAATAAGTAAGGTGCCACCCTGCTCAGTCTCTTCATTCTGGATCTTCTCTCAGGCTTCCATGGTTTGTGATATGTGACTGTCTAGACTGAGTTGAGGTATCAGGGTTTTCAGTGTTTATTAAGCTGAATTTCTTCTTTATATCTTAGATTGCACTAGAAATAGAGGTTCTAACTTTTTTCCTGCACCTCTGTGGATGTGATGCTCCCCTTAGGGCATGCATATATATATACACACACATATATATATCCCCTTTTGAAGACCCCTAGCTCTATCTCAGAGCATGGGAAGCCCTCTGTGATTTGGCTCCCGTCTACCTCTCCAGACTTATTTCCTGCCATGAGCCGGTCTTGTACCATGTACTCCCAACAACTCCAAACTGCTTTTTTGTTCCTTAATGTACCACACTGTCCCCTCTGCCTAGAATGTTCTTCCCACATTCCTCTTCCTCTCCTCCACTATGCCCTATGAAACTCAGCTAGGGGCGTCTAAATAGCCTTTCTATTTAGAAAGAGCACAGAAAGGCCTCCTCCCACCCCACCCCAACCCCAAATTAGGTATTTTTCCTTGTGCTCACAGAACACTCGGTGTGTCTCTGACACTGCATCACTGGTATTTTATTATGTTTGTGTCTCTCTCTACCACTGTCCCGCAAGTTCCTTGGGGGTAGAGACCTGTCGTACTTAACTTGTGGTTTAGAGATGTTTATGACTGAGTGAATATCGGTTACTTCCTTCACATCTGCTACTTTGAAGTTTCTCTCGCAGAAAGAGGGTTGATACATTCATTCATCCCTGCTGTACATTCCTTTACAGTCTGTTTCAAAATTCTGTCCCTTCCACAGAGAACATACAGTGTTAAACCTTCTGTTCAGTCTCCCCCTTTTTTTAACTTGACATATATTTCTGATCTCTTTTTCAGTAGAGAGATGTGTATGTTTATTTTTCTTTCATTTTTTAACCTCCCACCCTCTTAATCCTTTTTTTTTTTTTTTTTTCTTTTTTGGCTTTGCAGGCTTTGGATGGATTTTTCTTTGTTGTGAACTGTGAAGGGAGAATTGTATTTGTGTCGGAGAATGTGACCAGCTACTTGGGTTACAATCAGGAGGAATTAATGAATACCAGTGTCTACAGCATACTGCATGTAGGGGATCATGCAGAATTTGTGAAGAATCTGCTACCAAAATCACTAGGTACAAAGCAATGTGTTTTTCAAAAGAATATGAACTCTCTCTAGCTGTTTCTTACATTATATAATTGTTGTGTTTATATTACATAGTATCATTTTGAAATAAGTTCTAACACATTAAAAATATTTTTCAGTTTAATTTCAGCCTGATGTGTACATACGAAGAGGGAGTATCATCAAATAGCTGGTAGAGAGCATTCCTTTTATCCTATTCCTCCAGCTTATGACCTAGCCATGTGACAGTGGTGAGAAGCAGAGTAGTCACTGCCTTGCCACTAGAAGCTTCTGCTCGAAACTGCCTTTGTTTTCGGCTTCGATTATGTCCAAGAAAGAGACACATGTATATCCTTCCCACCACCTTGCTCAAAAAGAAGAAAAAGTAGGAAGGGAGGGAGAAATATACTGTCATATTATGTGTATATTAAAATGAATATTTTTGGATGTAAGTGGTTTCAAACTCAGATGTTCTAAGTATGGGTGCACAGGTTGTTTGCTGACAAAGGAGCCTAGCTGAGAGGACGGATGGGGTCTGATTTCTAGCCTCTGTTCCATTTGCTACACTGTGTGCCTATTCCGTAGCCTGTATGTACTCCCAAAGTAAGGGAGGCCTCGGCTAGAAATTCTGTGTAACTAATACACACATGCAAATTGAATGTTATCTGTAGCTCTTTATTTTCGACATTGTTCGCTCAATGGAAAGGAAGCCTCATTCTTTGAAAAGAGTAGTTAGTACATGTTTATAGTATGTACCTGGGGGCCTGAAATGATTATTTCTATTAAAATCACTAGTTAGATATTTGAATTATCAAAGGGTCTTATGTGCTTTGGTATAGCATTTTACAGTGTAAATGATTTTAGAGATGATACAGTGGATTCCTTTATTTTAAAGATGGTGCAGGGGCACCTGGGTGGCTCAGTCAGTTAAGCGTCTGACTCCTGGTTTGGGCTCAGGTCATGCTCTCACAGTTTGTAGGTTCAAGCCCTGTGTTGGGCTCTGCACTGATAATGTGGAACCTGCTTGAGATTCTCTCTTTCCCTGTTTCTCTGCCCCTTCTCCATGTGCTTGCATGTGCGCACACGTGCGTGCTCTCTCTCTCTCAAAATAAATAAATAATTAATGATAAAGATGGTGCAGAGATAAAGTAATTAACCTCAACCTCACAGCTAGCTCATAGCAGAACCAAGACTCCTTCTTCCAGTACAGGTTTGTTTCCGTGATTTCCTCTAACACTCTAACAGTTACACGGTGATGAGATCGTAAAAAGGAGGAAGGGTCAGTGAAGAGAATAAAGTTAAAAGAAAAACAAAAAACTGTTGGGAATGGTGAGAGAAGAGCCTTAAAAACCTTCCAGCTGCCACCATGGTTTGAATAGAACATTGTAACTGGGAAATGGTGCCCCATCACACAGTGATTATCATTTGAAATGTATAGACCTATTTTCTATAACTGAATTCGGTTTTTTATACCGAGTCAGGTAACATTTATGTTTAACAATCATTTTTATGTTATAACTTATTGATTACCCACTATATTTGAGGCATTGTTGTATATAAACTGTGCAAATAAAATAAGGTATAAGAATGGTTATAAGAACCCAAGGTTGGTCTCTGTCTATTCTAAATATTTTTTTGAGTCACAGTCTCCTTTGAGAAACTGAATCCTGTCCCCAAAAAAGGTGCACATGTACACAAGCCCATCCTTAAGAATACACACCTGCCAGGTTAAAACTCCTGCTTAACAATGGATCTGTGGTTTCCAATCAGGTTTTCATTTCTAGGATGCAACTGGAAACAAATAGAAAAGTGCATTAATTAACTGCTTGTAAAAATCTGAGCAAAAGAGCTAGGAAGTTATTAATTTTTAATTTTGTCTTTAACTGTTTATACAGACTGTTAATGAATTAAGAATTTGTAAGGCCTTATTTTTGAGGGGGGATGTCCTATACAATCTGTTAGAATATTTTACAGTTTTCTGATTGGTAGACATTTAGATTTGCTAAGAAAGATAAGTATCCTATTGCCTCAGGATAATGTGAGACCTGAAGAGATCTGTCTTTTAATCTGAGTATCTGACGAAGCAGATGGCTATAGGTATGTCTTTTGTATCCTCCGAGTTTTTCACCTTATTCACAGACATATAATCAATTTTTCTTCCGTAGTAAATGGAGTTCCTTGGCCTCAAGAGGCAACACGACGAAATAGCCATACCTTTAACTGCAGGATGCTAATTCACCCTCCAGATGAGCCAGGCACCGAGAACCAAGAAGCTTGCCAGCGGTATGAAGTAATGCAGTGTTTTACTGTGTCACAGCCAAAATCAATTCAAGAGGATGGAGAAGGTAAAACAAAGGGTGATTTTAAGGTGTTTGATCACTTTTTCCATGACTTTAAAGACCAAGGAGGTAATTGATTATAAGTAGCCTTTTTCAGATAGTATTGGTCACTGTATTATGCATCATAGTGGCTATTCAGTTCACTACGTATTTCTTAATACTTAAGAAAAGAACTGCCAACATGTAGACTCACCCCTTTAAAAAGCCCCCAAACTCTCAGTTTTAAGCTGGCATTCCCACTAAAATGTCAAATTCAAACCAACTTGCTGCCTAGAAATAAGAGACGCAGCTAACTGCTGCCAGTTGGAAATGTACCAGATATAGCAGGCTGTTGAACAGCTCTGATTTTTAGAAAGTTTCAAGTTTAGAGTGTGGGGAACATTGGAGAATAGAGTTAGCATTTTTGAGGCCATACAAGGTAATTGTATGTTTGTTTCCTTATACAAGGCTCTCCTTATGAACAGATGAAAACACAGCTGAAGCTCTAATATGAACATGGTATCAACATGGCATTGATTAAAATCTGTGACAGTGGATGAATTTTCCATGTGAACTAGGCTGAGTTAAGAACACCACAAATTGGAAACTGGAGTAAGGACTAGGGAAGGTAGTAGATGAGGACTTAATCAGATGCAAAAAAAGGGCCACGCATGTAGCAGGCTTCACCCGTGAATGGGTGCCACAGTCAACTGAGGACTTTTTGTAAAATACACATGCCAGTGCCAGCCTGTCTTGTATGACTGAAGTTCATGTTTAGCTATGCGGTGTTGTGTGTAACACTCAAGAAAATTGGAAATGGAACTTCGAAAAAGTTATGGGTCCCAACAACATAAAGTCCTTTATCAGGGGCAAAATAATGTTTCTTCAGAAAGAGTTAAATGTTTTTGTCATATGGTAATTTTTATCTGCACAGTGGTTATAAGAATAATTTCTGTGGCCATTAAGTACTGATAAGTATAGGAAATTGACTAAGGACTCTATTTTTTAAAAAATCACTGTGTTGCTTAAATCTAGTGAAAACTACTTCTTCATGTTGTTATCATGCAAGTACATGAGAGGCATCTGTCTCCTCTGGTTTTTGTCAGAACATTCAATGGGAAGGGATAATGTATGCTAACTGGATCTCTACCTGGAGCTGCCAGCTTTTGGTTACCAGCAATTTTATCACTAATACTATATTACTAGATCAGAGCGGCTCCGATATTGTGTCAGATCCTGTAACATGTTGTTTTTATAAAAACCATTAGTGGCAAATGATAGGTGTGAACTGTTTTCTGCCCTCCTTTCTTCAACTTCCCCTTCTTGTTTTGGGCAGATTTCCAGTCATGTTTGATTTGTATTGCACGGCGATTACCTCGGCCTCCAGCTATTACCGGTGTAGAATCCTTTATGACCAAGCAAGATACTACAGGTACTAACTGCAAAGTTTAGAATTACATCCAAAATTTTGTGTTCGTCTGTTCTCTGCCATTCAGCTTCTGTTCACCAGTCTTATACAAAAAATACTTTAAATGATAGTCCTGATCTTGTGCATTTTAATTTTATTTTTTTATTTTTTTAAGATTTTACTTTTCAGCAAAGTCCATACCCAATGTGGAGCTCGAACTCATAACCTCAAGATCAAGAGTCCCATGCTGCATCGACCAAGTCAGTCAGATGCCCCATTGATCTTGTGCATTTTAGATGCTAAAATCATTGTCATGAGCAGGGTGCTGGGGGGAATATTATAACTATTAACATATTGTTTTGGTCATAAATTACTTTTCATAATCATGGAATAAAATTTTTAAAGAAATTTGGCAGTGTAGATGTAAATATATTTATTTATAAATGGTGGCTTTAAAATTATGCTTAAATGTATCTAGCTATTTCTTTTTCCCTTCTTCTTTTTCTTTAAATGTATTCAGCACATACTGATCGAGTGCCTAGAAGTGCCTGTCACTATGTGTGACTGCTCAGGTATACAAGGCTGAGCCAAAAATCAATAATGTAATTACAAATTGTGGTGCATTTTATGATGGAAAAGGTGTGAGATGGTAAAAGGGAAGCGAACAGGGAGAACCTGTTTTTAAATTAGCTGGTTAACCAGTGCCTGTCTGAGGAGCTGATACGGAGCCCTGAGCTCCAAAGGATGAGGTGGTGCAAACTCTGCACAGGGTGGAGGGGGTGGCGAGGAGGGGTCATGGTGCGGGGTGAGGACTCCTGATTGAGGGAGGAGAGCTGTGATGGCCCTCAGGAGACAGACAGGCGTGTCAGACGAGCTGAAAGAAGGGCAGCAGAGCCCAGAGTAAGTAATGGTAGGACTTCCAGAAAGTAAGGCCCTTTTTGGAAAGGCCTGCTTCAGATTTGATCTTTGGCAAAAACAATCTGTTGTTGTTCTTTACAATTTTACATAGAATTTTCCATATGTTATGTAATCTTCACTTTGAACACACCAAGTTTCATACTTTTACATCAGAGTTAGGTGTGTATCACTTGCCTCTCTCACTTTAAAATAGGGATATTTTAAAATAGGGATAAGATACTACAGATAGATTTTTTTTTTTTTTTTTTTTAGCAGGCCAAGGTTTAAACAGTCATTTCTACTGAATTTTATTCTTTGTGAAATTTTGGTTTTAATGTACTTTTTGACCTTTACCATTTTTATAAATTTATTAATATTTGTTACAATACTTATTAATGTTTTAGTCCCAGAAATCAAGTATTCCTGTTGTGTTCCTTATTCTTGTGTTTTTAAAGATAAGCTCCCAGCTGCTCTAACTAAAGAGTACATGGGGATAAATTAGCACAAATAATAGAATACAGTAAAGAGAATATCTAGGACTTGGAGATACAGAATTTGAGCGTAGTAATTATCACTTAACCGTAACTTTCTTCGTTCCCTTTTTGAGTCTGCCATCTACCTGTCCTTTTCCATTTTCCACCAATGAACAGCTCTGGAAAAATTTGATAACCTTTATTGAAAACTAAAACCACTAAGGCATGGAGGAAAAATAGGGTCCTCTGACAAATATAACTGGTCTTTTGTGTCAGTAAAACCAAGTAAGGGCTGGTGAGATAGCAGAATAAGAGCTTGCTGGAAAGGATGATGGTTAGGCTACAGGATAAATGTGGAAGATGAAGGATGCTTAAAAATTATGAGGATAATTTAGGAACAGTATATTTCAGCTTTTCCTTATATTGAATTTCTACAAATTGAATCATTAATTGTTTTAAAAGAAGACTGTATTATCCCATAGGAACACTGTTGTGACTGGTAGTTTTGTTTCTGGCCAAGGACCCAGCATTACTATCTTAGATATACCTGATTTAAAAATAAATACATAAAAGTTGGGCGCCTGGGTGGCGCAGTCGGTTAAGGGTCCGACTTCAGCCAGGTCACGATCTCGCGGTCTGTGAGTTCGAGCCCCGCGTCAGGCTCTGGGCTGATGGCTCAGAGCCTGGAGCCTGTTTCCGATTCTGTGCCTCCCTCTCTCTCTGCCCCTCCCCCGTTCATGCTCTGTCTCTCTCTGTCCCAAAAATAAATAAACGTTGAAAAAAAAAATTTAAAAAAAAATACATAAAAGTTTAAAAATTGAACTCCGAATCATAAAATAATTATAAACCTACAGGGAACCTCAGGGATCACAGACTTTAGCCTACCCATTTTACAAATGATGGAATGGTGCCTTTTCCAGAACCATACAGCTAATTGTTGAGAACAGATATCCTTAGGCCCTAATATAGGACCCTTCATTTCTGTTGCATTGCTTTCCACCAAAGCACTAGTAAAAGGACATTACTGTACTGTATGCACTTATTACATAAAAGATGCCAGAGGAAATGTAAATAGAAGGAAATAAAAAGGTACCAAAGAAATAAATACTCAACCTTATTCATTGGGAGGTACAAATTTAGAGCATAAACATTTTTCACCTACTAATTGTAAAAAATAAAGACTGACAGTACCCCAAGTGATGGAGAGGATGTTGGATTAACAGTAACTTCTATGTAAGTTCCTAGAAAACAATTTAATATTATGAAGTTGAACGTTCACATAACCTGTGACTCAACAGTTTTGTTCCTACGTATATACCCTAGAGAAACTCTCACACACATGCACCATGGAAAATGTAGATGATGTTCACAGAAGCACCGATTGTAAAAAAAAAAGGGGGGGGTACAATTTAGATGTCGCTTGACAGGAGAATGTAAAAACAGGGTTGGGGCAAGTGAGGAGTACACACATGATGGGATCGTATAGCTGATGTTCAAGTTCTGAAGTTGGATGGTGGGTTTGCAGGTTTTTATGTTATTAATCTAATTGTGCGTGTGTGTGTGTGTGTGTGTGTGTGTGTGTGTGTGTGTGTGTGTGTATAACCTGTATTATTTTGTGTTAATATCAGGTTGCATCAAGAAATAAAACAGATCTGAACAATCCCAAACTGAAACAATTGGTCCCTGGTTAACCAAGGAATAATTTACCTGAATTCTTCCACAGCCATCTAGGAAATTTGTTCAAATAGGATGACAATAGCAAATCACCACTACATTTTTATAAAGCATATGTTCTTTGTGCAGAATGTCTTACAAATCTTAGGTTCTGACATATCTTTTTCTGATGTAACTTTTATTGCCTTCAGTCTTTGTTTACTCTCAAATGCCCAAGACGAGGTAGAAAAGGAAGGTCTTGCCTACTTTCTCGTATTCTCTTCACTTAGTTAATGGAAATTAATTTAAACCAAAATAATATATTTCATCTCTGCCTCTCCTTCCCCAATAAGTGTTCCAGTTGTTAGGATATATTAGAGTAGGATCCAAAGAGCAAGTATGAGGAGTTGGACCTATATTAGCCTCTGCACCTTCAGGCCTTTGTAGTTTGACTTTAATGCTTGACTGGAATGGAATTTTAGAATATGATGTACTAATATACAACACCCTCAAGGCCAAAACAATTTTTTATTGTCATGTAAGTGATATACTCCATTATCATATGTAACAAAAATCAATAGTTTATTAATGTTTTTGTCCATTAAACATTTAGGAGCGGCAGCACATTTCTTAGATGTAGTTGTTAATTTTGAAATATGGATGACTTATATCAAGAAGCTATCACAAGTGTAAACTTTGGTTCTTCATGTAGGCAAAATCATCTCTATTGATACCAGTTCCCTGAGAGCTGCTGGCAGAACTGGCTGGGAAGATTTAGTGAGGAAGTGCATTTATGCTTTTTTCCAACCTCAGGGCAGAGAACCATCTTATGCCAGACAACTGTTTCAAGAAGGTAAAGTTTTTTCTCTCTTAATTACTTTCATTAACCTTGCTTTTTATTCATGTCAAGTAATTTATGTAGAACTTATGGCTTGATAAGTATTTTCTCCAAATTACAGTTTTTGCAATAATCAGTTTTAGGAAAGGAAGAAATGGGTAAGCAAAGTAATTCATGAGTGGATCCTGAATTTGGGATGCACATTTTAAAGAAGAGGATATCATGTGGTGGTCACTCACTCATTCATTCATTCATTCATTCAGCAGACATGTATCAAGTTCTTCACATACATAGAACACTATTTCAGATGGCAGGGATACAGTGATGATGAATAAGCAGGGTTTTGCCCTCAAGGAGCTCAAAATATATTAGGACAACATATGACAACTTTAAAGATCAGTGTGACATGGCCTTATGTCTAGAGGTATAACCAAAGAAGAAAAAAATTAATTCTGACTTGGAGAATCAGGGATGGCTGCAGAGAGAAAGTGATCATTTCATCTGGCTTTTGAAGATCATTCCCAGCAGAAGAGACATGTGAAAGGGCTTCTAATTAATATAGAAATCCGTATTATACATGTTGACTTCGTTACTGTTATGGTTCCTGTATCACCTGACTCCTGTTGAAGTTTCAAGTTAAAATATGTCATATGAAATTAATAATTGTATAGATGCTGTGTCATAGTACTATGGGAGATAAAACAAGTATATTCCTTGCCCTTAAGGAACTTAGCAGTATTACAGGACACATAGGGAAAATTATTTGAGAAAGTTCATAGAATTTCAGAGGTGAGGGTTTTGATACACTTTTAAAATATCACAGAATTATGGTAGCCTAATACTGTGTTCCCAGTATAATTTATTCTCTATTCTCTAATAGTTTCTTTGCAAAGAGACTCTTCGTATGGCTCTTCCTAAACGGCAGTGTAAAAATATTTTCATTATTCTATCACCCTTCTTAATTTTAACATTTCCCCATAATAGGTTTCCTAACTTTATAGATGATTTGCCATTCATTACATTGTAGGTCAGCTGCTTCCAGATGATACATGGAGAGGAAGCAGCTTGTTTTTTTTTTGTTGTTTTTTTCAGGAACCCATCTGTATGAATCTCACTAGTCTGGTTACTGTTAGGACAACTTCCTGGAGACTAATAGTTCTCCAGTGGGACTTTTACTAGACTGATACCTTCCCCAAAGATGGTATTTCAGTGGATAAAACCAAGAGTCTGTATTTTTTTTTTAATGTTTTTAAGTTTATTTATTTATTTTTGAGAGAGAAACAGAGCAAGTGAGTGGGGGAGGGACAGAGAGAGCAGGAGAGAAAGAATCCCAAGCAGGCTCTGCACTGTCAGCATGGAGCCCGATATGGGGCTCGAACTCACAAACCATGAGACTGTGAGCTGAGCCGAAACCAAGAGTCGGATGCTTAACCGACTGAGCCACCCAGGCGCCCCAAGAATCTATAATTTTTTCAAGTCCCCAGGCAATTCTGAAGTGCAGTCAGGTTTGGAAACCATTGAAGTAAGCAACTATGATGCCATTTACTGGTTGCAAACTTTGTGACTCTCTCTACCAAGAATGGCACTTGAGTTTTGCATAAGTTTGAGTCTCGGAGCACTATCTCCATTCACTGCCTAAAATGCTGAAGTATATGATACTCTGAAGTTTTTGCCTTAACTTTTAAGTTGTGACTTCCAAGACTTTAACTCAAAGATTTAATTTTATTTGCCTATAATTTATATATATATATAATTTATATATAATTTATATATAATTTATATATACTTCTGCAGGTCCAGATTATGATCTCATTGTCTAAATGACTAGGTTCCCTGTAGATGTAACTGAACCACAGTTTATGTGTTTCTAAACCATTAAGAATCCTCTATAAAGCAGATTGATTAAAGTGTAACAAGTAACTATCATTCACATATGAAGTAAAACAATTTAGAGTAAAATGTAAAGAAATATAATTCAGCACCTTTTCCCCATTAGTCATTTCTTCATGTCCTTTTCTTCCACTTCTTTTGGGAAGAAAACATTCCTCAACAGAGATAACTTGTATTTTTCTCAGCACTGTTGTCCAGAGTTCACATGACTCTGATTATATAGTGTTTTGGAGATTCTGGACAATTTGCCAGTGTTCATGGATTGAACACATCTTCTTCTGATATTTCGTACTCAGATTATATAACCTGTAAGAAAACGATCCGTGAAACCCTCACATGGGGATCATCTGTTAAAGATGTTGACCCGCTGAATGAAAATCTGTGAGGGCCCAGGTATCTTAAACTCCCAAGGCTGTGCTTATTTAAGTACATCAAGTTTGAGGTCTGTCCAGAGTTGGAAGAGGTGTATATTTGCATTTGCTCCCTATTTACCTAAGGACAGTGTGAAAGAGTGAAATTATGACACTGTGTGAAACTTGATTTTGTGTGACACTTTTAAAAAGTTAAAAGTTTATACAATTCCATAGTGATTGATATTTAGGCAAGAAAAATTTGCCTTCCATGTGTTTTTTTCTGCCCATTAACTTACTCTTTGAAGGTAGTGGCTGGTAGAAAATGATAATATGCATTAAACTTTATTTTATTTATTTATTTATTTATTTATTTATTTATTTTATTTATATATGAAATTTATTGTCAAATTGGTTTCCATACAACACCCAGTGCTCATCCCAAAAGGTGCCCTCCTCAATACCCATCACCCACCCTCTCCTCCCTCCCACCCCCCATCAACCCTCAGTTTGCTCTCAGTTCTCAACAGTCTCTTATGCTTTGGCTCTCTCCCACTCTAACCTCTTTTTTTTTTTTTTTTTTCCTTCCCCTCCCCCATGGGTTCCTGTTAAGTTTCTCAGGATCCACATAAGAGTGAAACCATATGGTATCTGTCTTTCTCTGTATGGCTTATTTCACTTAGCATCACACTCTCCAGTTCCATCCACGTTGCTACAAAAGGCCATATTTCATTTTTTCTCATTGCCACGTAGTATTCCATTGTGTATATAAACCACAATTTCTTTATCCATTCATCAGTTGATGGACATTTAGGCTCTTTCCATAATTTGGCTATTGTTGAGAGTGCTAATTAATATGCATTAAACTTTAAATTAGTTCTTAGCGTAGTTTTTCAGCTGCTTTTGACAGAGATAGTGCATGGACTTTAAAAAAAATTTTTTTTAACATTTATTCATTTTTGAGAGACAGAGCACAAACAGGGGAGGGGCAGACAGAGATGGAGACACAGAATCCAAAGCAGGCTCCGGGCTCCGAGCTGTCAACCCAGAGCCCAGTGCAGGGCTCGAACCCATGAACCATCAGATCATGACCTGAGCCAAAGTCAGACGCTCAACTGACTTGAGCCACCCAGGCACCCACCTGCTCATGGACTGTTTTTAAAGGGGGTTTACCATTTTATTTTCTAGAATCAAATTTGTAAACACACACACACATTTCAGTCAAAGAATATGTGGGAGCATTCAGCATGAACTAGATTACGCAGTGGTTCTCCACTTAGATTAGGGAGAAATGGGGATCACAATCACCTGAGGTACTTTTTAAACTAGGTCCTTGTAGGTGTTTATGGTTTGAAAAGGTTTTCCAGATTTGGTTGAATTGAGAACCATTCCTTTCAAGAAAGGTTTGGGTTAAATGCATCCCAGAGGTCCTTGATAAGATTCATTGAGGGAAGTTGTTAAACCAGATTTCTGGACTCCACCCACACTACTGAATCAGGGTGTATAGTCTAAGATGTTTTCTTACAGAGAAGTTTGGAAAACGTAAACCTACATTCCACAAGACATTAATAGCTGTAACTGAGAAATTATGTTTCGTGCTGAATTCAGTTTGGGGAATGTTTCAGTCCCCCACTCTTGGGGATTCATAAGACATAATTAAGGTATTTAAGTTTCTGGGAGGTTCCACCTTAAAGGTACCTGTTTAATTTTGTTATCCAGACTTATTTTTCCTCAGAATACTTCTTCCTGTAGCACATCTATCAGCATTTAGGGAGAGTAGCATTCATGGGGAGTGTTGGTCTAGATAACCTAGGAAAGTTTTATTAAAGAACTGCTTATTTATTATCAGTGATGTAATGGATCATCATTTCTTGGCTTTGAAGATGTCCATGATATATTGTTATATTGAAAAGTAGGCTATGAAAGCACAGCATATATAGTAGGACTCACTTCTGTATGTTTGTTTATCCAATTCTAGAAGGCTTACAAAATGTGAACAGTGGTTATCTCTGAGTGATGGGATTACAAATGACTTTATCTTACTCTGTTCATTTCTCTATTAATGTTATAATCACAAAATAGAGTTATTTTAATTTAAAAAAATCACGAGACAATTGGAAGGAGTTTATAGTATCAAGAAGTTTGGAAGCATTGCTGTAAAACATAAGCACCCATATGAATGATTAACCAGGATGTTCTCTGAGACTTGTGTAATGTGGTTAATTCCATGGTCCTTATCACAGAGTTAACTGAAAATCTTTTTTTGTCAGGCTTGTTGAAAGTATTTAAAATATGAATTTATTTTTCTTTTTTAGAAATTTTGATATACTGAATAGGGTTTGCTCATTGGTGATTGAATATCTTAGAGCATCGAGGGGTAATTTTTTTTCTTTACCTTAATAACAGTTTTTTAAATTGCATTCTTCCTGCACATATCTAGGGAAATACCAAAAGGAAAAAAATCTCTCCCAGCATTGACCTGTAGTGCTCTGCCACACATTTTATACCTACCCATACAGTTACTGTCAGTAGCGCATGCTCCTTGAGGTGATCTCGGAACTAGATTGGTGGAGTCACAAACCCAAATAGCTCTAGTTTTACAGCTACTATGGCCAGAGGGAATGGTTTCCTTTGCTTCATAGCTCTGTTGAGGCCTATTCTGGAGGGGGGATGAAAACAGTTGTTATTTTAAAGGTTCCTAGAAGAATTTCGGGGGTGTCAATAATGCCACATCAATGGTATCCCTTCACACTAAGTGTTCTAAAAATTGTAGAAATGGACACAGTAGTCAGGAATTACAATAGTAGCTAGCTATATACCTGGCAGACTTAGACTGGAAAACAAGGCCAGGAGCTATGATCAAAATGACATTCCAAATAGTTTTGTCCAGTCGTAAACCTTGAAACCCATTTAAAGTGAAAATTTGGTGTGCAGAGCAAATGTTTATCCAGCCAGCTCTGTAAAGCTGTAAAATCATGTCTTAATTCAAAATATGAATGATCATTATATAGGATTGAAGCTATTGGTGTGAATGGTATCTAGGGATTGGTTGAATGTGTATGACTCAGGATGTATGTACTTTGTGTTTGTTTTTTCTTTGGTGTTTATTCAGGAAATATTCATTCAGTACCTGCTATGTACTAGGCTCCATATGAGATATTATCTCACAACATTACCGGCTCCGTTTTAGTGATAATGGGCGAAGGTTAATTTGCATTATGAAGTCCTAAACTTGTAAATGACAAAGTCAGAGTTCAAGTCTAAATCTGACTTCTAGGCTCTTATTCTTTTCATTGAACCATATTACTGTCCTGTTTACCTTTCTGTCTGAACAGTTGAGCACCAGAAGAATTTTAGTTAACTGGATAGTCTTAATTAAGTTCTAATAATTAAAGCTTTACTCTATTTAATATTACCTTTGTTTCTTTTCAAAGAGTGACTGTGTGAATTATGTGTGCTGTCTTTTTTCCACACACTACCATCCAAAATAAATAATCTAACTTGAAATTTTTAAGTGTAGTGATTTCCTTGAATGAAGTTAAGAAGGGTTCCCCAATTTTGGAAGTTTTACTAGTTTAGATAGATATAATCCTACAAGTTAAGGCAGCCTAGTTACCAAAGGACCAATCATGTTTCTGTAATCCACATTAAAGATCTTAGTGTTCCCATGCTGGTCTGAGTTTCTAGTTCTTTCTCACTTTATACAGCTTACCAACAAATCAAGAAATTTCTCTCCATTAATTTTCATTATAAAAATTAAGTCCAGAGTCATGTAAGAGCAAGAACATAAACTGAGATATAAGCATTTATCTTATCAGCTAAGATTTAAAATCTGTCCTTTAAAGAAAAGTTATAGTAGTTGATCACAAGTCATTATTAGTCTGTTTAGATGAGATTCAAGTTGAGGGTCAATCAGCAAGTACTTACTGGGTGATTTTATACGCAAAGCATTGTGCACAATTCAAGGAGAGTGGAAAACAAGAATGGGACACAGAACTAGCCCTTATGTTTATTTTAGCTGATGAAGAAAAATAAATGTCTGAAGTTATCTGCCTCTTATTTAAAGAGATACAAAAGTGACTTCACTCATATGGAATGTAAGATAGAAAACAGATGAACATAAGGGAAGGGAAGCAAAAATAATATAAAAACCGGAAGGGGGACAAAACATAAGAGACTCTTAAATACAGAGAACAAACTGAGGGTTGCTGGAGGGGCTGTGGGTGGGGGGATGGGCTTAATGGGCAAGGGGCATTAAGGAGGACCCTTGCTGGGATGAGCACTGGGTGATATATGTAGGGGATGAGTCACTGGATTCTATTCCTGAAATTATTGTTGCACTATATGCTAACTAACTTGGATGTAAATTGAAAAATAAATAAATATATTAATAAAAAATAAAGAGATATAGAAGAAATGTTTAGGAAGCAATGAAAAATAAGATTGGAAATGTAAGTGGTAGTCAGATTGTACATAGCCGTATTGTCCAGTATGGGAGACACTAGCCCCATGTAGCTATTAAGTAGTTGAAATGTGGCTAGTGTGACTGAGGAGCTGAATTTAAAATTTTATTTAATTTTAAATTTAAATAGCCACATGTGGCTGGTGGATACCATATCGGACAGTTCAGCTCAATAGTGAAGAGCCAGTGTTTTCCAGCAGAATGGGGAGATCCTAAGGTCAATAAACAATGATGAAGAAATAGACCAAATGGCATAAGCAAAATAACATGAAATGTATCTTGCTTGGCCCTTTACATAGCTATAGCTTTATCATTATCCCAAGTTAATAATTTATTTAAAAATGCTACTTTTTGTTGTAGATATATTTTCCAAAACATATTGGTAAAGATTTAACAGTTTGGGATTTAGGTACACCAAACATTTATTTGTATCCTTATACAAAAATTACTCATTTCCTTTAAGACTGTCTTTCATTAGATGTTATTTCATTAAGTACTAAATTTCTCTGAATGTTATATTTGGTAAATGTACCAGTGATTTGGCTGAAATTGCCAAATGGGTAAGGAATGTGGTTGGTTGGACATAAATCTTAATCCTTTCAATTAAGTTTATATCCTAATTTTGGTACTTAGTTTGATTTGTGTATGGTATAGATTTACAACAGATTATGCCCGCTTCAGTATGTAAAGTATACCCAAAGCAATAAAAGAGAGTATGTCTTCTCTTTACTTAAAGTAATATGTAGCTTCAAAAAATATTTAGTGATTGGTCATTTTAAGTCTTTTTAACATGTCTTTAAAATGTAATAGAAGGGCTTTCTGAAATGTCTTTGAAGAATAGGACTAACATTTATTGCAGGCTAAATTGTAATAGTCATTTGTGGTAGTAATTCTTGTTTTTCAGTGAATATGGTTTTTAACCTTGGTATAGCTGAATCTACCTACTAAATCTTTCTTAAAATAGAATTTTATTATATTGCTAAGATACCTATGACATTTTCTTACTTAGTAGTCTGATATAGCCTTTACATATTTAATAAACACTTACCAATATGGCTAGAATTTGTCTGCTATTAATAAAGCTTTAAGACAAAAGCAGATCATGTTGTTTATGTAGTAATTTGACTGCCTTATCCTAGTTTTTGTTTTTTATATTAGTAACCATTGGCTTTATCTTGATTTGCTTACTACACTAAATTCAAACATCAAAAACAATACATATATGTGAATACAGTAATTTGTCAGTGATTTACATTCCTGAGTGAAAAATTACATTTGAATTTCAGTTAAGTGACTCTGCATACTAATAAAAACAGAGAGAGGGTGAATTTCATGGTATATGAATTACATCTCAGTAAAGCTGTCATTAAATAATCAGCCAGCAAAGGGAAGGAAAAAAAGAAAAAAACTTGTTTGAGGTAATACTGAAAGGGAAAGGAGAGAAGGTTACTTCCTGGTATTTTAATTACTTCCTGGTAATTTGAAGAGCTGTCCCATTATGGAGAAAAATTAAGGTTGACTTTTTTTGCCTGGTTTGAAGTTTCTTCATAATTTTAACTTCTGTGAAGAGGCACTCGTTCAAGTAGTACTAAATGAAAACTTGTCATTAAGTGGTCTATTTCAACCAGAATCTTTTTCCCCCCGCTCAGATCTCTGCTTTGTCTGAAGTATTCTTTATTTTGACTGAGCAGGCAGCGGTTGGGAGGGCATTTAAAATGAGGTTCGAGGTAGAAGGAAGGCATGGTAACTCTCCTCCACCCGAAGTGCAAGTGTCAGAATTTTAACTAGGTTTTTCTTTCGTTTGAAACAGTGATGACCCGTGGCACTGCGTCCAGCCCATCCTATAGATTCATATTGAATGATGGGACAATGCTTAGCGCCCACACCAAGTGTAAGCTTTGCTACCCTCAAAGTCCAGACATGCAACCTTTCATCATGGGAATTCATATCATCGACAGGTACTACTTATTTGGAGAGCTTCATATGATATAAGTCAGTTCACATATCTCTTCTTAGAGAAGAAATTTTTTATACTCTTTAATGGCTAGAAAACAAAAATTCTAAATTAAAACTAGCGTGATGAGTATATAATCAGTATATCCATACTGGGTTTTATAGTTTTGTCGCGTAACAGTAGCCTTACTTTTTGTTGTTTTTGTTTTTGTTTTTTGTTTTGTTTTGTTTTGTTTAAAAAGGGACACAGGGAAGGTTAGGCTGAAAATATGTGTTTTGGGGGTAAAAACCAAAAAAGTGGCTAAAAATATCCAACATTCCACGTGTGAACTTTGGTCTTATAAAAGCTTTCAGAGTTTGTTACTATTGTTATTTTTATTTTTAAAAGTGTTATATTTTCGTTAGTGCAGACTCGATGGCTCCTGAGTTCAAGTTGACTGTTTCTGGAACTACAAGTCATTAAACTATCAACTTGAGATTTTCGAGTGTCATTGCCTCTAATTTGTTCCCCTCTCTAAATACATTTTACATTGGTATATATGGTAAATTCATGGAACCATTCTTTTATCCTATGAATTATTCAAAACCCTACATTTGTAACTATTTAAAATGTAGCATTAAACAAAAACAAAGACATTTCCCCTCACTTCATCTTTTCCTCATCTGATATATTTGCTTATTGGAACATGGTAATACCAGTCACAAATCTGTTGTCATAATTATGGATTTGAGTAAAGAGCTCGATGAAAATCTGAATTCAGTATTCTGTTTTTTTCTAATTTTAGTTTAATTTATTCTTGTGAGTGGAATTAGCACAGTTCTTTTTTTCATATTGTGATTTCTCTTTCAAAACATCTGCTATGTCTGCATATCACCCTTTTTAATTTTTACATCAGTGACACAGTATTTTCCTTACCCAGTCTTCCTCTTTGGAGTTGAAATACTTAAAAGCTGTAACAAGGGAGTCATGAATAAAGACTTCATAAACAGAGGTGTGGGAAGTTTCTCAACCAAAAATATTATTGTAATGTTAAGTATTTATATTACATTTTGAAAAGTTTAAAAGTACCTATATTGGATCTTTTCCAAGGCCAAGAAAGATTTGTTTTTCCTATAACTGAAACCATTATCAAATTTATGGAACCTTGAGCACCATTTCCCATTAAGTGGTGCTAATATTTCACAATAGTACTAATAGTCCACTGTTTCTCTTTAGTTTAAGGTGATACAGAAGCTCTTTTCTTGATGGCTTGCAGTATTAATGAGGTTAATGGTCTTGGTTTATAATATGCATCATAAAAATATTTTAATGGAAACCAGTGGAGATGTTTGAATAATGTCTTTTCTCCTCCTAGGGAACACAGTGGTCTTTCTCCTCAAGATGACACTAATTCTGGAATGTCAATTTCCCGAGTAAACCCGTCCGTCAATTCTAGTATCTCTCCGGCTCATGGTGTGGCTCGTTCATCCACATTGCCACCATCCAGCAACAACATGGTATCCCCCAGAGTAAACCGTCAACAGAGCTCAGACCTCCATAGCAGCAGTCATAGTAACTCTAGCAACAGCCAAGGGAGTTTTGGATGCTCACCTGGAAATCAGATTGTAGCCAGTGTTGCCTTAAACCAGGGACAGGCCAGTTCCCAGAGCACTAACCCCTCCTTAAACCTCAATAATTCTCCTATGGAAGGTACAGGAATATCTCTCGCACAGTTCATGTCTCCAAGGAGACAAGTTAGTTCTGGATTGGCAACAAGGCCCAGGATGCCAAACAATTCGTTTCCTCCTAATATTCCAACATTAAGCTCTCCCGTTGGCATGACAGGTAGTACCTGTAATAATAGTAACCGATCTTATTCAAACATCCCAGTAACATCTTTACAGAGTATGAATGAAGGACCCAATAACTCCGTTGGCTTCTCTGCCAGTTCTCCAGTCCTCAGGCAGATGAGCTCGCAGAATTCACCTAGCAGATTAAATATACAGCCCACAAAAGCTGAGTCCAAAGATAACAAAGAGATTGCATCCATTTTAAATGAAATGATTCAGTCCGACAACAGCTCTAGTGATGGCAAACCTCTGGATTCCGGGCTTCTGCATAACAATGACAGACTCTCAGATGGAGACAATAAATACTCCCAAACCAGTCACAAACTAGTGCAGCTTCTGACAACAACAGCAGAGCAGCAGTTACGGCATGCCGATATAGACACAAGTTGCAAAGAGGTACTGTCTTGCTCAGGCACTTCCGGCTCGGCCTCTGCTAACTCTTCGAGCGGCTCTTGCCCCTCCTCTCATAGCTCACTGACAGAGCGGCACAAGATTCTGCACAGGCTCTTACAGGAGGGCAGCCCCTCGGATATCACCACTTTATCTGTCGAGCCTGATAAAAAGGACAGTGCGTCTACTTCTGTGTCAGTGACTGGACAGGTACAAGGGAACTCGAGCGTAAAACTAGAACTGGATGCTTCAAAGAAAAAAGAATCAAAAGACCATCAGCTCCTACGATATCTTTTAGATAAAGATGAGAAAGATATAAGATCAACTCCAAACCTGAGCCTGGATGATGTGAAGGTGAAAGTGGAAAAGAAAGAACAGATGGATCCTTGTAACACAAACCCAACCCCAATGACCAAACCTGCTCCTGAGGAAATTAAACTGGAGTCCCAGAGCCAGGTAGGTAATTCCTTGCTTTAGAGAATGAACGTGCATAGTTATTTTTCCCTTTTCATTTGTTTTCCTCCAGCCATAAACCAGATTTGGATTCAGGCTGTGTTTTGTCCTACCCACTGAGCATATATTAAAAGATTACTATCGGGGCGCCTGGGTGGCGCAGTCGGTTAAGCATCCGACTTCAGCCAGGTCATGATCTCGCGGTCCGTGAGTTCGAGCCCCGCGTCGGGCTCTGGGCTGATGGCTTCAGAGTTGAATCCAACTCTGAAAATAGAACCCAGAAGTCGGTATTTTAAAGGAGCTCACCAGGAACTCTGATGTATAGCTAAGTTTGGGAAGCTCCGAGGTAAGTGAAATGGGAGAGAAGTGTGAGGCGGCGGACAAGACTGTCTCGTCTGGCTTGCTTTGCTATTCAGTTTCCTTTGAAGCGTTTTCTGAGGCTCTTTTTCTTCTCAGCCTTCAGCCCTTATCAGAAGAGGGACTTCGAGTATTCTGGGAAGTAGGGTACATAACAGGCCCTGACACAGAAGTGAACACAAATAAATCTTTGCATAAATTGTTATGAATTAGAAACCTCTATGTTTAGGCTGAAGTGGGGGTGGAGTGAAATTAACAGCCAGCTTCATTTATTGAATAGTTGCGTGGACTCGGGAGGAATTTAAGAAAAACTGAAAATATGGTCTCTTCGCCCTAGGAGCTAACAGCTTATTTAGATGGAATATAGACAAGTATGAGATAGCTGGAAATACAGTTACAAAGCAGCTTATTAATGAGACTCTCCGTTGTGAAACAAGATTCACACTTAGTGTGCATAGGTCTTTCATTTCTTGAGCTGACTTTATATTCTACCTTTGTCTCACAGAGATCTCTCTCTTCCCTCAGACATACTGCATTCTAGGCACATGGAAGTCCTTGCCATTCCTGGGATAAGCCATGTCTCTTCTAAGCATCTTCTGCCTTGCTCTCCTTTCTGTGTCTGCTGAACTTCTCCTCATCCTTCACAGACCAGTTCAGACATCATCTCTATAAAGCCTCCCCCTCTAGTCCTCGTTAGACATTTCTTTCCTCTGCATTCATAGTGCTCCGTCTTGTCTCTGTACCATTTGCAATAACACTGTTGTGGTTAATTCTTCATTGTGCTCTTTGAGGATGAGGCTATCCTTCATGTTTCTTGGTACAAGTAAATTAATACTTTGTTTTTTAAGCTGAAAAACAGCTTTAAATAATAACTATATTAAAACCCTCACTCCTTAAAATTAACTGTACAATCCTGGTACATCTGTTTTAGTTTACATGTACGTGCATTTCTGCTGAGTTTATACTAAGAGTGGAATTGCAAGATTATAAGATACGTGTATGTTCATCTTTAGTAGATAATGCCAGTTTTCCTAGTGTGTACAAAGAATTCCTTCTAGTTGTTCCATGTCCTTGCTGATAGTTGGTATTGTCAGTCTTTTAAATTTTAGACATTCTGGGGTCTGTGGTAGTGGTACTTCATAGTTTTAATTGGCATTTCCTTAATAAACGTTTATTGATCCTTTGGATATCTTCTTTTGTAAATTGCCTATTCAAGTGGCTTGCCCATTTTCCCAATATGTTGTCTTTTTCTAATTGACTTATAAGAGTTCTTTACATTTTTTTGGATGAGTCCTTTGTTGGTTATATATTTGCAAACTTCTCCATGCTTTGACTTGCCTTTTCTTTCTTTTAATGGTACTTTTGATGAATTGAAGTTCTTCATTTTAATGTAGTCCAATTTGCCAGTCTTTTCCTTTATAATTAGTACTTTTTGCACATGTGTAACAAAATACATGTGCAAAAATGTTCATAGTAGTTTTATTTGTATTAGCCCCAGACTGAAAATACCCATAAATCCATCAGAGTAAGATGGATATATAGTGTGGTATGTTCGTACAATGGGTTCGTTTTCAGCAGTGAAAACCAAATAACTGCTGCTACATGTGACAAGATCTCTGAATCAGAAATGTAATTAATGTTAAGTGGAAGATGTCAGACATTTAAAAAATGCATGTATATAATTCTATTTATGCAGTCTGAAAATATAAATTTTAGTTGTATTACATAGTGAAACCCTGTTTTATGTTGATGAATTATCTCAAAGTAATTCTAATAGAATAATATTGGGAAATAAAGGTCAGTTTCCTCCTATGTATAACCTCATACAGATGTAGGGATACCCTGTCTAGTCTAGAAGATATGTTTCTGGTTTTTTTTTTATAATTAATTTATTTTTTTAATGTTTGTTTATTTTTGAGAGAGAGACACACACAGAGTGTGAGTGGGGGAGGGGCAGAGAGAGAGGGAGACAACAGAATCCGAAGCAGGCTCCAGGCTCTAAGCTGTCAGCACAGAGCCCATTGTAGGGCTCGAACTCAAGAACTGTGAGATCATGACCTGAGCCAAAGTCAGACGCTTAACTGACTGAGCCACCCAGGAGCTCCTAGAATATATGTTTCTTATTTTATTAAATCCTCAAGTGGAAGTGGCCTTCTTAGGATCTTTGAAGCTGATGTGCTATTTATTAAGATATTTCCCAAACTATTTCAAATTATAAAGTTACATCAGTGTGAATTTATTTTTCATTCCATCATATAGTAAGTCATTTTACAAGATTTAAAAAAAAGATGACAGCAAAAATCATCCATGGTCAGCGTAACACAGTACTTTTGATACTTCTTTGCAGTCCAATCTTTTTCCTGTGCGTAAATTTTGTACCCAAATATAGTAGACACATATTATGTGTATATTATCTTATATCTTACACTATATTAATATCATAAGCATCCACATTTTTTCTAGTAGCTCACATAATTTCAGTGAGGCCCCAATCTTCCTGATTATTTCTTCTTTCTTTCCCTCATAGTCACACTTAACTCACAGAGTATAAGGGAGCACCTTTTTTTCTTTTAAAAAAAAAATTTTTTTTTAACGTTTATTTATTTTTGAGACAGAGAGAGAGAGTATGAACGGGGGAGGGTCAGAGAGAAAGGGAGACACAGAATCTGAAACAGGCTCCAGGCTCTGAGCTGTCAGCACAGAGCCCGACACGGGGCTCGAACTCACTGGCTGCGAGATCATGACCTGAGCCGAAGTCAGACACTCAACCAACTGAGCCACTCAGGCGCCCCAGGAGCACCTTTTTTTCTACATTGATTCAGGTAAAGTATAGGATATATTTTCTCTAACTTTGGTTTCCGTTCTTAGTTTACAGCTGACCTTGACCAGTTTGATCAGTTACTACCCACACTGGAGAAGGCAGCCCAGTTGCCAGGCCTGTGTGAGCCGGAGAGGATGGATGGTGCGGTCACCAATGTAACGATCAAATCAGAGACCCTGCCAGCTTCGCTTCAGTCCACCACTGCCAGACCCACTTCCAGGCTGAATAGTATGTGTTGAGGAGAAAACCTCATTTTAAATGTTTAATGATAATATGGGTTAGTGCTTTTGTCTCTCACCATTACCGCACAGACCATTTGTTTGTTGAGAGTAAACTGTCTTTTCTTTTCTTTTTTTTTTAAGTTTATTGATTTATTTTGAGAGAGAGAGTGTGTGTGTACGCAGAGGAGGAGCAGAAAGAGAGAGAGAGAGAGAGAGAGAGAGAGAGAGAGAGAGAGAGAGAGAATCCCAAGCAGGCTTCACGCTGTCGGTGTCGTCATGACATCATGACTGACCTGAAATCCAGTGACATATACTTCACTGACTGAGCCACCAGGCCCCCAGAGAGTGAACTATCTTCTTAGTAATGCCACTGTAAATGATATACAGTTACTTTTAAACATATAAACTTGACTCATCATGTGTATTTTAAATTATGGGATAACTTCTATCCTTTTGTAATTAATGTTGAAGCAAATAATTTTGTGTTCTTACCCAAAATATTCCATAGCAGGACTTTCACAAATATAATATTGAGGTCAAATTGTATTTCCCAAAGTGTCTTCATTGAACACTAGTCCTAGGAGTTGGAAAAAAAAAGGGATTTTGTGCGAAAATCCACTGGGCAGATGGTACATGGCATGGCACGTATGCCATTCCACAGTGCATATTAAAGGTTTTAAAAAGTCCTGTGTTAAAGATACCAGTGTAGATTTCTGTAAAGCATTGACCATACTTTCTTAATTATGGAATTCCTTTTCTCAAGTAATGCATTTTTTCCCATGGAGCACCATTTAGGAGACAGCTGTGTTGAAATAGGTCACTTCTACTCCAGCCCAAGGAGACACTTTGATAGGATAATACTTCATGAAGATAGGGCTGTCAAGTTTTTTTCACCCATCAAATTTTGAAGTTTAACATAACAGTGGTGGTAATTCCATTGTGTCATCTGGAAACTAACCAGCTCACTTTCAAAATTTGCCTGTGTTCCTGACCAGTCTTGTCATTCTTCTGATGGGATCAGGTGTGGGACTCATTTTATTTCAGTTCTACTGCAGCTTTTAGCTGTCATGACACACCTCCTAAAAGTCTGCCAGGATTTCCAGGAAGCTGGAAAGAAAAGTCTTGAGTCATTCCTGACATTTTTGGAAGCAGTTTTTCAGCTGACTAGAGCATTGGTTGTAAGCAGGAGCCCAGATTCAAGTCTCCCGTTCTCCATTTATTAACAGTTATTACTTTGGACAGATAAATTTTTTGAGCTTTATTCTCCTTATCTGTAAAAGGAGAATTAGAATTAGATGAAATGACTCCAAAAGCCTCTTCTAATTGGAACTGAGAGGCTCCAGACTCTGGGATGGCAGACACAGTTGGAGAAACAAGAAGGTGCAAGGCTAAAAGGCAATAAAATGAAAGTCTGCATACTGATTGGTTTGATCCTGGTCCCAATCTCCATCTAATATGGGAGACTGGAGGATTTATCTCAGGAGACACCGAATGACCAGGACAGAGATGACTGGCTATAGCTATGGAAGGAGAGCTCCCTAAAGTGCAAAGATCTTCCTGCCATCTAATATCCAACAGAAGGCTCCCAGGAGACAGGCCTCACGCTTAGCTCTCAAAGTCAGTGTTTTAGAACACTGAACAGACACAGCCAGACATCACCAGGATTTTGAGGGAAGTCTGCAACTTGAAAGAGAGTAAAAGAAACAAACAGAAAAAGAGTATGCGGTAGAGCTATACAATGAGTGCATGGACAAAAAAAAAAAAAAAAAAAAATGCTGAAATTTTTGACAAGATAATTTATCCATAAATAATATGGGAAGAAAAAAGGGGGCAACGAACAAGAAAGAACCTTTGGAAATTAGATATCCAAAAATATTAAATTTCAAGATAAACATTAGAAGACAAAGCTGAGAAAAACTTTAAGAAAGGAAAAAAAAAAAAAGACCAAAAGACAAATAGAAAATTTGGAAGAAAAAGTTAAGATCAACCTAGGAGGGCCAGTAATGGTAGATAAGAATTCCAGAAACAGACAAACAATGAAAGAGGGGGAAAACACGGAAAAGAAGATATTTTCAAACAAATGAACGAAAAATCATATGAAATGACTGTTAGGGAATTGGGGACAAAGGGGTAGTAGGAGAGGTAGATATGGGAGAATTAAGACTTCCTCTGCCATGATGGGAAGTTGGTAATCTGAAATTAAGATATCAAAGAATAGCAGCATACGCATATTTAGAAATAAATAGGTAAGTGCCAAAGAAAACACCTACACAAATCAAGAATGGTTGAGGGGTAAAGCTTAAAACTGCTTTGAGTCATAATAGACCTTTTGGTTCTGACTTTAAAAATGATGTACCTGTATTAATTTGATAAAAATTAAAGATAATACAAATAGAAAGTGTTTTCCAGCTCTCTAGGACTGTGAAAATGGAGTGTTTTTCCTTCATAGTCTGTCCTGAGGCAAATAGCTCTTTCTTCTCTCTTGAGATTTCCTCCCCTGAATATAGCTCCATATATAAAAGTATATAAATAGGCCAGAATCTGTTAAACCTTGTGCTATAGTGTTGGCAAAGGCCAAAAGCATAGAAGGGAAGATACTGAGGTAAACGAGGGCAAGGATGATAGACGCAGACAGCCGGGCTATATGGTTTCAATATAGACAAGAAGGAAAATAAGATTTTAGGAGGCATAAGGCTAAGGAAACAAGTTGGGCAGAATCAAGGATTGAAGAAGGAAAAAGAAGATGGGGAGTCCATCTTTTTATAGGAGCCCATTACTTTGTATGGATATGAAAAACTCTTTAGTCTGTGTCATGACACATCTGTTATACTTACTCTAGGACCCATCCATTTTCTGTAATTATCTTTGTTTTCTCCAAAGTTACTTTCTTTGTTAAATTTTCTATCTCTCTTTCCTGCCACTGACTTTTCTGGAATTTGAGATGTCCATCCATATACACTGACAAAGGCCTAGAATGAACAACCTTGGTAGCTAGAGTGTATCTTTAGCTAACGTGAGAAACCCTTTTGCTCTGGCAGTGAATGTAGGTTCTGATTATAGAAGCCCTATTTCTTTGTTGCTGTTGTGAGAGAGTGGGGCTTGGTGATGGGGAAATCCTCGTGGCAGCCCAGGCACCCACTCTGGGAGATTCCCTGGGCAGAACTCCCACCCTGAGTCATGCACTTACCTCTTTAATCCCAGGGGCAGATGCCAGAGTCCTCTGCACTTGGGGCAGGGCCTGCTGCAGCTGTTCAGTGGCCCAGTCGCCCCTGGCTTGTTCCTGTATTGACCACTGAGCTTGGGGGTGTTCTGGTCTTTTGGGAAAACTCCCCTTCTTGGAGAATCTTCTCTTTCTCCCACTGTAGATTTTTTTAGTTTTGTTAAGGTTTTACCATCAGTCTGTCCCCTCTGTTTTATCTTTCAGAAACTCTGTCGTTCAAGTCAGCTGCCATACTTCTTTTGCCTTTCCTTCAGCTGGAGATTTCTTTTTTCTTTTTTATTTCTTTTGTTATTTCAGAGATAATTTTGGAGGGAAAATAAAATACAAGGATAAATCTGCCACACTGAACCAGAATATTGCCTTAGGTCTCTTTACATATGAGAAAATTAAGATCCAGAGAATGAAAAGAAAGAAAAAATACAGACAAAAACTTGCCTGAAGTTTTCCACTTAGTATATGCAGAATCAGGATTTAAATCTCAGTCTGCCTGGTTTCAAAATATCCTGTCGACATGCACACCACACACCCATGCAGTGTGACCAAGTGATTTAAATAATGTTGTTAGAAATGTACTATCAGAGCACAGCAAGAGACGGTGTAGGAGGGTATTATTGGTCAAAATATGTACAATATGACCTCTTCGGCAGCACCTTCAAAACCTCTGCTACATCCTTTTGATTGTCTTCAGCTCCTTATCCTTTGAGGGTGGATTTAACTCCTGAAATTTTCTGGAGTTATTTGGAGCCAAATTTGTTGATCCAAAAAACAATAATACTTTGTTTTAACCAGAACCAAAATTAGACTAACTATAAGGAGATATATTTTTTTGAGGGACCTGTATACTGTTTTAGATCGATCTAGAAGAATTCCAAAAATATTTGAACACTGACAACTTCATTGGAATAAGTGAATGATCTCGTGAAGTGGTTGATCTTATGTTTGATGGACATACACATTCTGAGATTATTATTTTTTAAAGATCATTAACTTGTAGCACGTTAAAATAATTATATAACTCAAAAAATAATGAGTTTTACATAAAGTACTTTTTCAGTAATTAAAAAATCCATTTTAATTTCCCTTTTACAGAGTATTGTGCCTGTTGGTATCTTTTGCTATTTTATAAAGCTGTAATGTATAATCTTACGTAGAGATAATTTACTACATATGAGAGCGTAACTGAACTAGAAGTTCTAAATAGAATTGCTTGGTCAAAGGATAGATAGATTTTGCCAAATGGCCCTTCTCAGATATTACACCAGTTTACACTCTGAGAATGTTCTTCTTTCTACACATCCTAAGACATCGAGTTTACACACTTTCTCATCTTTGCCAATCTGATGGTTTGGTTTTTTAAAGTATCACAGTATAGCTTTAATCTGTATTGCTTTTTTTGTGTATTAGGTGGATCATTTTTCAGTGATCTGTGATTCAGTGATTTTTCAGTCACGTGGATGTGACCTGTTCATATTCTTTCGCCATTTATCTATTGGATTTTTCCATTTTTATCTTATGATTTATAGGAGGGTTTTTTTTTAACATAAGTTAATCTGTTGTCTACATCACATTTAGCAAAATAAAACACTGCAACTGCTGTGCTTTATTTTTATTTAGAAAAATAAAACACTACAACCAAATGTAACACAAAACTGAGCCAGAAACCTCTTAACCAATGGCTGAGGCAAGTGGCTGACCGTCGGAATCACTAGATAGGGATGGTCTGTTAAAGGAGTAGAATGTGCAAAAGCCGCTGCCATGGTTAGACAATGGTTTCTACCTGTGTGCAGAAATTTTTATTTTTTTTTTTTTTAACATTTTATTCATTTTTGAGAGACACAGTGTGAATGGGGGAGAGGCAGAGAGAGAGGGAGACACAGAATAGAAGCAGGCTCCAGGCTCTGAGCTGTCAGCACGGAACCCAATGTGGAGCTCGAACTCACAGACTGCAAGATCATGACCTGAGCCGAAGTTGGACACTTAACTGACTGCGCCACCCAGGTGCCCCGAGAAATTTTTAAATTTTTTAGTTACATAACTTTTTTGTGGCTAATGGATATATAAAGCTTTCCTCTTAACCAGACTAGAAATGGAGAAAATATGATGTTGAGCCCTTTGCAAGGATGATAAGAAAGATTAATAGCTTGATCAAGGATGGGGCACTTGGGTGGCTCAGTAAGTTAAGCATCTGACTCTTGGTTTTGGCTCAGGTCATGATCTCATGATTTGTGAGATCGAGCCCCACATCAGGCTCTGCACTGACAGCATGGAGCCTGCTTGGGATTCCCTCTCTCTTCTCTCTGTGCCCCTCTCCCCCTGACATGCACTCGCACTTACCCTCCTCTCTCTCTCTCTCTCTCTCTCTCTCTCAAAATAAACAAACATTAAAAAAAAAAAAATAGCTTGATCAGGGATCCCTAAGAGCTTGTTTTCTACCCCCGCTTCATCTGTCCCTCTCCAACACAGAGATGCATTGATACTTCCCTCTACAAATTACTTTGCCTGTCTTGTGTTACATATGTACATACTCGTGTTTGTGATAGGGACACAAATATGACCAAAAATAGTAGATTTATTCCCTGGACGAACAAAGATAACTTGTGTTTTTCTTTTTTCTTTTTTTTAACGTTTGTTTATTTTTGAGAGAGCAAGTACGGGAGGGGCAGAGGGTGGGGGGGATGGAGGATCCAAAGCAGGTTCTGTGCTGACGGCAGTAAGACTGGTGCGGGGCGCAAACTCACGAACCATGAGATCATGAACTGATCGTTGATCAACGAACTCGAATGCTCAACCTACTAAGCCACCCAAGGGCCCATATTTGTGTATTTTTTAAAACATTCCAGCAAATCCTCAAATTTTTTGTAAAAATAAATTTCTAAAGGAAATCTTAAAAGGTCGAGGTAACTTTTAGAATAAAAACCAACTTTTAAGCATAAAGCCTATGCAAACAAAACTTTTACTTGAATCAAAGTTTGATTTGTTTGGGTTTATCTTCCTAGTCATCAAACTTACCACATGCATCTTACTTCATTTTGAGAAATTTTATCTAGCTTATTGATATTTTCCTCACCAGGACACCAATGAGGTATTACTACTCATTACCTCATTACCAATGAGGTCCTATTACTGAGTCAAATAAACTATCTTATAATATTCAGTATTGATGGTAGATAGCCATATAAATTTTCTTTGACTCTTAAATATAATTAATTTTGTCTAGGTTAGATTTCTGAAATAGAATAGGACTGAGGAATTAATGTGTGGAATAGAGCAGTGGGACAGCTTTAGATAATCTTCTTTGACTAACTTCCTGATTTAAATAATGATAGGAATTAAGTGATTACTTTCCCATCATCATTTGTGGTTGGTGTTGTTTGGTGGTTTTTATTTGTTTTGTTTTTCGGAATCTACAGAATTTAATTTTTCTATCATTTGTCATGACAGACAAGACAAATTTAATTGAAAGCTATAATTATTTGTATTTAGAAGTGAATGTGTTTTGGGGCGCCTGGGTGGCTCAGTCAGATGAGTGTCTGACTTCGGCTTAGGTCATGATCTCATGGTTCCTGGGTTCAAGCCTCACATTGGGCTCTGTGCTGGCAGTGTGGAGCCTGCTTGGGATTCTTTCTCTCCCTCTCTCTCTCTCTCTGCCCCTCCCCGACTTGCACTCTTTCTCTAAATAAATAAATACGCTTAAAAAAAAACAACCTCCAACGCATTTTTAGTTGGGTTTTTAAAAATTATACTAGTTTTCTCAGGCTGCTATAATAAAATACCACAGACCAGGTGGCTTAAACAACAGAATTTAATTTTCTTACAGATCTGGAGGCTAGAAGTCCAAGGTGAAGGGGGTTGGCAGGTTTGGTTTCTTCCGAGGCCTCTCCTGGGCTTGTGGATGGCTGCCTCCTTGCAGTGGCCTTGTGATCATCCCTCTGTCTGTGTTTTGTCTGTGTCCTAATCTCCTCTTCTTATAAGAACACCAGTCATCTTGAATTAGAGCCCACCCTAACTTCCCTGCCCATCTCTGAAGACCCTGTCTCCACATACAGTCACATTCTGAGCTACTAGGAGTTAGACCTTCTCATATGAATTTTGGGGGAATACAGTTCAGCCCATAACAATGATTAATTAATATATGTCCATTTCAGAAATTACAAATAACCATTAGAAGCACTAAAAGAAAATAAAAGTCATCCTTAATCTCACAACCTAAAATCTACCAAAGATAAACTCCTTTCCAGAATTTTTTTCTACTCATATATACTAAATAATTTGTAAAACCAGAATCATTCTGCACATAATATCTTGGTTTATAGGGTCATTTTCTTTTTCATTTAGTTGGACACTGTAACTATCCAAACCAGGGTTCATTAAACATTCCCTGAGTTTCTGGAATTCAGGTTATTTACAATTTTTCATAGAATAAACAGTACAGAAATGATCAAGTTTTGAAAAGAAAATGCCTAACCAAAACTTTCTAAAATGCATATACTATTTTCTTCCATTACAAGATATAATTTGATGTCTTTTTTCATTTGTCATTGTTATAAGCATCAGTCGTTATACTGTTATTATACAGATGTATTCTTAGTTAACAGCTACAGAGCTTTGCCCATTTTCTAAACAACCCCAGACTGCTGTGCCCTATAGTTTCTGTTACTGCCTTTTATAGAACATCTTTTGTTTGCCACTCTCATTTCATGATAACACTGTCCCTACCTATAGTGTATTATACTGCCCTGTAGACTGAAAAAGCAGTTAACCAAAATTGTTATAATTATCTTTAAAGAAAATAATTTCTGGGGTGCCTGGCTGTCTCGGTCAGTGGAGCATGCAACTCTTGATCTCAGTCAGGGCTGTGAGTTCGAGCCCCATGTTGGGTATAGCTATTACTTAAAAATTAAAGAAATAAAAAAGAAAACAGTTAAAAAGAAATAAAAGAGATAATTTTTGGCAAAATTCTGAGTGATTCTCCTATGATAACGTCAACTTACGTGCAGGCCTTTTTACATCAGATTGTCTTTGATTCAGAGACTTTTTCTTTCTCACTGGTTATTATGTGGCCACATTCTAGATAGTTTAAGTTTCTGAATAAGGGACCTTTGTATCATTGAAATAATATTTTATAGGGGAAATCTCATTCTATTACACAATATATTACTTCTGAAAAATACTGTCTTTTTATCTTCCACTGTGATCCTGACTTCTTGCTTTTTCCAGGATTACCGGAGCTGGAATTGGAAGCAATTGATAACCAGTTTGGACAGCCAGGAACAGGTGATCAGATTCCATGGGCAAATAATACAGTGACTACCGTAAATCAGAATAAACCAGAAGAGTGAGTAACACATTTCCTACTTTAAAAAACATCAGATCCTTGGGGTGCCTGGGTGGCTCAGTTGGTTAAGTGTCCCAACTTCGGCTCAGGTCACGATCTCGCGGTTTGTGAATTTGAGCCCTGTGTTGGGCTCTGGGCTGACAGCTCAGAGCCTGGAGCCTACTTTGGATTCCGTGTCTCCCTCTCTCTCTGCTCCTTCCCTGCTCGCTCGCTCTCTCTCAAAAATAAATAAACATAAAAAAATTTTTAAAATTAAAAAATTAAAATTATCAGATACCAATTTCAACAAAGGACTACTTTTCCCACACTGGATTCCAGCCTACATTGGTATTTTGTGAGCTAGTAGTAGAAGTGAATGTTTAATGAAAAAAAGGGAATGTAGGAAGACACCAAGTTAAACAGATTTACTTACTGTGTGACTGCAAGGCCGGAATGTATTGTAATTACCAAGCGATTGACATAGTATGCAGTGGTTGTTTTATTTTTCATCTCTTGCTTTGCTTTGATTGATTCGTATACAGTTTCTGAGACCTGTAGATGAAGTGAGCTCAGTATAACAATTATTCTGAAAGCTCTTGAGCTTTTAGTTGTATAATTATTTTGTCCAGAGTTTCTTTTTGGAGCAAGGTGGTTAATAAGAGAAGGTACATTTTACATCTACTTGGTGTCCCATCTTGATTACAATTTAATTGCTTAATTGACATAAGTAGCTCTATTCCAAAACATTAGAGAAGAGTACATTTCATACATAGCAACCAAAGGATGACTAGACAGTATCGAGTGTAGCTTAGAGTTTTAACTATGAACTGCATTCCCACTTACCTTCCCCCAAAAAGAATCCTTAAAATTATGTCATTATATTTGTATTATTAATATTATTTTCTATATATTTCTAAATTTTATGCATCAATTGGCATCCTTTTGGATTAGACTATGTATTTCCTTCATGTAATCAACATTTTTTTGTTGTTGCTTAACACTGAGCATGTTTCTTTTTTCTAGTTTGATTTCTTGGGTAAATGGTCATCATGTCATATTATCAATATGATTTGATCATCTTTGAGAGTTAAGTATAAATAGAATAAATCTTACCATAGGCTGGATGATTTTTTATGAGATTTTGATTGATTTTTATTTTTGATTTTCACCAAAAATTGTTTTTCCTTTCTTAACTATGTTTAGTTAATTTTTTAGGCTAATTCTATAAGCTAACAGGAAGAGTACGGAAGCAAAGTTCAGTGATTGACAAAATAGTGAAAATACATTCCGGCTACATATAGAACACTTATAAGTTTTTTCACATAAGTGTATTCTTTGTGTAAGAATTGGTCGAAAAAGCATCTCAGCAAAGACCTTTCTAGAATAAGATTTGCATATGTGTTCGTATCATATATACATATATATATTTGCATTACTGAGATTGAATACTTATTTGCTGTATCAGTCTTAAACATTTCTATCTTTTGATTCTATAGCCAGTGTATTAGTTCACAATTAGATGAGCTTCTCTGTCCACCAACAACAGTAGAAGGCAGAAATGATGAGAAGGCTCTTCTTGAACAGCTGGTGTCCTTCCTCAGCGGCAAAGATGAAACGGAGCTAGCTGAACTAGATAGAGCTCTGGGGATTGACAAACTTGTCCAGGTATTTATTAAGCTCGGCCTTATATAACTGATACAAATCCTGAGAAGCTAGAAAATTATTTTTAAGCAAGATTTTTCAATACTGTTCTCGCTATGTTTTTTGTGGTTTTATAATTTATTCTTGTGAAAATTCTCAAAATATATAATAGCTAACTAATGAGTTTTTTAAACAAAAAATCATAATAATTACAAATAGTTAGAATTAGAAAGTCTTAGCGTTTCACTATGGAACAGAATCTTAGAAGCTCCCCCTAGAATAGAATCCAACATTATACCATTACTTCTTATTCGAGGACTTAATTTATCCTTCATTCGTGCTAGACCTCAACCTATATATTCCATGATGCTCCAACTTCCAGGCATTTTTCACACTGTGAGGTTAAAAAATCAACATTCTTTTAAGGAGTAGAATATAAGGTATCAGAATGCATAGCCCACAAAAAGGGGAAGTTATGTTTCATAAAATTTTCCTTTCAGTTACATACACCGGGTCACAATTTAAATTAGATTTTTTACAGTGAATAATAGTATAGATTTTGAAAGCCATAGTTATGGCATTCTGTTAGGCCAGCTATGAATTTTTTTCAAATAAGAGAAAAGGATGAACTTTGTATTTGAGATAGAAAAATGCTTAATTAATCCCTCCTTTAGGAATCTAACTCCTCATGGTAAACTATTACAGGTAAAGTGTGTTCTCTCTTAGGCTTTGCAATGTGGTTCTTTGTAAACCTTTTAGCTTTATCTCACTGATTTTAGGGCCTTTTGTTTTAACCATGTTTTTATCTCTTTTCTGAGATTTTAAACATCTCAGTTCATCTGTTACTCCATTTCAAAAGTTAACTTTTCATAAGTGATTCCTTTAAGTAGCAAACTCCTACTAGAGAGCTTCATGACTTCAACATGAATATTTTATAATAAGACGTTCTAGAGGTAAATGGTCTCAGATCCAAGATTATATAGAGAAGCATGTCACGTATTGGCATTAACTTATTTGTCAAATGTTCTGGCTTGCTGTCCAACAGGGAGGTGGATTAGATGTGTTATCAGAGAGATTTCCACCACAACAAGCAACACCACCTTTGATGATGGACGAAAGACCCAACCTTTATTCCCAGCCTTATTCTTCTCCTTCACCTACTGCCAATCTCTCCAGCCCTTTCCAAGGCATGGTCAGGCAAAAACCTTCACTGGGGACTATGCCTGTTCAAGTAACACCTCCCCGAGGCGCTTTTTCACCCAGCATGGGCATGCAGCCCAGACAGACTCTGAACAGACCTCCCGCTGCCCCCAACCAGCTGCGGCTTCAGCTTCAGCAGCGCTTGCAGGGACAGCAGCAGGTGAGCACTCTTTTTTAGCAGGTGATACATTTAAAGGCATGTGCTGGCTCCCTCTCTGAAATAAGAACAGCCTAATTGCTACAAGAAAGGTATTAAGTGGGAGTAGTCCCACAACCTTTATGAAAGACTCAAAAAACTGTCCTTGGTCTGCTAGGATAAAATAAAAAACACGTTCATTCAGCTACAGGCAACTGGCTGATAACAGTACTGTGAGACTTAAAATTTTAAAGCAAGTGGATTTTGTTTTTTGAGACAAAATATTTAGGACGAACGTCATATCATTATTAAATTAATAAAGAGAAATATGTAGCTTAATTTATCAAGTAGAGCATCAAAAGGTACTGTTATGATTGATTGATGGAACAGAAAATGGAATCTTTGTTGTTTGAAGTTGGAGTGATTGAAGCTTAATGATGTTATTATATTAGGAGAGTAGAGTAGAGGAAAGGATAGTTTGGGGGTCTGGGGAGTTGTGGATGAGTTAAATCTTCTGTCTCATGACAGGTAATGGATGGGTGTAATGGCATAAATATTTAAGATTGAATGAGCAGCACATACAGAGATAAGCATCAAGACCAAAAAAGCAAATGGTTAAAAGTATCAGCTCTGGGAAGTGGGACCAGCACTATAGATTGTTACTTCTTCTTATTTATCTTTTTGTATTTTTTTTAACCGTCTGTATGTATTACTTTGGATTTTCTGTAAAGTATTTAAAGCAATTTCCTAGAGTGTTAGAAATTCAGAAAGGAAGAGAAAGAAGGAACTAAATTATATTAGAAAGGCAATATTATATAATGTTATAGGAGTTCTAGATTCAAGTCCTACTTCTGACCTTACTTAGGTGTGTTGGCAATCGAATGATTTACCCTTTTAAAGCCTCTGATTTCTGATTATAGCCATAAAAGGAGACTAATAAGTAACTCCTCTACCTCATCGGCAGTGTGTAGATTAGATGAGTTAGTACATGTAAAGATCTTAACATAGTGCCAGGCATGCAGTAACACTAAACACTAGCTCTTATTATCAAATTATATTCAGTAAATACAATAAGTAATATAAAATGAGTTTCCATTCCACTTAAAAAGAAGGTGATGAAAGGGACAAAGAGAAAGGGAGCTCCAGATGAGATAGGAAAAAATTATTAATGGTAGAATAACAAAACAAAAGGAATACTATTTAAAATTCTAGGGTGGAATAAAGAACTGAAAGAGGAATTAGGGGAAGAGAGGGAAGAAAAGAGAAATCTAGAAAGGAAATAGTAATGTGTTCTGAGTATTAGTTGAAGGTAAACTACCTCTTGCTATAACTTGTCATTATTCAGTAGAGAGCACAAGAATAAGAAATGCTTATTGGTTCACAAAACATGTCATTCGCAAAACATATTTAGGGAGACTACTAGGCACTATGAGGAATACAAAGAATTAAGGAGATACAGGCAACTTTTAGAACTTCCCATCAGCTTGGAGTATTCCAAACATACACAACTGGAAACTTACATAACAGTGCAAGTAGTGATTAAGGGTTAACCCAAAAAGTAGAGGAAAACGTAGGTGTGCTGATTTTCATTTTACAGGGTAGAGTCAGTAAATACTGTTTAAAGGCAAGGGTTCGTTGAGCAAGGCCAGATCAACAGTCTAGGTTAGGTTTGTGGATGGATGAGATAATAATTCGCACGTAGTTTGGGGAAAAAATCACTTTTACTTTGATTTTTTCCTAAAACATCTGATTAGCAGAGGTAGCAATGCAGAGGGTACACATGAAATAAGGGTGCAAATAGACGAATGTGGCTCCTTGTTGCTTCCTTTAAATATCAGGGAGACATGTCCAAAGTTTGGTGGTCTTGGTAACCCAACAGAGTGAAGTATCCATCAAGTTAGAGAAAGTTTTGAGCCCTGAGATATGTCAGTACACAAAACAACCTATAATGCCGTGTAAGACAATACTTTGCTACCAAATGAGCCTCATCATCCAGACCTACTTTCTGGGTTCTGGACCATAAGTTCTTCTGTATAACAGTGGGACATCCCAGTCCACAGTCTGTAAATGCTTGGAGTCTTCTGTGTGAGTTAAGGGCTCTCTGCGAGGTCTGGCCAAGGCTTATCTCAGTCATCGTTTCAGTTAAGATGCTTTCAGCAACATGGAAAGAAAAAACATCAATTCAAAGGAGTGAAACCATTTTTAAAAAGTATTTTGACTCAGATAATGAGATGATACAAAGTAGAGACAGGTTGTGGTGTGGTTACCTCACAGGCTCAAGAATGTTATCCAAGGACCTGCGTTCTTTCTATCTTTTTACTCTCTAATCCCTGGCAACTAGAAAAATGGCTCTAGTGGTTACAAATATCACACGCACCTGTGCATCTTTTTCCATAAGCCAAGAAACTTTTTCCAGGTTCTTGCCCTTCTTTCCTCCCTCCCACTCCAAAAAAAGAAAACGGGGGGAAAATTGTTTTTTCACATGTCTGGCCAGCCAGAACTGAGTCACATGTACACCCTTAACCACCTGATGGCAAGGATTGGCTTAGAGCACACAGTTAACCCCTTGTGCATGATTTGGGATAGTCAGCTGAACAGACTCCTAGTTTGTCATTGAGGAGGAAGGGGAGGGTAAATGGCTGTGAGTTGGCAATAACAATACCTGATAAAATCAAGAAATGGAGGTTTATTTAAAGTTGCACGTGTTGGGATCAAATTGGTGAACTGAGATGGAACACTTGCCCTTTCTCCTGCCTAAATTCCATTAGATGACAGGATGTATATTTTAAATGAATAAATTCATATTAGTGCAGAGAAGAAGAAAAACACTAAAAATTGGCACACTATAAATTAAGTGATTCTGAAATAGAAAGCAAACATGAGAAAGAAACAAAATAATCATATATGAACACTACAACTGCTTATGTAGAAAATCCAAGAGAACCTACAGAGGACTTAGAATTAATTGAGAAGTTTCGCAGTGTTTCTAGGAAAAAAAAAAAACAAACCCAAGACATAAAGATTAATAGTAATCCTTTTTACTATCAACAACCAATTAGGAAATATAATTTCAAAATATGTTCGCAATTTATAAAACTTAGAAAATTATTAATCTTAATTGCAAGTTAAAAAAAAGATCCAAGGGGCGCCTGGGTGGCGCAGTCGGTTAAGTGTCCGACTTCAGCCAGGTCACGATCTCGCGGTCCGTGAGTTCGAGCCCCGCGTCGGGCCCTGGGCTGATGGCACAGAGCCTGGAGCCTGTTTCCGATTCTGTGTCTCCCTCTCTCTCTGCCCCTCCCCCGTTCATGCTCTCTCTCTGTCCCAAAAATAAATAAAAACGTTGAAAAAAAAATTTTTTTTTTTTTAATAAAAAAACAAAAGATCCAAACGAAGACATTAGTGACTTGAAAGACTATCATAAAGATGGCAATTTTGGGAGGTGCCTGGGTGGCTCAGTCGGTTAAGTGTCTGACTTTGTCTCAGATCATGATCTTATGGTCCCTGGGTTCGGGCCCACATCAGGCTCTGTGCCGACAGCGCAGAGCCCGGAGCCTGCTTCAGATTCTGTGTCTCCCTCTCTCTCTCTGCCTGTCCCCTACTCGTACTCTGTCTCTCTGTCTCAGAGATGAATGTTAAATTTTTTTAAAGATGACAATTGTTCTGAAATTAATTAAATTCAGTAGAATTCCAGTCAGAATCTCAACATGAAACTTAACAAATAAATGCTAACTTTATTTTAGAAGCATGAGTACGAAATCTTAAAGGAGGATGAACTTGCCTTACCAGATACCAAGATTTAAAACCAAGCTTTGGAACTTAAAACAATGTGGAACTGTCATAGGGATAGACAGTTCTTCCAATTGGAACACAGTAGAGAACCCAGACATACACTCAGATGTATATAAAGATTTTATAAGGGACAGAAGTGGCAATCAGTGGAGAAAGGATGGCCTATAGAATAAATGCTAGTACGTTTGGCCGTCCATGAGGGGAAAAAATTCGATTAGATTCATTATCTCATGCCATGCACAAAAATAAATTCTCGGTATTTTAATGACCTAAATGTGAATATGAGATTTCTATGGCCCTGAAAAAAATGACATAAAGGAAAAGGTTGATTTTTGCATTCCAAGTTTAAAACTTACAAAAGATAACAGGGCGCCTGGGTGGCTCAGTCGGTTAAGCCTCTGACTTCGGCTCAGGTCATGATCTCGTGGTTCGTGGGTTCGAGCCCTGCGTCAGTCTGTGTGTGGACAGCTCAGAGCCTAGAGCCTGCTTCGGAGTCTGTGTCTCTTCAGAGTCTGTGTCTCCCTCTCTCTCTGCCCCTCCCCCAGTCGTGCTCTGTCTCTCTCAGTCTCTCAAAAATAAATAAACATTAAAAAAAAGATACCATAAACAAGGTTAAAAGACAAGCCATAGACTCAGGGAAGATATTTGCAACCCCGTATAACTGACAAAGGATTAGTATCCAGAATATCTCAGATTCATAACATGGTGTTCATGATACACTTATCTCTCTAGATTGAAATCATCTGTTTACTTGTTGGTCATATCCTCTCATGCCTTCTTCCCTCTTGCCAAACACAGGAGATGTAAAACTTCTCATAGGCAGGAATTTAGGACAGTGCCTGATGGTTTGAAAAAAGAAAGGTACAAATTCAGATCTACCTCACAGTTTATTTCTTTTTAATGGATTTTAAGATCAGTTTAAAAACCTATTTCTTGACCTTAACTATATCTCATTGACTGGAATATGGTACACAAAGAGTAAAAAGATTCTAAGATTTTAAATTTTATTATACAGTTATGAATAATCCCTAGTTGGTGGGGTGGGGGGGCAAAGGGAGGAAAAACACCCTAGGAAACTAGTAGAGATGCATTAGTTGATGGGGCGCCTGGGTGGCTCAGTTGGTTAAGCGTCCAACTTCAGCTCAGGTCATGATCTCACAGTCTGTGAGTTCGAGCCCCGTGTCAGGCTCTGGGCTGACAGCTCGGAGCCTGGAGCCTGCTTCGGATTCTGTGTCTCCCTCTCTCTCTGCCCCTCCCCTGCTCATGCTCTGTCTCTCTCTGTCTCAAAAATAAATAAAAACATTAAAAAAAGAAAAGAATTTCTAAAGTTCTATTTTCAGAAAAGGACAACAGCAAAAATGGGTAGACCTGTTGCTTGTAGAAAATGGTATAACATTGGCTGATAAGAGATGTAATTATTCTGTTCTAGTTTTGTTTTCTTCTTCTCCAGCAAGGGTCTTCATACTCCCAAGAAAAGGATAATATGAAAAGGGAGGGGTGCCTGGGTGGCTCAGTCGGTTGAGCATTCAACTTCAGCTCAGGTCATGATCTCACAGCTCGTGAGTTCGAGCCCTGCGTTGGACTCTGCACTGACAGCTCAGAGCCAGGAGCCCACTTCGGATTCTGTGTCTTCCTCTCTCTACCCCTAACCCACTCGCATTCTGTCTCTGTCTCTCTAAAAATAAATAAATATTACAAAAAATTTTTTGAAAAGGGAGTAACAGTTGAGACAGGTAAAGAAATGTGATTACTTAGCCATTTTAAAACAAGTCAAGTCCACTTGTGTTATGTGTTAGGGTACTGAAGAAGGGTATGGATCTGGTAGAAGAACCACTATTGATAATTTTTTATATTATATAGAAAATAGAAGTAACCAGAAAGTAGAACTAAGATCAAAGGGCAGAAAATACAGGGAGGCAAATTTCACCTCTAGAATTCTGACAATGAAAACTGCCTGATGTAAGAATGAGCTTCTTTAAAAGAACTCCTTGTCAAAAATGTACACGGTGGCTGAATCAGGGTTTTAAATCTTGGCACTCTTGAAAGTTTGGGATAGATAATTCTAGTTATAGGACACTTTCCCATTCATTTAAGAACGTTTAGCAGCATCCCTGACCTCTACCCATTAGATGCCAGTAGCAGCCTTTCCCCAAGACAGCCAAAAATGTCTTCAGACATTGCTAAATGTCTCTTGTGGGGCAGCATCATCCCTGATTGGGAACCTCTAGCTAGGTAATCATCTTTTAGTTTTCCTATAGAAGGACTTCTTGGTAAGGCATTGGAAAAAAAAAAAAACATTCAGACAGACAAAATGTCAGCTGGTCTGAACTCTGGGTGTGTGTGTGTGTGTGTGTGTGTGTGTGTGTGTGTGTGTGTGTGAAAGAGGGGGGGGTGTTTTATACATGTGGGTTGAATTTGTACTGTTCCACTGGCCTCAAGCCCCACATTTCCTTTTATAATAGAAGTCTTTTGACCTGGCCTCTGTAGACTTTTGAATTTATGTCCCCAGCTGTAAAGACTACTGACCTCTCTCCACCCACCAACCAAAAGTCAAGATTTCCGAGGAGTTAAAGGATATGGTGATCATTTTGGGAAGACTTCCTTGGCAGAAATAGAGCTTGATCTGCTTGCTAGATAATGGGTAGCATTTTAGTAGGTCAGAGTGAGGCAGCTGTACACTGCATTAGTCAGGTTGTGCACAGAGATGGTCAAGGGGAGGATGGGGAAATGAATAAGAATTATTTCAAGGGCCGAAACAGATCAATTTTGCAGAAAGTGCTTGTAGATTGCAGTAATTTCTTCTACTTCCAAAAATAGCCTGTTTATTTTCCAAGGTAGTAATATATTTCCTAAGGTTGTTTTCTCAATTTTACTACTTCTTAGGCATCTTTCCTCCATCCCCACCCATTGCATTCTCACACTGTCTCACATTCCAAGAATATATAAAGCTGTGAGTTTGGAATCCCAACTCCCACTCCCCCAGCAACGTTACTTGTCTTCATCACTGCGTATTCGTGTATTTTCACCTGTCCTCATTGCTTTGTCTTCTGTTTTTAGACTCGCTGTACTTTCTGCCTCAGGTTAACTCTGCCATCCTCCTGCCAGCTGGCATTCTCATCTTTCAAGGTCCCATTGAGCTCACTCATGCCCTTGGTCCCTCCCTTCACGTCTTCAGCTGAGTTAGTTGTAGACATCCCTGTATACACAAGTACAGCACTTGTGGGTGGCGCCATTCTGTATTGGCCTGTGCCACTCAACAGAGAATTCCTGGAGGAAAGAAATATGCTCACCTCTTTAGCCTTCAAACCTTATGTAGTATCTTGCATACAGTTAGTTTTGTTTTGTTTTGTTTTTTTATAAATCTTCATAAAGTTCATAGTTTATTTAAACGTATGTCTGTGGTCTGTAGAATTTAACAAGTATATAGATTTTTGTACTTAAGAGTCCCTTTGACTTTTAAAACCATAATGTTCATATCTTTATTTTTTAAGCGATTCCAAATGTTTTATCATATTCCACAAATGCCTGAAAATTTTCATTTTAATCCTTATATTCTGTTGAGCTTCCCCCCCCAAAACAGTTTGTTTTCTGACCTAATGGGAGTCAGAAAATTAATGAAACCAGAATTAAGAATTGAGCTGTTTGGAAATGGGTGATTTCATCGCTTTTTACAACAATATGGATTTTCTTACAAAACTTTCTTAGTCTTTCTAGTTTGCATTTAGTATATTGGAATATATTAAATGTATTAAAATGTAAACTATATTGACATGTTAATGTGTTTATTAGTAATTTTTGTTATAAAATGCAATATAAACACAAAATAGTATTGATATTGTTGCTGTTATCTCTCTGAACAGTTTATTCATATCAAATTATTGAGCAAGAAATTCTTTAAGCTATAGATTGTTTATCAGGAAATATCACTTCCAAGGATGCTTGTTTTGTTACCTGATAAAGTTAAGGAATGCCTATGACCTGGAACCCTAAGTCCAATACAGACAGCATCTTCCAAACTAGCGTTCCATGCAAGATTGCTCTGTAGTCATGTTAATGGCTACGTGTCAGGAAAAAAGGTTTCTGAGAACAAGTTGCATAGTATAACGCCCTCTTGAAGATCCATAGCGTGCTTTGGTCAATTAAAGGCTCATAGAATTACTGCAGTAAAGAAATCTGTTTCACCTTGTGTAACCCATCATTTCCAATACTTAATACAGCACAGCATGCTATTTTCCTGGCACATCTATTAATATCCTGCAGAACAGTGTTCTTTAGAACACCAATTTGGGAAATGCTGGTCTAAAGTAATTACTTCTTCTAGTTAAATAAATAGTCTATTTTCTCAAACCATTTGTTTCTTACATAATTCTCTTCAGTGAATGAAATCATGTTGGATTTCCCCAAATATGTACCCATCCGACAGTCTTCAAATGAGAAGTGCCTCAACTTTTCCATTCGTCTTCCAAACTTTTATAAATGTGCCCTCTTATATACTTACTTTTATATTTACAAGTGTTTAAGACCAAGGGCTGATGTTTCTTTTCTCTCCATTATTGTACTTGACTGAAATAATTAAGTATTAGCGTGTTTTAAAAAGTACGCTGTATGTACGATATGTGTATATACCTATTTGCATATATATATGTGTGTGTGTGTATATATATATATATATATATATGTACATGAATATGGATTCTGCTTTTAAATGCTTTGTCATATTTGGTGTTCTGTAGACAAGAAGTATTTGATAAATGTTAGGAATTGCCAGCCTTTTGGCAAATAAACATGGGAAATAATCTTACTAAACCTGTAATACTAAAACTTGTTAGTAATCAATGAAAAGTTTGTGTCACTCTGTGAGGGCCAAAGTATATGTTTGCATATAGAAATATGATATCTCATTGTTTACATTTTTCTCTAGTTGATACACCAAAATCGGCAAGCTATCTTAAACCAGTTTGCAGCAAACACTCCCGTTGGCATCAATATGAGATCAGGCATGCAGCAGCAGATTACACCTCAGGTACTGTGAGAAAACCAGGCATTGTTAGTACTCCTCCAGCCCAAGCTGTGTTTCTCCAAGTGTTGACTGGCGTGTCTGAAATGGTCTGTGAATTGATCTTCTTATGTAGTAGTCCAGCTTTCTTCTAGAATGAATTTATAATCGACTTGTGATACCCCTTACTGATATTTGATCTGAAGCCAAGGGTTCCCTGTTTGGTTTTATTGGTATTGTTGTCACTGCTATTAGATACCCGATGAATAAGTAGAAAACTCTTACTGCTATCCCAAATAATACCAGTAATAAGAAGCCTAGATAAGAATCTGTGTGAATGGTAGCTGAAACCTGATCAAAACTCAGTTACATTGCTGAGTTATCTTACCTACCTTGTGTTCGCTGCTCAGTCCGAGCATCAGCATTTTCTATTTATTTTTCATTTGTTTTAACAATCCTTGGATATGAACTCCGAGTCACTGGAACTTTAAACATAAAAAGAATTGGGTAGCCTTCTGAGTCTTGTCTAGTACTCACTCCCTGCTTAACTTCCACACATACTTTAATATTTTTGCTTCAACCACTTTTTTTATGTTTCCTTAACCAAGGTGGCACACAAATTTGGGAGATGAGGAATTTTAGAGAGGATTCAAACAACTTTTCTTTTCTCCATGAAATGCACCTAGATGGATTTGGGCAAATACAGGAAGCTAACTGTTAACCAAAAGGATAAATACTGACAGAAACTACTGTTAAGCAGCAGACATTGGTGTCTTCATGGATCCATACTTGGGTTTCTCTGTTTTAAGAAACATCAGTGATTAGGTCATACGAGGTTAATTAGGTTATAAGGAAAGAAGACCCCTCTTTTGGAATTCACATAAAGATGATTTGTGTCAGAAAGTCATATGTCACAGTTTCTTCTAGATTGGACTATATCTGGTTGGCAAGTTTAATTTTAAAGGAGCTATATGCTCTAACCTGATCCTCAGTCTGAATTGAAATTTTCTGAGGAAGGCTTTATTGACATGCCATATTGCTTTACGGGTTAGACCAAAAAGTGATTTTAGCCTACTTTTATGGCTTCTTTTATCATTCCTACTATTACAGCTATTAAAATATGTACTCCAATGCCTCGAGCAGTCTTTACTGCAACAATGATATAAAATAGCTGGTTCCATTTATTTCTGTTTATTATTTTATTTCTAATGAATTATTTTCTTTTTAAGTAACAATTTATTTGGCACTGGATCCTGGATATCTGATTCTTCCTTTTTAAACAGTATTTGTAGGTTTTTCTAGTTGTAAAGGTAATGCATGTTCATTATAAATAATTTGGAAAATATAGGAAATATGAAGAAAATTAAAATCAACTATAATCACATTTTATTCATGAAAGTGGAATAACTGATCTTAGTGCAAAAAGGCAGGGGCACACCTGGGTGGCTCAATCAGTTGAGTGTTTTGACTCTTGATTTCAGCTCAGGTCATGATCGCATGTGGTTCGTGGGATCGAGCCCCATGTCAGGCTCTGCCCTGGTGGCACGGGGCTTGCTTGGGATTTTTCTCTCTCTCCCTCAAAATGAATAAGTAAACATTAAAAAGGGAGGGGACTAAGAAACACAGTAAATTTGGGGGAAATGAAAAAGAAAAAAAGTCTCGTAACAACCTAAAGTCAGATAAGATCGAAGTCATAGTGATAATTGCTACATATTTTGTTGTCCCAAGCTACTAGGCTTTATCCTGTAAGCTTTCCAAAATAGGTGGCGACGATAACAATATTAATAAGTGAGGATTTGTTTTCTCCTTTGCAGCCACCCCTGAACGCCCAAATGTTGGCACAGCGCCAGCGGGAGTTGTACAGCCAACAGCACCGACAGAGGCAGCTAATACAGCAGCAAAGAGCCATGCTCATGAGGCAACAAAGCTTTGGGAACAACCTCCCTCCCTCATCTGGACTGCCAGTTCAAATGGGGAACCCCCGTCTTCCTCAGGGTGCTCCGCAGCAATTTCCCTACCCACCAAACTATGGTACAAATCCAGGAACCCCACCTGCTTCTACCAGCCCGTTTTCACAACTGGCAGCAAATCCCGAGTCAACCTTGGCCAACCGCAACAGCATGGTGAACAGAGGCATGACAGGAAACATGGGAGGACAGTTTGGCACTGGAATCAATCCTCAGATGCAGCAGAATGTCTTCCAGTATCCAGGATCAGGTATGAGGATTACACCTCTATGCTGCTTTATTACGTACACGTACAGGCTCACTGACGGTGAGGCAGTGAGCTGAAGAAGAAAGACGCTGACCTGGGAGTCAGGAGATCCAGGCTTCAGACTCCTCTCTTGCCACTAATGGCTCATTGAGGCTCGTTGAAAGCTAAGATGATTAATGACACGATCCAGAAGGACCTGTCTGATTCTAACATTTTTAACATTTTGTCTGCAAAGCATATTCTTTTATTTTCTTACTTTCTGTCACGGGTCCTTGTGAGAATCTCATGAGAGTCCACTTCAGACAGTGAGTTGAAGTACATTAACTCAAAATTTGCCTACAGTGTTTTCCTTATGTTGGAGATTTGGGTCTTTTGATAGTTTATATAGGGATAACACATCTTTACAAAGTGTCTCAGACTTCTCATTGGAGCACTCTTAGCTGTTTAAGTTACAAGCTATTCCTCTGGAATATCAGGAACTTTCTGGCTTTCAGAAGGTTTTTTCCTTTTTAAGCTTTTGTTTGCATTGTCTCCCTTCTATTCTCTTTGTCCTAGGGGATGATGTCCCTTTAAATTTTACTTCTGTCGCTTTCAGATTCTTTTTTTTTTTTAATTTCTTTTTAATTGTTTTACATTTATTTATTTTTGAGAGACAGAGACAGAGCATGAGCAGGGGAGGGGCAGAGAGAGAGGGAGACACAGAATCGGAAGCAGGCTCCAGGCTCTGAGCTATCAGCACAGAGCCCGACGCAGGGCTTGAACCCACGGACCGCGAGATCATGACCTGAGCCGAAGTCGGACGCTTAACCGACTGAGCCACCCAGGTGCCCCTGTCGCTTTCAGATTCTAATGGGTAGTGGCAATAAAACACATTTGTTTAATCCATGATATTTAATCAAACTTTGATGCAAATTTAACAGCAAATTCCTGGGGAAAAATTGAAACAAATCCCTTCATTTTATAAGTGAAAGAAAAAGTAAATTTTAAGGCAGCCTAAAAATGAATTTCCATGAGAAGGCTGCTATTTGACTTGAATAAAATGTTGAGGTTCTATAGAGATTTCTTACATGGCAATATGCTTATCAACTTTGACAGCCAAATCAATGTAGACTTTCATTCTGGTGGCAACAAGTACTAAAATCCTGTGACTATCAAATTAAGTTATCTAGGGAGACTTGTGTCAGACAGCACCAGAATTCTCTAAAACCTTTTACTCAAAATTATGTCACATCAGTTCCTTTGTCCTCAGCACAATGAAGTCATCTTTGGCTGGCTTATATCACTGACAATATCTGTATGGGCAAGAAAAGGATTATAAATCCATATCCTAATTATAATATCGTCTGAACCTTTTGAAGGCCACTTTCATGTGTCTTACGATTTCTGCATGCAAAGAACTTGACAAGGCTTTTTCACTTTATTCTAGCCTGCTGAAGTACTTCCTCCAACGTTAGAAGACTCCATTAGATATCTCTTTCCCCACTGCTCTTCAAAAGGCAACTTAGCCCAGACAGCAAATAGAGTTGCATTCATAATATTGATTACAGAGCCTCAAATCAAAAGATTATCTCGTTCACTGGTGAAAAAAAAATAGCTGTGAGTAAGCCCAACATTAGTAAATTCCCCAAAGACTCTTTTCTCTTAAAAAAATAAAAATGAAAACAGTACTTCTATCTATTTTCAGTCATGCTCTTTAACACCTCTTCTCTGGAAAGCCAAGAAAGAACTTCCTATCCTGCTCTGGTTCCTCCACAAAGCCACCTAGAAAAGCAGGGCTTCAGAACCCCATTGCCAGTGAAATTGACAATATTTCTTTCAGAGTTGTGGGTCTAGTCTGATCTGTTGTGGTACACAGTGATTGAGATAATGAGCTGGTGGAGTTTACTTCTCTAAGCCACACAGCTGGATGTGTTGCTACCCTTTATACGGCTCTATCTGGTACATGGATTTTTCTTCTAGTCCAAATTTTGATGGGCAGGAAAATGCTTTTCACAAAGTAAGAATTCATCTTTGGTAAAGTCAGCATTCATACTACAAACAAAACCCAGACGCTGGATGCACTCGGGAGAGTGGTTGTTTTCATCCAGGTGCAAATTGAAATGAATGACAGAGCTTTCAGTTCTTCCCTGAACTGCTTCAAAATAATAGGGGGGGAATTGGCAGTTTTTCTGGAGAGCAAAAGAACATTTAAAGAGGCAATGTTTTTAGTTTTTCCACTGCTCTGAGTTACAAACTCATTCCAACATTATCAGCAATCTGGTAGAAATCTTCAAGACCAGGTTTTGTGGGAATACAAATTCAAGTTCTGGAAAAGTTTTCAGCCTTTTCAAATGAGACCTTCTTTCAAAAAATAAAATAAAATCAAGGCCACCACGTGTTTTTATAAATAAAGTTTGTAACATAAAGTTTGATTGTAACCATCCTCATTAATTTACATAGTGTCATCTGTGGTTGGCTTCATACAGAGTTGAGTAATTATACCAGAAACCTTGTAGCCTGCAAAACCAGAAATATTTCCCATCTGGCCCTTGGCAGAAAAAGTTTGTTGTGTTCATTGATGATAGTAAAACCAAAAGTTGAATTCATTAACTTTTGTCTTTTGCTTTGGCGTCTTTTCAATATAGGCCCAAAGTAAATGAAGGAATGTGTGGGTAATATTAATGGCAGAGTATGCTTTCTTTTATTTCTGCAAGCCACAAACTTTTCTAGACTATCGTGCCTCAATGATGAGTGCACAAGAACAGAATTAGACATTTAAAATTTATTTGATTCTAAGGTGATATTTAAAGTAAATATGATGGAAATTTTTACAAAATTTTGTACCCACTTCATGAATTCCTTGAAGCCAGTCCACAGCTCCCTCGTCTGTGAACTACAGTAAACATGCTACTCCACCCATTCCTCCTAAGTGATCTCATCTACTCCTGTGGCTTCAGTGACCTCTTCATGCTAATGACTCTCTTCTGTATCCCTAACCAGATCTCTTGGCTCTTGTGCACAGCTGCCTGATGACAGACATACTTGAATTTTCTTTTGACCAGCACCCAAATTCCACTTGTCCAAAGTTGGACTCATCAGTTCCTCTTCCCCTTCTCTCCATGTCTCAGTGTTCCAGTTGTAACAGACTTCTCAAGTTCCAAGGAAGCGTACATACCTCACTCTCTTTACTTACTAGGCCTTGTACATCGTGTATCCTCTGTCTCAAACCAATATCCTTCATTACCTGCCTCATTCCTGTTCCTCCCGTCTTCCAGAGATGCCTCCTCTGGGAAGCCTTCCCTGACTGCTCCCAATCATAAGCACCCATCACCCTGTCTTACAGCCACTTGTTCACCTACCTGCCTTACTTTTAAACAGCAAGGTCCTTGATTGAACAAAGCATTAACCCTTTTAGTTTCTCTGTTGCTTAGCACAGTGATCTGGTGGGGAGAGCAGCTGCTCAATGAATCTTTGAAGAAGTAAATGAATGGAAAGATGAATCCCCTTTCTAGTTGCTGCTGCCAAATGGCTGTGATACTGTTTATGGTCCAACAGGAATACTTAGCCTGGTCTAGGCAAAGACAGAACTATAGAAATTTTAAACTGGAAGGAACTAGATTGTCTAGTCCAAGGGATCCCAAGGTCCAGTGTGATAGCAGGGCCAGAATCAGAATTCTGACTACCCCTCCAGTTATCATTCACAAGCTGGTTCTTCAGACTAAAATGAGGTCATCTGATAAGGAAAACAGAATGTGAGATGAGTCCAGAAAGAAATGTCAGAAACTAGGCTGATAAACTTGCAATCTCTTACATCTTGTTCAACTTTGATTCTATAGAATAATGTCCAGAATACAATAAGTATCTTTTCCTCCCCCACATATATATTTTTCTGAAAAAAATTATTTCACCATTAGTGAGGTTAAGAATGCATTAGGAACCAAGAAGCATTTTTTCAAAGATCGCAACCAAAATGGTTAAAATTTAGAATGTGTGCAGATAGTCAACATATAAATGAAGATAAAGATGTTGGGGGGAAAAAACCACCTTCTAGAGTCATAGATGAAAACAATAATTTCTCCATATATTCTGACTCAAATTATTTATCAGAGATTAAATTACACATGGAGGAAGCAGCAGAGAGAAAATCTGTAGCTTTATTTATAAAATCTTTACCAAGAAAAAGGTAAACATATAATGAAAGAAAAAACAATAGGAAGTCTACAGTTGGCTCAGCTTTCACAGAAAATTTTAAATATTTTTAAAATCGTAGCCTATTAAAAAAAACAAAATTGGATAAGTTAACTACATTTCTAGCCAGGTTAACCAAACAAAAAGAGAAAAATCATTACAACAATGGCAAAACACAGAATATGCAATTATATTTATAAAGAGACATTAAAAACACAGAAACATGCTTATGATATAATCATAAGGGAAAGAAGCAGGTCACAAAATTGTGCAACATTTTATAAAGGAAGATTTGAAGGAATTATACTAAATTATAGGTAATCAAATTATGACATTATTTTTTTTTCTGTACCTTTATAACTTTCAGTACCTCAAAAGTATTTAACTATAAAATGTATTTTGTCAGGAAAAAAATACAAAGTGCCAGCATAACAGAAATCCTAGAAAAGAAATCCATTTTTACTCTTTTAAACTATTATGGACTTACACTTTTGCCTAAGGTGGAATAACAGGAACCAGATTTATTCTCCCATCTGAAACAAACAAAAAATCAAAGTACATTAAACCATAGTTTTTGAAATTGTCCAGACCATGCTACATGGAGAGGGAATCCAACAGGAGCCAGTGGTTTCTCTGAGTCGAGCCCATGGAACTGGGAGTCCAGGAAAGCCAGGCAACTAGAGGTCTCAGGAAAACTAGAGGTCTCATAGGACCAGGAAGGAGTCACACAGAGAGCCACAGAGATGTGCACAGGGTCCCACTCAGGGGTGTGTGTGTGAGAGTGTGTGTGTGTGTGTGTGTGTGTGTGTGTGTGTGTGTACAAACCAACGCTAGGGAAAAACACCTGGAAAGATTATAGAGAACAATCTACAAAGTTCGCACAGGGCCAGCTTCTCTTCCCACCAGCCAGAATTGAAATCCTCATAATTCGTGGGATGTCAAGTAGAATACTCAGAAGGGTTTTGCGTCAGTAATAGGGCAAAATATGCCCTAAACTCTGCTCTTGTCCCTTAAGGCACAAGACCCAAAAGAATTAAACTGTCTCCATATAATCTAACTACAACCCAGACAAAGTTTGAAAATAGTTAAAGGACTTTTAAAAATCTAGCACCTAACAAGGTAAAATCCACAAGGTCTGGGATCTGAACTTTTTAATTACCAAGCACGCAAAGATTCAAGATAATAAAACCAATGATAAGGAGAAAAATCAGTCATCAAAACCAACTCAGAAATCACACAAATGATAGAATTAGTAGACAGGACATTGAGTCATACAATTGTCTCAATGTATAATTTATAATAATTATACATTCTATATGGTCAAGAAACTGGAGGAAAGCTTGAACATACTAAGTAAAGGTAAGGATGATATAACTAAAACCAAAATCAAAGTTTTGGAGACAAGAAGGACAATGTCTGAGATGAAAAGTATAGTAGATGGGATAAAAAAGGAGATTAGGTATTACAAAAGAAAAGATTCATGAACTTGAAGATATAACAATGGAAACTGTATAAAATGAAATTGGAAAAAGACTGAAAAGATGCTAAATTCACTCCAGATTGATCTCATAATTCAATGCAGTCAAAATGTCAGCATGCTTTTTGAAGAAACTGACAAGCTTCTCCTAAAATTTATATGGGAATGTAAAGGACCCAGAGTAGCCAAGACAATTTTGAAAAAGAAAAGCCAAGTTGGATGACTGTCAGTTTCAAAAATTACCATAGAGTTACATCAATGAGGACAATATAGTATTAGTACAAGTGTGGACACACAGATCACTGCAACAGAATAAAAATCCATAAATAAACTGTTAATGTTATGGCCAGCTGATTTTCAACACAATTATATCAATAGCTGCTAATAAGAATTACCCTGCATAGAGGGGTACCTTGGTGGCTCAGTTGGTCAAGCATCTGACTCTTGATTTTGGCTCAGGTTATGATCTCACAGCTCGGGAGTTCGATCCCCACGTCGGGCTTGTGCTGACATTGCAGAGCCTGCTTCGGATTCTGTCTCTCCCTCTCCCTCTCTCTCTCTCTCAAATAAATAAACTTAAAAAAAAAAGAAGAAGAATTACCCTGCATAGAAAGGAATGAACTACCAATAAATGCTACAGAATGGTCAACCTCAAAAACACTAAGAAGCCAGACACAAAAGACCTTATAGGATTATGTTTATGTGAGAATTCCCCAAAAGGCACATCTGTCAAGACAGAAAGCAGATCAGTGGTTGCCTGAGGCTGGAGATAGGAGAAAGGAATGACTGTAGACAGGCATCGGAGGCCTTCAGGGTGAGAGATGCATGGCTCCATACGGTTTACTAAAAATCATTGAGTTGTGCAGTTCGATGAGTGAATTTGAGGCTATGTAGATTATATCAATAAAGCTTAAAAGGAAAGGACAGGGAAGGGAAGAAGAGCCCACAAAGGTGACTGAGGCATGGACAGAAAAACTTTGTCATTTTTCATTTCACACATGCATTTGTCTTAACCTTTTTCCCTTTCTAACTTATTTTTATGACACAGGTAATCTGACATATATGTGTTTCACACTTAAAAATTGGTGTAAGCAAAGAACAGAAAAAAAAACATTATACATAATCTTGGTACCCAAATCAATATCTCAGTTAATAGAAAGCATTCTTCCAAAGTTATTTTATGTTTACTTGTCTGTTTATACTGAAGTTTCCGGCCTTATTTTGAAGAAACTGAAATGTTTTCCCTACTCTGTTGAATAGTCTATTTTTAACTTCTAGTATGACAGATCCTTGGTGGGGGGGGTGGGGGTTCTCTTTTATGGGATTAATAAATTTATAGTATTCACTTAAATTAATTTGTGTTAATTTGCAGGAATGGTTCCCCAAGGTGAGGCCAGCTTTGCTCCATCTCTAAGCCCTGGGAGCTCCATGGTGCCGATGCCAATCCCTCCTCCTCAGAGCTCTCTGCTCCAGCAGACTCCACCCACTTCTGGGTACCAGTCACCAGACATGAAGGCCTGGCAGCAAGGAGCAATGGGAAACAACAAGTAAGGGGCAGTTTTTATATATGAACATCCCTGATCCTCTGCAGCACAGAACGCTCCTGCCTTCACAATCCAAATAGATTATTGGCTACTGCCATTTGCAAGTTCATGGAACTGAATTTTGTGTTTTAGCAAAGAAAAATAATGACTTTTAAATCCTTTAAGTTTCAAGTCATTTTTAATACAAATCTGTATGTTTACAGTATGGAAAAGTGACCTAATGGCCCCCAACCTTTCCATCCCACCCCCAGCATACCTGAAGAATGTGATCAACTCCCATGTGTAACAGAGCTTCCCTGGGACAGATATAGAAATGGGTACTTTAAAAAAAAAAAAAAAAAAAAAAAAGTCATTCTTTATAAAAACACTTAAAAATCCTAAAAGTCTTAGGGGTGCCTGGGTGGCTCAGTCAGTTAAACATCTGATTCTTGATCTCAGCTCAGGTCTTGATCTCAGGGTCGTGAGTTCAAGCCCTGCGCTGGGCTCCATGCTGGGCATGGAGCCTACTTTAGAAAATCCTGAAAATCTAAAGCAAGAATGGCAAAATATCAGAATTCACTAGAGCTGAATAGTGAGCATACAGGTTTCACCCTTCTCAGCACGTTTGAAAGATCTCAGAGCAACAGCAAAGGTTTTGAGGCTTCTAAGGCCATTCTGCCTCATCCAGCTTTTTGAATCTCTAGATTTTCAGTGGCCTCACCTTGCCCATTCTGCTTAGAATTATCTCACGGATGTCATTTTCCCCCCAAATCCTGGCTGCTGAACTTTTCACACTTCACTTGAGTTTTATAAGGGTTTTAATTAGGTTGTGTCTTGGTTCTAATGACAGGGAAGCCGTTTGATCTGACAACATAATAAGTAAGGCAGTTAAAGTTGAAAACTTAAGACCATATTCTCCTAAAGTTCACTGAAAGGTGAGAGGAAATCTTCTCTTTTGAGAACTGCGTAGCTCTTAGTGAGGACTGTGTGTGAATTAGGTAGAAATGGAACCATCTATATAACCTGCAGGAAGAAGTTAGTCTCCTAATGTGTTCTAATCCCAGCTACCTAAATTCACTTTAGAGTCCATGGTCCATGATTATAAACCCAACTAAACTCTTGCTCCATACCTACACCTAAGCACTTAAATGTGTCTTGGTAAAAACAAGGTCCGGCTGACAGGTCCACACCCTTTTACAGTTAAATTCCCTGAAAGACTGTACTCTAATACTACCTCTCCTTCCATTCCTTGTTGGCCAGTCAGGCTTTCATCCCTGCTGCTTTTCCAGAGTATTCTTGTCAAGGTCGGCAAGACCTCTACAATGCCAAATGCAGGGATCGTTGGTAGCATTTGATATAGTTGAGCATTTATTCTTTCTTGAAGCCCCTTCTTCATTTGGGTTCTGGAACAGCTTTCTCTCTTGAGAAAGGTGACTCTCATCCTATCTCTTGGTGTCCTCCACTGGATCTTCCTCATCTCCCTGACCTCCACTTGAAATCCTCAGAGCTCATTCTGTCTACTTGCTCCCTTGGTTATGCCATCCACTGTTAACGGCTATAAATGCCCATGTCGATGCTCCTGACTCCCCCCGCTTTAAATCTCCAGCCCCGACTTCTCCCCTGAACACCATGGTGTACATCCAGCTGCTCAGTCAACATCCCAGTCAGAAATCTGATAGGCATCTAAAACTTACCACGGTCTTCTTCCCCAAAGCTCCTCTCCTACCTTTCCCCATCTCCGTAAACTACAACCTCATTCTTCCAGTTATTCAGGAGAAACCCTCTTCTCTTTCCCTCACATCCCACATCAGACATCCCATCAGCAAATCACATCAGCTTCTTAGCAGCTCTCACTTCTTACCCGTCCCACTCTTTAGTGTGAGCCACCATCTTTTTCCGGGACCGTGCAGTAGCCTTCTGTCTCCTGCTTCCACCCTCACTCCCCTGCCGTGTAATCTCCGCATGGTAGCCAGAGTGATGCTTTCAGAACATGAGCAGTATGTCAGTCCATTACTCAGAACTCACCAACTTACTCCAAGTACAATATAGGGCCTGTGAAGCCCACGTGATCTTGTTCCTGGGTACCTTCTGACCTCAGCGGCTATTGCCATCACTCAGTCTGCCACACTGGTGTCTGTGTATTCTGGTGCTCACGTGTGCCAAGTACATTGCAAACTCAGGGCCTTTGCATTTTTAAGTCCCTCTGCTGGAATGTTCTTCTCACAGTAGCCACATGGTTTGCGCTGTCACACTTCAAGTCTCTCCTTAAATGTCACCTTATTAGACATAGATATTAAATGTCACCAGATGAAACTTCCCTGACCATCATTTCCAAAACAACAGCATTTTCTACCCCCTGATCCCCTCCTTGCCTTCTGTATGTCTCTTCCTAGTACTTAACACCACACATATTGTGTGTTAGTCTGTCTGTTTATGGTCTGTCTCCTCCAACTAGAATATAATCATCCTAAAAGCCAGGACTCTGTTTTTGTTACTCGGGTATGTCCATCCTTTAGAACAGGTGAGCACTTAATGTACATCTGTTGAGTGAGTGGATACAGAGATTCCCTCCCCTGCCTCGGTCACTTCTTGAATTCACATTCAAAGTGGACTTGAATTTTTCTTGTACTTTCACGGTTTTTGTGAACTTCGACTTTGCCAAATCACTTGAAGAAGAAAACAGATCAACTCTTCAAGCATTCGCACTTGCTTATTTGCTTCACGTGTGAAAGCGTATCAGTTGACACAGTCCGTGTGTATTTTGCGACCACTCCCTGTTTGTATTGCACAGTGCAAGACACCGCAAGGAGCAGGGGGGAGCTGCCCTTGCTGTCGAGTTACCGAGAGTCCACTTGGTGACAGGAGTGAGAGGAGTAAAAAGTGAAAACAAAGACTCTTTTAGTAGAATGATGTAATAGGGTTCCGAGACAGTGTAATGTGATTCTTTTTCATTATCTCTCCGGTGGCAAGAAAAAGAAAGGGTTAAAGCAAGGCTCTTTGTCCTGGAACGGTGCAGGTTTCTGTGTAACACTAATCCCTCTGAAGATTCCTAGCACTTATTAGCATTTTAAAGGCTAGGAAGGCCTGTTGTTTAACCCTTCCTTTTTAGACTTATTTGACCTGGAGCGCCTCCCTGCTTGTTAATACCTGTATCTATGGAAGCCACTTCAGGCCGGAAGTCTTCATCCTTACCTTCCCCCCTGCACCATGATTTAGGGGCTACCAAACACCTGGGGCTAGCCTAAGGAAACTGCAGTAATTGCCCCCAGGGTGGCCAGGAAAGCAGAGGGAGGGAGGCCTAAGGTGCCAGTGAAGCCTACAGTCCCTCTGAGGCCTAGAACAGGGAGTTATGCTGCAGAAGGGCGTGGGCTTCTTCTCATAATGGAAGAAACTGAAATGGAACTATTGGCAAGAGCAGTCTGAAAGAACTTAAGTGAATATAAGTCCCAAGTATAAAATGTGAAAAGAAATTAAATCCTAAACTTTTTTTCACTAAGAATGACATCATTGCAGCCCTTGAAGCTTCTGCAGGCATTAGCTTACATAGCCCTGAGCTTGAGCCTCCACAGTGGTGATTTATGTATCCGTTGACAAATGAGCATTGTCTGCGGCAGAAATGTTCTCATTAGAAAATGGGCAGCAAACTAATAGGTTTTTCCTCACCTTTAGTTGTGGGGACGCTGTACAAGCATACACACTGTACAGACATTAATGGCTCAAAGATGTATTATTGACCATTTCCTGGGCATGTAATTTTCTTTGAGCATTTGTGTTTTATAATTACTTGGGGAAAATCTACTTTTCTTCAGACATGATGGATAGGCTGTTTCTTGGCCTGTTAATTTTAGTATATAAAGTATGATTACCTTAATCTACCAGAAACTATAAATGTCAGTACATCCTGCTTACTTCCCAGGAGCTAGCAAGGAATAGATAAGCAATTGATGGGGTAAATGATTTTTAGAAATCAAATTCTCCAGAATTAACATTAAAATAGGTGGAATTTTACCAGCAGCTTATTGTTTAACAATTGATGATAATCATCAAACATTTGATGTTTTGTAGAACTTACAAAAGACACAACTCACATTATTTTCCTTTAGATGTGTGTATCTGTATCATTTAGAATTTTGGGGTTCAAATATAAAGTTTCCAGATGTATTTACTTGGGAGTTTATTCCATACTATTCTACCAGCTAAGAGAAGAAGCTGGTTTAACATTTAAGATCTTTGGTGTAACAGAAGTCCAGAACGAGGCCATGAAGAAGCAAGTCCATAAAACAAGCCCTCTGAAAAACATAATTGCCTTTGCATTTTGCTTCTAGAAAAGACATAAAGCTGTCTTTAGGCCTGAGAAGACCTGTGAAGTCTTTAAACATTTACATTTGCCAAATAAATATATCTGGTTATATTCCTCTTAGTTTATAGCATATCGAAAGCAGCCAGAAGCTGAAACTTTGAGAAATGATGGCAAGCTATAGAACACTGAATAAAGTCCCTTGAGTCTTAATGTGCATAAATAGTTAGAAATGCAACTTTCTGTATCCATCCTCAGAAACTGTGATTCACTAGGGCTGGAGTAAGGCCTGGGAGTCTCAATTTTTAATAAGTCCTGGCCTTGGTGCTATAGTGGTAAGCATAGCTGCCTCCCAGTTTTCAACAAGTCCCAGGGAATTCTCTTGCAGATGCTCTCTGGACTACAGTTAGAAAAACATTGGTGTAGATCCCAGAAAAATCCATAAATAAGAAGCAGTCTAAACCTCATCAGTTGACAACACCGAGTAATAACCTATGTCCATAAGTCACTTCTTCATCAGATATTTACCGAGTGCTTGCCATGTGCCATGAACGAGCAGCGAGACAAGGAATAAGTGAAACAAAATGCTAAGTCTAAGAAAATATACAAGCAATGACAATACAAGAATGCCATCTTTGAATTTGTTAATTTTTTCAATGAGCATCTATTGAGGATTGATATATATCCCAGGCATTTTGCTTAAATAGAACATTCTCTATTTGGGAATATAAAATGGCGTAACAAATTTTAGAATGGTTTTGATGGTTAAATGAGTAAACTTCAGTTATCTTGAAGATTTACTTATGTTCACAACTTACTTTCTTATTCAGCTAATTGGAGCTTAACAACTCGGATACAAGGCCAGATAATTGTCACTTAAAATGAGCTTTATGTAGTTATGAAATCCTCTGTGCAGAGTTCAAAATTCATCCGAATTTATATATTCAGTCTTTATATATTGTAGTAAGATAAAGTCTTACACGTCATTTAAAAACGTATAATATTTTCTATCGCATTTTATCTAATAATTAAGAAACAGAGTCCAGTCACATCATCCCCACGTTCACAATCCGTGGATGTAACTGGGATTGTTTTTGAGTTAACAGCGTGTTCAGTCAAGCTGTCCAGAGCCAGCCCACGCCTGCGCAGCCCGGAGTGTACAACAATATGAGCATCACCGTGTCCATGGCAGGTGGAAACACAAATGTTCAGAGCATGAACCCGATGATGGGCCAGATGCAGATGAGCTCTTTGCAGATGCCAGGAATGAACACTGTGTGCCCTGAGCAGGTAAGTGGCACAGCTGGCATGCACACCACACACCACGAGTCGTTATTCCAGGGAAAATCAGGTATGTTCGCAGTTGCTTGTCAGAAATTACCACACCACGCAGTGATGTGTGTTAATTGTTTCTCAGTAACACTAGGGGGGAGAAGATGCACTTCTTTATTTTTTTCCCCACTGTCTTTTGAGTTAGCCTCTCTTAAGATACACAGTGGAAATTTTGACAGACCTCCTAAGATTTTAGTCTCAAGAGATTTTAGTGTTTTAGATTTATTATAAAATGATACATATAATATATTGGCTCGGAGCATACCCCTTTATCTTCTGAACACATTTTCTTCATTTTTCCCTTTCAGTTCAACAAACATTTATTCACTACTTACTATATACAAAGGTAGTTCTGTGGGAGATAATACTGACAAGTTGGGGAGACACGACATTAACAAAGGAACAGTTGAATAATAGGACAAAACCTCTGTGTAAGAGATGGGCCTCCCTAGCGCCATACATATTTATGTCAGATTAGGAAGATGTACAATTAACTACTGAGAGTTTAAAAGAAAAACGCCTAATTAGGAAAGGCTTCTTGGAAGATTTGCCTAAAGAAAGAGAATAGAAAAGAATATTCAAGACCGGTTGCCACAGCATAATCTAGGCAGGAATAGAGGTTGAAAGTCTAATGAATGTTAAGGGGACATTTATATTATGTTTAAAGCAGAATTTATGTGGTAAGCTTTTTAGGGATCTCGCAAGCCATCTGAATGTTTTAGAGTTTATCCTGGAGCCTCCTGAAGATTTTTAAGGATAGAATGACTAAATTCAAAATGATGTTTAAGGTCATTGGGGTAACTGCCTATAGTTGCTATTCTCATTTTCAGCAACCACAAAGGAGACTGGTGACTAGACTGTGACCATGTAGCTATAATTTATAGCAAATCTTACAAACATGTGAACACTGATTACCTTTTCTATAGAATATTTTTTATTAAAAAATTTTTTTAACTTTCCATTCCTCATCCCCCCACTTTATATAATAAGTCCCTTAAGAGTTTAGCAGGGAAAAAATCAATAACTTAGTGATTTATTTCCTATAGCAAAATAGAAGACCTAAATAGTGTTGTTTCTTGTTCTTGTCCTTATTATTCAGTTATTAGAATTTTTCACTATCTCCAGAAGATTAATTTTTTTTTTCAACGTTTACTTATTTTTGGGACAGAGAGAGACAGAGCATGAACGGGGGAGGGGCAGAGAGAGAGGGAGACACAGAATCGGAAACAGGCTCCAGGCTCTGAGCCATCAGCCCAGAGCCTGACGCGGGGCTCGAACTCACGGACCGCGAGATCGTGACCTGGCTGAAGTCGGACGCTTAACCGACTGCGCCACCCAGGCCCCCCCTATCTCCAGAAGATTAAAACAAAATAATGAAAAATATAATGAATTAGGTAAAAGAATATTACACTTAAAGCATATTTCTTATATAGCTGGGTCTTGCTTTCCTATTCAGTTCGACAATCTGCACCTTTTAATTGGAGTGGTTAGCCCATTGACATTTAATGTGATTATTGGTATGGCTGAATTTAAATATCTCATCTTGTTTTCTCTTTGTTCCATCTCCTGCCTTTTGGGGGTTTAATTGAACACTTTAATTCAGTTTATCTCCTTTATTGGCTTATTAACTATATGTACCTCCATTTTGTTATTTTAGCGGTTGCTTCAGAGTTCAGAGCATACATCTTTAACTTATCGCCATGTACCTTCAAGTGCTATTATATGACCTCTTATATAAGAACCTCACAGCTGTTCCCATTTCTCCCTTCCTCTGCTGTTGTTATCGTACATATTGTGCCTACGTATGTCATATGCCCCACATGCTTTTACTTTAAACAACTAGATATATATTTTTAATTTCAATAAGGCTCCTGTATTTACCCATGTAGTCATTTCCAGTATTCTTCCTTCCTGTGTGTAGATCCGAATTTCCAGCTTGGTATCGTTTTCCTTCTGCCTGAAGGTCTTCATTTAACATTAACATCTTTTATAGTCTGCTGCTGATGAATTCCTTCAGCTCTTGTATGTCTGAGAAAGCTTTTGTTTCACCTTCATCTTTGAAAGTTTTCCCTGAATTCTAGGTTGGCTTTAGTTTTAGCTTTCAGTACTTTGGAGACGTTGCTTCACTGCAGTGTCTCTGATGAGGTATCTGCTGGCATTTTATCTTTGTTCCTCTGTACACGATTGATTTTTCCATCTCTGGCTGCTTTTAAGATTATTCTGCTTGTCGCTGGTTTTAAGCAATTTGATTACCATATGCCTTAGTGATTGTGTTCATGGTTCTTGTGCTGGGACTTCAGTGAGCTTCCTGATTTATGGATGTATAATTTTCATCAAATTTGGAAAAACATTGGCCATTGTTTCTTCAAATATTTTTTCTGTCACCACCCACCCCCCTTTCCTTCAGAGACTCCCCCACACACGCACATACCCCCCCCCACACACACACATACAAAGTAGGCCACTTGAAGTTGTCCCCCAGATCACAGATTCCCTGGGTTCACAGATTTGAGGGGGAGGGATGCAAGGTCAATTTTTTTTTTTTTCTCTGTGTGTTTGATTTGGGATAGTTTCTATTGCTGTAACTTTAAATTCACTAATCTTTTCTTTTGCAATGTCTGATCTGTTAGTTTTATTCAGTGTATTTTTCTTCTCAGGTTTTCTGTTTTCCATCTCCAGAAGTTCAGTTTGGACCTCTTTTATATCTTCCATACCTCTAACATGTTTAGTCTTTCCTCTTATCTTCTTGAACATATGAAATATGGTTATTATAATAACTGTCTTAATATTCTTGCCTGTCAGTTCTATCATCTGCATCATTTTGGGGTTGGTTTCAAATTGATTGACTTTTCTTTTCATCATAGATCATATTTTCCTGCTAATTTGCATGCCTGGTAAGTTTTTATTGGGTGCCACACATGTGAATTTTACCTCGTTGATACTCCTACATTCTTGAGCTTTGTTCTGGGACTGGTTAAGTTACTTGAAACAGTTTGGTCCTTTCAAGTCTTCCTTTTTTGTTTAATGGGACCAGAGCAGCATTTAGTATAGGGCTCATTTTCCTTTACTACTGAAGCAAAGCCTTTCTAGTACACTACCTGATACTATGTGAATTACATTTTCCACTCTGGCTGGTGAGGTCAGGACCTATTGCCAGCTCTGTGTGACCTTTGGGAATTATCCCATCAGCATCTTCACAGGTGACTCTTCCCTCTGCTTTGGGTAGTTCCCTAAAAGCCATTAACAGATCAGTACTAAGTTGCAGGCTCAAGGGGTCCCTCTGCACATCTTCCGAGCTTCCTCTCTGTGTAGCTCCCACTCCTCTGATATTCTGACCTCTGAATTCCAGCTGCCTTGACCATCTCAGATTTCCAGCTGTGTCTTCTCCACTCACGGAGCCTGCCGGGTTCTGCCTGGGTTCCCTGTCCCCGTGCTGGCTGCAGCCTGGAAATTCTCTGTAGATGTAGGCTGGGGCAATCATAGGACTCATCTCCATTGTTTCCCAGCTCTTAGGAGTCACTCTCCTTCATTGGGTTTGTCCAGTGTCTTGAGTGCCTTCGTTTCATATATTTTATCCAGTTCTTTCACTGATTCAGGCAGGGGATAAATCGGATTAATCTGATTTTCTCTTAATGACAAAAAGAAGTCGTTTGCTAATTAACTTGTGTGTGTGTGTGTGTGTGTGTGTGTGTGTGTGTGTGTGTGAATATAACTTTTATTGAAGTATTGTATAAATAGAATATACAGAAAAATATACAAGTCAGTGAATTTTCACAAACTGAACACTTCTTTAAAGCTGCCATTCAGATCAAGAAACAAAACATTATCAGTAGCACCCAGAGGTTCTTCTCATGCTACTTTCATGTCACTCTTCACCCCTGCAAAGGGAACCACTGTCCTGACTTATAACAATATAGTAAATTGCTAAGCTCTTTATTCCTGCTGCACTCCTATTTTCTCAGTGAGATTATTTGTCATTGAAGAATTTGGTCTTCAACTTAAACAACTTGCTTGTAATTTGGTCTTGTACTTATCTTTAATAGATAAATGATCCAGCACTGAGACACACAGGCCTCTACTGCAACCAGCTCTCATCCACTGACCTTCTCAAAACAGAAACAGATGGAACCCAGGTCAGTAAGAAAATTCTAAACCCAGAGCTGCCAAGTGTACTCTAGATACACAGGAAACTTTGTTCAGCATCATGGTTAAGAGCCTGACCTTGGGAGTCAGACCTGGATGTGAGTCCTGGCTCTCCTCTTCTTAGCTATGTCCTCCTGGGCATGTTAGAGGACTTCCCTGGGCTGCTATCTAACCAACAGAACTAACAAGTTACCTGCTTAGAGAACTGTTGAAAGGGTTAAATGAGAGAAGCTTTCCAAAGGTTTAATCCGGTGGTTAAACAGGATAAAGGGATCACAAATGGTGGCCACTAATTGTTATTTTGTAAATAAGCACCATTCTAAAACTCCTGTGTAATCCAAGTACCTCAAAAGATCTCAGTAAATTCAGAGAAAACAGAATGCCTGCTGTGTACTCTGCCTCCTTTTAGAAGTTCGTTTCAAAACAATTCAAATAGCAAGGATGGCCACCTTCCTATATTAACATAAATTTAGAGATTGTGGGTGTTTTAGTTCACTTTAGTAACTTTGGTTTGGTCGTTAGTGTCTTACTAAATGTGTATTTTAAAAATATTGTACAGGCATTATGGTAAAGTGAAGATACAACGAAACATGAGACATGTTTGCCCTTTAGGTGAACTTTGGGGGAGAAATGAGGAAAGGAAGTTTCTTTTGTGAAACACTTAACAATTTGCCCAGCACTGTGCTAAGCACTGTCTGCTTTATCTCATGTAAGCCTCCCTATGACCCTATGAAGGAAGTAGCATTCCAGTTTTTCACGGATGAAGAAACAGAAACTGAGGAGATTTAACCACGCACACAGTTCACAAAGCTAGAAAGGGGCAGAGCTGAGGTTCAAACCCACGTATTTCTAACAACCAAAGTTCATGCTCTTTCTGCCATATCACTTGAATGATAAAACATGTAGACATATGCACATAAATTGTCACATAACCAAAGAAGGCAAACTCAAATTTATATTACAAGTGACAGGAACCATTAGGTCTAAAAGAGAAAATGCTGTGAGGGTCAGAAGAGCATTTACACAGGAGCTGAACTGGACCTTGAGGACAGTTAACAAGGCAAAATGAAGTAGAAAGTGTCAGAGGCTGAAGGAAGGAGTGAGCTGGGAAATCTAGGGCATTGGGAGTAGAGGGAGCCGAGACAGGGAAACAGTAATACCTTAGCACGGTCCTGGGAAGCCAAATCCACTGAAGGTAAAGGGTTTGTAATAAGATTTTATAGGAAATAAGATTGGTAAAAATAGATTGGGGCAAATTTCTGGAGGCCTTGAATGCTAAATTCAGGGGTTTGGACTGAGTCCTACAGATGAAGTGTCCCCTAGAGGGGGCACAGTGATATAAGCACTAGCTCAGGCTTCATCTTGAGGGACAGAAGGAGTACTGGACAGCCTCCCCAGGAAGAGAAAAACCAGTCAGGAGCCGTGTCCATAGTCGGGGCATCAAGAAAGAGGATCTGAGGCCTATGAGAGTGAAGAGGGGATTCCGTGATGGGGAAGTGAAGTCTTCATTCACTGGAAGGTATTCAAGGTCTCACACTACAGAGACATATACTGGGCAGCTCGGCAGACTAGTGAAAACTAAACAACCAAGTTTAAAAGTTCTTGAGCTCTGAGACAGCAATTGCATTGACATAAAACTCTGCTGGAGAATCTTAAGAGGTTGAGACCCTGCTCTCATGCTGTTCCTCTCACCTGACAAATCGTAGGGCTTGCACGCTTCTTGCTCTGCCTGTCTGTGAAGGTGTGGCAGCATCTGAAGTCCTCAGAGGTCTGGGCTCAGGCACCTGTTTTTAAGTAGCAGTTCAAAATGGCTAAAGTTTGGTTTAATCTTTTTGATTTTTTTTTAATTTCAAAATAGACTATCTTAAAAACATTCTTTTTAAAGAAGCAAAATATTCTCTCTAGTTCGTTTGATCATGCCTTCATTAAGAATGTTTTTAAGTGTTTGGGGACAGAAACACCTTGTACTGTGGCCCAGTATTTTATATGTTGAAAGACATAAACGTGAAACTTTACATGCTGTTTTTTGGTTTTTTAAAATCAGTGCCTCCAAGCACTACAGCTTGTGCTCATGCTAAGTTTCAGTGGCAGAATCTTCTTTTTCTTATAGCCCATCATGTGATCTCTATTTGCTCCAGTGCTTTTGTATTTGTCAAACAGAAGCTTGGGAGCAAGTTAAATAGAAATATAGAAACAGATATACAGAAAAGGAGAAGGAAGAGAACCAAGAGAGGAGGGCTCAGGGAGGATTGAGGACTACCTGTATTTGGAGAGTGGAGATGGGGAGGAGGCAAGACAGGAGAGAACCGGAAAAGAACAGACTATAGAGAAACAGGAGGGAGACTAGTAGGGGGATTGTTGACACGGAGAGAGAGGAAGCCAGGGGTGGAGCTGTAGGAAAGAGAAGTTAGAGAACAGAGGTGAGGAGAGGGCACAGAGAAAGCCAGAGAATTAGACTCAGACAGAGAGTTGGTGTATGTTAGATGCACAGAAAAGAACCCAAAAGAAGACAGATAGGAGCCTGTGGGGTCAAGAATCAAAACTTGAGAAAACAGGCAGAGAAGAGGATAAAGAGGAAAGGGATGCTAATCTAAATAAAAGTTTAGTCCAGCAGGTTGAGAAGATAGCTCAGGGCTGTCTGCCTTCTCTGAGGGAGAGCAGTGTGGAGGTATAGATGGGTCAAGAGGAGAAGACGTGGGAGCTGGACTGATACACCAGTTGGGGGTCGGGACATTTGACATATGGCCAATAAAGGGTGATGAAAACAACTTTTATTCTATTAGGATAGAAAAGTTTTTCCAAAAAGCTGACTGTAATTGACATAAATTAGTGATGAATGACTGAAAAATGCATCACTAATCTAAAATACTTCATGTACCTATTAAACCTGAAGCACAAGTTTGCCAAACGCTTGAGACACTATTAGATGTACTTGGATGCCTTAGAAGCATCTCCGTTCTTGATCTGGAACATTCGCAAGTGTGATACTGGCTTTAATCAGTTCCACAAATGACTTTTTAATAAGGATGGTTGTAAAAACTAACTTCTGGCTTTGTTTTCCCAATAGAAAATGCTAGAACTATGCAACTTTAAACATTTTTAAGGAATACATGTATTATTACTGAAAGTAGCTAAAGGGAAAATTCACACTGTTCTCAGCTAGTAATTTACTGTTATTTTTAGCTCATGTGTTTAAATGAATTGTCTATCAGGAAAAATAAGTTAAATATAAAATTGTTCTAATATTTTGCTGTAATTCTAAAGGCAACATGTAAAAGAGCTATGTAAGAGTATATTTAGATACTACACAAATCTTCTGGACATTCACTTCAGTAATGCTGATGTCCTGTTACTGAGTTGTGGTGGTTTTTATTTTGCTAATACTGGGTTAAAGCCCTTAATTTTCTAACATCATAAAGTTTTTTTTTTTTTTTATCCCACTAAAGTCATCCATAGAATGCTTTTATAACCAGTTATATATACACATATATTTTTAAACCCACCACTGGACACCCAGACTCTGAAACTGGGCTTTTCCCAATCTTGGCAATATTAGCAATGATGCTCATTTTCATTATTGATGGCAACCCTGTAGGAGGCTTGACCATTCCAATTTTGATTTTATTTTTAAAGTGTGAACTTTCCAGAACCCTGAGCAAAATGAGTGCAGCGATTTTCTTTTTGTAGGACAAGAAGACAGAAGAGTTCTTCTCTGTGGTGACTACAGACTAGAGGAATGCTCTAGTGAGTTTCCACTTCAAGTAGTACCCACTCATAAGCCGGGGGGGCAGGCCCTTCTGTCTAAACACATCTTTTATTTGTGTTTCAGCAGGTGCAACAGGTTCAGGTGTTTGCTGACGTCCAATGTACAGTGAATCTGGTAGGCGGGGACCCTTACCTGAACCAGCCTGGTCCACTGGGAACTCAAAAACCCACGGCAGGACCACAGACCCCCCAGGCCCAGCAGAAGAGCCTCCTTCAGCAGCTACTGACTGAATAACCACTTTTAAAGGAATGTGAAATTTAAATAATAGACATACAGAGATATACAAATATATTATATATTTTTCTGAGATTTTTGATATCTCAATCTGCAGCCATTCTTCAGGTCGTAGCATTTGGAGCAAAAAAAACCCACAAAAAAACAAAAAAAAACAACAAAGGAATTCACTTTTGTTGGAAGATTGAGAGGTGTTTTTGTTTCTTTCTTTGTAAAGGCCTTGGATATTGAAAAAAAAAAATAACAAGGCAGAACAGTTGGACAATCTATTTCTTGAGCCAAATTTAATTATTCTTATTTTTGTAATCAGTCATTGGCTTCTTATCTGGATGAAGGCTTTTGGAGGAGAACCAAAACGACGAGTTCCAAGGGGAAGATGAAGCCCCGCCCCTGCTGGCTCAGTCCTGACCCTGACGAGGAAGAAGGGCCCAAGGGCCCGGTGGGGCTTTGCCTGTGCCCGTCCACCAAAGGCTGTCACGTGTGTCTGAATCAACAGCCCTCCCCTTCCCGACCCCAGGCAGCTTGTGTGTACAATCAGCTTCTTCTAGCAACTCTATATCTGTTGGCTTCAAGAGAATATTTTGCCTCCCATATGTACCCCTTCTCCTTTTTTTAAAGATGGATTTAAACCAAGATGCCTCCAGGAATGAGGACGAAATGAGTATATTCACAGAGGAATCCAAAAAATACAGTTTGGGGGAAAATGCAATAATTTTTGATGAGATGGGTGAAGGACAAGAAACAAGTTCTGTCAATTATTGTAGATAACAATTTTCTGATTAAATCTGGAAAAAAAAGGCAGCCTGTTCTTTCTGCTTTTATTGTATTAACAACTAAGGTAGCTAAAGTTATTTAAAATAAAGTTAAATTTATGATCCAAGTAGCTTATTTTTCCCTTTAAATCTCACTGTAAATATACTTGATTTCTTGTAGGAATTGATTTCCTCCTGTTTAATTTTATGGTTTTATTATCATACTCTTGATTTTTCTAAATTTGTGTGTGAATATATCATTGATTGAATTGCAGTTACATTTGGCTAGTAGGAGTTCATTATTTTAATAACTGTGATGCCATGTATGGATTTACTTTGAGGTTCAAATCAAAATGCCACTGCCAGAAAGAGCTGTTCCAGATGAGCTAGAGCCTACTGCCCTAGAGTGTCCCTGGGATCATCTAACTTGAGACAGTGCAAGGAATTAACACCAGAAGTGCACAGGCTACTTGTACAGAGAAAAATCAGTACTCAAAAAAATCTTCATTTGTTTTAGATTGACTTTGGGGATTTGAATTTTCATCAGCGCAAATACAAATTTCTCTCTCCTACTCTGAGGCTAACTGGTACCGTATTTTCCCTTTGTGTCTTGTCACTCTGCCACGTCTTGTCTCATCCTGGCCTGTGAGTCAAGGACCCAGTGAACTGCCTCTAGTTCTAGAAGTTCCACTGCAAGGCCAGGAAAGCTTGAGAAAGGTATTGTGGAAGAAGCAAAGGTAGATCCCCCCATCACTCGCCTTTACCTGCACCCCGGGCCTGTGAATGATGACAGCATCTGACATCGTGCGCCAGCTACCTCTGCTTCCACAGCAGGGAAGAGACCATAAGAACGAACAGCGGAAGAGGAGCATGGACTCAGACACCAAGGAAGAAGCCATTTTCCCAGGTCCTCCTTTCTGCATCTCACCACCCCTAGTTACAAATAACTCCATTGACAGCATCTACTCAGAAACTATATGGAATAAAAAGATTGCTGGAAGGGCTTACATGGGTAGCAACTATGAAACAGAAATAGGACACTCAGTTACAAACATTATCTCTTTTAGTTTTTCAGAAAATGCATCCCTGATTTCATTCATTCCCAGCTTGAACGCCCAGCCATATTACTCTAGTCCTTACCAAACTGCTCTAGGAGGTCATTTCTGTTTTGTTTGTGATATTTAGATGCGCAGACTTCAGGAAGTTCACCTTTAACTTCAGCATTCCAGATGAAGTTTCCTGCCTCAGTGCTTTTGCATAAGGAACTAGTTTTTAAAAGCGGTAAGGAAAATTGGAGATGCTAATAACATCCTCCCATCCCAACTGCATCTGAAAGTATGCATGTCACCTTCAAGGTTTTATAATTGCACTGTTTGTTTTATGTATGTACAGATTAAAATTATTGCTACATTTGAGGAAAATAAAATTGCTTGCTTCTATGTAATTCCTGTCATTCCACAGGAAATTCACTTTTCCAGCTACTGAATAGAACTTGTTTAACAACCTCCTGGGTTGCCTCTTCATTTACAGGGAAGAAATGAAACCTACATCCTGCAGGAATTGCCAAAGCCCCAGTGACTAATGAGTAATTAAAGGATCATAAAAGAAGGGATCCCTGAAGCCAACTGTCCTCGAAGTCACCCTGATATGAACCAGTTGAAAACTGAAAAGGTCAAAGTAAAGTCATGAGAGTGGGCCATAAGGAAATTTTAGCTCTGGCCATTTGATGATTAAACACACTGGCCCTGCTGTTTCTGGACCCAGGAGATCTAGTCGGGGCAGCCCCCCATAGCTACAAGACACCATCTCTCTCTCTCTCTCTCTCTCTCTCTCTCTCTCTCTCTCTCTCTCGCTCTCTCTCTCTCTCTCTGGGTCATTGTTTTTTATATACTGACATTTATGATTAGTATGCAGATTGCAGAGATGTTGACTCTTACTTAAGGAGGCTCTTCATTTTGTCTTTGCACTTTGTAAAAGGCAGCTCCTGTCTCTTGTTGATGTGTTTGTAAAGCACCAACGCTTGGTTTTAAACCCACCAATGCTTGGCTAAGTAGGCCAGGGTAAGGAGGGTAAGCAAATGTGACTCTAGAAGACATTCCACACACATTCCTATGTATAAATACACACGGATTTGGTGGCTGCTCTCTGCCGTCATGCTTCTGGGAGAAGAAAACCTTTCTTCTCGAAGTTGGGGTAAGGTAGAAATGATACATCTCTTAGATGAATCTGAACGTTGATTTAAATTTATGCTAATGTAGGGGTGGAAAGGCCATTAGAAAAACAAATAGGAACACTTGAGGGAAGAGTGAGGTTGATATAGAAGAACTTCATCTTCTTTATGGTTTGGCAAGATAGGTTTGTACCTCCAAATAGTCTCCTGGGCCCTGAAAATCAAAGCAAATAAAAGGACAGTTGCCTATTTACAAAAGAAACTGTGCTGATTTCCTCCTTGACGTGAACTACTCTTCCCAGGAGAGCAGCTCCACTTGAAAAAAGTGAATAATTCGGAGCAAGCTTGATCCTTGGCCATTCCTGTACCTCTGAAAAAGATCTTGATGATGTAATTAAGCCCATAAATTCTTTTTATTGGAGAAAAACTGCCAAAGAAAGCATTCCTCTATCCAGAACCTTGCCTGCCAGCCCTAAATTAGTTTTCTTTATATATTTTATTTTCATTGCCACAAGAGCTCTTAGCAAGATTAAGGAAACCCAAAACTCTGGCCTCATTTAACATATTTTATTGTCTTTATCCAAGGTACTAAGATGTGGAAGAATCCAGACAGACACGAACCCTGCCTTCCCACAGCTTATATTCACATGGGAAAGGACTTCCATAGTAATAATCACAATGGACTAAGTGTAATGTACTAAGGAGAGTTAGAAGTTGCTTTGTGAACTTCTTGTCTGGAATGAAACCTTTTCTGGAGGGTCAAGGAAGGTTTCCATACCGAAGAAGTGGCATTGAGGTGAGGTTTGTCGGATGAAGAGGTAGCTCAGAGAGGGGCAGGGTGAGAATTCTGACAAACAGGACATGTGGAAGGCCTGGAGGCAGGAAGGAGCCTCAGAGAGCTGGAGTTTTTTAATTGCTAGTCTGAGTTCTCCTAAACATGTTATTAGTATTACGTCTGCCGATGAACTGGAAAGTAATTGAAATCAGCCTTTGGCTCCAGGAGGAACGTGAACCAGGCTTCGGGACCCCCTCACCTGGAAATTGTGCCAGCTGGTAGCTAAGGTCTCTTCCCTAACTAGCCCTGTCCAGCCAGAAGTACAGGCTTTTATATCTTTTGTGCCAGATGGGCCACAGTAATCTGTTGTAGCAGGTGACCATATCAAGAACATTTAGGGAAAACACCTTTGTACTGTAACAATTCCTAAGGTGCTTTTAGTACATTGCCTCATTTAATCCCTGCAGTCCTTTGAGAGAGATATAAACAGAAAACAGACTGAAAGCTTATGACACAAGCACGGTTTATCAGGGTAACTAGAACTTGAAGCCAAGTCTTCTGATGCCAAGTTCTGGATTCCCTATCCTCAACTATATGATGTAGGACTGATTCAGAGTCTGCAGACGTTACTCTCACTGTGTAACCTTAGGCAGTGCATTCTTACATGAAACAACTTTTAAAAACAGGCCATGGAAAGCAGGGTGAGAAGTCAAGGACTGAGAAGAGAGGACCTGGCCCTTCTCTGGAGGCAGTCCAATCCTGCCCTTTGGAGGCTTCACTGGGGCCCAGCTTTGCTGTAAAGTCCGGAGGCTGTCCTGCCAGTTTGGGGAGAGGCACTCTATCATGCATATCTAAACAGGAGATGAAGAAGGGGACCATGAAACTGCCATTCCCTTAGCTTGGGCCATTCCCTTAGCTTGAAAGAATATTGGGGGCATCTCTTGGTGGCTCAGTCCATTAAGTGCCCGACTTTGGCTCAGGTCATGATCTCACGGTTCATGAGTTCTAACCCCACATAGGACTCTGTGCTGACAGCTCGCAGCCTGGAGCTTGGGGCCTGCTTCAGATTCTGTGTCTCCCTCTCTCTCTCTGCCCCTCCCTGCTAGTGCGCGCTCTCTCTCTCGCTCTCTCTCTCTCTCTCGAAAATAAATAATAAAAACATTAAAAAAAAAAAGAATTTTGGAAAATGTGGGTTCCTTATGCAGTGGGTGTAAAACAAGTGACAGAGGATCACTTTTGTGAGGCAGAGCCCACAATTCCTCCTAGGAAATTTGGTTTCTTGGGTCAGATCATGAAAGCCAGCATTCACTTTTCACTGGCTCTGGAGCCTTCTTCAAACAAAGAATCTTTTTCCTCTGCTGGAGTTTGGCTCTGGTCTAATCATTTGTGCTTGTCTCAGAACTCTGGTAGTTTATGCAGCTGGCAGAACCAACCACTGCCCACAGGTATCCTGAGACACTGGCTTGAGAAAAGAACTAAAATGTATAAAGGAATATTTTTTAAAATAAAGTTAGCTTTTTTTTTTTTTCATTTAAGTAATCTCTATGCCCAACAGGGGGCTTGAACTCACGACCCTGAGATCAAGAGTCACATGCTCTACGGACTGAGCCAGCAAGGCACTCCTTAAAGGAATACTTTCTGTTCTATCAGCTTTTCTTCCCGCTCTAATGCCCAGAGGCCCTACGGTGCAGAATAAAGCAAAACTTGACACCAAGGTTTATTTATTCCATTCTGATGAGCTGTTGAGTACAGACCTTGTGATAGGCAGTGTGGGAAGTACACAGATACTTTCCTGAAGATACTTCCTTCCTAATAACAGAAAGTCTGCATCTGTTAAATACTTTTCATTTCTACTCTGCTAGGCAATATGCGAGGCTAATACCCTTTGTGCTAATAATTTCTTTGTAGAGCAGTTTCACATACAGGATGTCCTTTGATCTTCAAAATCCTCTGAAGCAATTACAGTAGGTCATAGCCCCATTTTACCGATGGTGAGACTGAAACTCATATTTGTGGTCAGGTGGCTGAGAAGCTCTGGACACAAGAGCCAACAGTTGGGTTTTGTGATGAAATCTGCCAGTTTCCACTGCACAGCACACCTATCAGAGACAATAGCACCTTAGTGACACATAAAAACTGTGGGAATCCCAATGAGTTAACAGTTGTTCTTAGAAGCTTGTGAGGGTTTCCATTTTGAAAGTAAAACTGGGTACTAATTCTGAGTTTGCTAAAGTACTCTTTTTCTCATATTTGAAATTTGTGTGAGAATGATAGTTCTCAAACAAGTCCCTATCCTCTCCCTGAACAATTTTATCTTTTTCTTAAATCTCAATACCACTTATAATGATCTGCAATTTAAGTCCACTCTTCCAGCCAAGATCGCTCTCAAGATCCAGGCCTAAATTTCCAGCTGGTGAACATTACCACATGGGTGGATCCCACCACCACCCACCCCAACCCCTCAAACTCAAAGCCCCACACCAAATCACCCACTTCCCCACAAACATGTTCTTGTGTCCCTTATCTGGGTTAATTGCATCACCATCATGTCAGTGGTCGTTTTCGACAACTTCCTCCCACTCATGTCCCCAAATTGCCAACAGTTATCTCTGTAGTGCTAACTTAGAGCTACCTTCTCTTTTCTACCCCATTAATCACAAACTGAATTCAGGACTTAGTTTTCTTTCTTTGGAGGATTACAGTAACCACCCCCATGCCTTTTAACTTTATCTCTCACACAATCATCAGAGAAATCTTTCTGAACACAACCTTCAGATTCTTTTAGTTGACAACTTGCCTGGAGTTGATTTGAAATCAACCTGCCTTTTAAGCTTTATTACCCTCTACATTCTCTGAACAAACAATCCTGCCACACTGAGCTGGTCTTTATCTTGACATTTACTGCCTTTGTCCTCACTTCCATTGCCATACTCATTCCTTTTCCTCAGGCTTTAGTGCTCCTTCTTTCTCCTCCTTCCTTGTCCTTCAAAGCTTCGGTTTAGATGTTCTTTCCAAGAAGCCCTCCCTGGTCCTCACACTTAAATTAGTCCCCTCTTCTGTACTGTCTTGCTGCAGGGCCTTCATTGGCGCTTGGTTATATGTACATCTGTTTCTCTCCTCCACCAAATTGTAAGCTTTTTAAAGAAGAGTTCCACATCTCTTATCTGCTAATTGAAGAAATAGATTCAGAAGCAATGTTTTAAATAGGGGAAAGGCGCTCATGGACAGACCAGGCACGGAGTTGTCTTCCTAGAGTCTGGATTGTTGAGCTAATGAAAAGTTGCAAAGTGTCCAAGAGTTCAAAATAAGCTCCTAATTCTACCCTGATGATCATTCCCTTTTTTCATGAAACGGGAGCCCCCAAATTTGAAGACTATTAGCAGTTACCTTTAATAACTTCCACTTCTTAAGGATGGTGTTTTTAAAAAGTTAATGCACAGGGGCACCTGGGTAACTCAGTTGGTTAAGCATCCAAGTCTTGATTTCAGCTCAGGTCACGACCTCACGGTTTGTGAGATGGAGCAAGTCTGCGCTGTCATCGCAGAGCCTGCTTGAGATTCTC